TTATTCTCCCAGGTTGGGTGATTTCATAAAATGGAACCATAGTATCAGTTTTTCTGGGCTCTTATAACACACACACACACACACACACACACACACACACACACGGAAGGGCCCTAACTGGCCTGGGTTGGATCGCTCCCTGCTCAGTTACTGAGCTGAGAACGTTGGTTCTTAGAGTCACATCACGGGGCACAGTTTAACTTTCATAAATTCAACTGTGAGCGTTAAATCAGAGAACGGCAAGAGGCAGACCATGGGTCTGGGCGATGCCAGCCTGAGTTGGGTTTGCCTGAATGCAGTGTGAGCCCAGAGAGGTGATTGCCATTCCCGAGGCCCAGCTCGGACCCCAGAGCTTGTCGTGGCCGGAGACCCTGCAGCCACGGCCCAGGGAGTGATTTCAGAGAGCACGGCCCCTGCATGCAAGCTGGCCGCTGCGTCCAGCACTCAGCTGCAGGAGAACTTGCCGGCCCAGCTGGCTTGGCTCAGTGGGTAGAGCATCGGCCTACGGGCTGAAGAAGAACCTGCCATTTCTCTCCAAATGGGAGGATGGAGGGGCGGGACGATGTTGTCGAGCCTTCATGAAAAAAGATAACTATACTCTGGTGGGTGTTAAAGGATTTTGAAGGATATTTTTACCTGTATGTGAATTTCCCCTCACAAGCTGGCATTAAATTCTACCGCCGGCCTAGGAGTGCTTGGAATCCTATGGCGATGGGTCTGGGGGGTCAGGCCTCCATCGGTCACTGACAACTCAGAAGCAGGTCCCTTAGGTGGGGAGAGGCATCCCTTTGGAGCAAGTCAACTGAGACACACACACACACACACACACACACACACACACACACACACACTCCCCGCACGGGAGTGGCTGCAGGGACCTGAGGTGTTTTGCGTGAGGCTGGAGTGCTTACCAACGTGTTCCTCCATGGGACACCTTGGCGTCCTCTCCCTTTTTGTGGTCCTCCCCGTGGCTCGCTTCCTGGCTTCCTAGAGCCGGGGCCACTCGGTTAGTGTCCAGGTTACATCCTGCCTTCCCAAATGACGGCTGCCGTAGCGATTGTGCATATCAGCATCTTCCTAAGCTCACAAGCCGCTGTGATTCCGCCATAAACACACTGGGACCTTGGCTCTCTCTGCACCCGGAACCAGGCCAAGTTCAGCAGCATCCTCCTCGCCAGTCCTGGGACTCATCCCCTGCAAGCTGTGAGCTCCTCTTTCCCAGCTGGGAATCTGTGCTTTTGAACTTCCGGGAGATCTTAAGTCCTGGAGGCCACCGCTCATTGCCCTTCTCCAGGTAAGGCAGCCAGGTGAAATATTTGGGACATTTATCTACTAAAAACCTTATTTACTGTTGGTCTGAAATTCAAATTTCACTGGGAAGGGAGTGGGAGAGAGGGCTAGAAACATCAATGATGGGAGAGAATCCCCGACCAGCTGCCTCCTGCATGCCCCCTACTGAGGATCAAGCCTGGCCTTGGCCTTCTGGTTCATGGGTCTGGTTCAACCACTGAGCCACACCAACCGGGCTCTACTTTGCTTTTAATATTTTTTTCGATGCTGCTTGTACTACAGTGTAACATTTTTATGTAACCACATCTACTGAGCTTCCCATTAGGATTCCTCCTGCTACTTTTGTGCTTAGGAAGATTTTTCCTATCCAAAGATGAGGTAAATACTAGCCAGTATTTTGTTGCATCCTCATGCTCATAATGAACTCTTTCATCTACCTGCAATTTGATTTGGTATACGGTGTGCGACAAGGCTCTACATGAACTTTCCTCCAAATAGCGTTATTTCCCGAGTGCTGTGTTTCCGTCTCTCCTGTTATGCATTCTCTGGGTGGGCCGGGGTGAAAGACGGGAGACAGTTGAGGAAGCTAAGTGGCCCGAGCAGCTCACCAACATCACCACACCCGGAGCATGAGCTGTTTCCTAATCCCCAGGTTTTCTCCTAAACGGTGGAGGAGAGCAGAAAGTAGAGGGGAGGCAGGAGCGTCTGCTTTCTTTACATTCACAGTGGCCACGTCAGTAGGAGAGGAAACGGGGCTGCCGTCCCCCTGAAGCCCACGGGGCTGCCTGTGAGGTGATCCTGCTGATTGACAAACCACGTCTGACCCTTTGTGCTTCTGCCGCCTCACCCCTGGAACCAGGCGCTTCCCACATCCCTCTTCAGACCTGAGCGAGGCTAGCTGGTCTGCCTGTAATTACTGCTAGTTTAATTGGATTATGGATTTTAATATCATCAGCACGGGGAGGGGACGAGAGGAGCGGTGCCTGCAGCGCTGGGCTCTGCTCGCCCTCTCCGTCGGTGCTCGGTTTATCTCACCCGCTGGCTGGGCAGCGCCTCCGCCTTATCGCGTCTGTTTCTGCGCACGTCTCCCTGGACGGACTCGCGTAGGAAAGCAGCCTGGGTCGTGTTCGTATGTCTCATTGTATACCTGGATATGTTTCTTTTGCTTTCCTAAGTCTAAATGAAAACTTGTTTTGGTTACTTTCTTGAGCCTAGTGTTTTGGAAAATATGAGGTATGATATTTTCCCATATGCCCGCCGAAGCACTGTCCGCTTTAGAAATTATGGTCTAACGGAGAAGAAATAAATTGGTGATTAAGATTTTTTACAGAGAGGCCAAAACCGGTTTGGCTCAATGGATAGAGGGCCGGCTTGGGGACTTAAAGGTCCCAGGTTCGATTCCGGTCAAGGGCATATACCTTGGTTGCGGGCATATCCCCAGTGGGGGGTGTGCAAGAGGCAGCTGATCGATGACTCTCTCTCATCGATGTTTCTAACTCTCTATCTCTCTCCCTTCCTCTCTGTACAAAATCAATAAAATATATATTTTTTAAAAAAGATTTTTTACAGAGAGGAAGGGAGAGGGATAGAGAGCCAGAAACATCAATGAGAGAGTAACATCAGTCACCTGCCTCTGCTCTGACTAGTTTGGCTAAGTGGATAGAGTGTTGGTCTGCGGACTGAAAGGTCCCAGGTTCGATTCCTGTCAAGGGTAAGTACCTTGGTTGTGGGCACATCCCCGGTAGGGGGTGTGCAGGAGGCAGCTGATCGATGATTCTCTCTCACAGATGATTCTCTCTCATCGATGTTTCTAACTCTCTATTCCTCTCTCTTTCTCTCTGGAAAAAAAAATCAATAAAATGTATATTTTTTAAAAAGAATGCAGTGTGTTGTGAATGTAGTCTTATTTTTCACCTTCTCTGTCATGTTCAGGAGGTTTGGGGTGGAGAAAATACAATCACATGGGCTCAGTTTGCTTCTGAGGAATGGAAGCCACCCAGGCTCCCCTGGGGTCAGAAGAGGAGCAGGAACAAGTCCCCAAGAGGAAAACCTCGCTCGGGGTTTTAGCGCCTCGCAGGCTACCCCCTGATCCTTGGCTTTCATCCTATGGTCATTCCCGGCAGCCAGAGGCCTCCCAAAGGGCTCGGTCCCCACGCGTGCTGAGAGGCCCTTCCTTTTGGAGATGGGTGCATCGGGTGGCAGCCTACGGTGCTTGTCTCCATCCCCATGAACTCAGACCTTGATTTGTTGGGGAATAACATCTGTCTGAAGCAGAGAATCTCACCACTTTATTTCTTTTCAGTCCTTTAATCCCAACGCCAGCGTTATACTCGTCATAAATCTGTGACCACTGAAATATCCTCTCCCCGCCTGCCAATAACTCCCAAAATACGCATTTTTTCCTACAGAGCCTCCTCTGAGCTGCGCTCTTCTTTAAGGACACGTTTATTGCGGGTTTGGTGCATGAAGCAGAGACTTCCCTGGACCTCAGATCCCTTGCATGTAAAAGTCAACCTAACGGTATCGTTCCCCAGGGTCCTGCTGTGAGAATCAAAAGAATGAACGCACCTCACTCATTGGTGGGTAATAAAGAACATTATAAACTGGCGAACAAAAATAAATACAGAGGCAGAGAGAAGCATGCAACAGACTGTCAAACTACAGCGGGAAGGCTGCGAGTGTTGTGGGAGTGGAGGGGGTAAGAGATCAACCCAAGGACTTGTTTGCGTGCATATGAGCATAAGCAATAGACGCAAGACACTGTTGGTGAGGGCATGTTGGGGGTGGGGGATAGAGGAGGCAGGGGAAGGTCAATGGGGGATAAAAAGACACAGCAGCAGGCAGCTGATGGAGGTTTCTTAACGATGTTTCTAACTCTATCCCTCTCTCTTCCTCTCTGTAAAAAAAATAAATAAATAATTCAATAAAATATATTTTTTAAAAAGAGACCTATGTACTACTATTTGTAATACTGTAAACAATAAAATAAAATAATGCGCCCGCATTTGCATACGACCTGGCGCAACACCCATCAGTAGGATTACTTCAAGTCTGAGTATTAAAACATTATTTCACTAGTAACATGTGTCTGCCAAGTAGAGCCAGACAGGGGGTGTGCTTCCCCGCAGAGAGCGCTGCTGTGGTCCGCCGCCCGCCGCTGCCCGGGCTGCAGGCTGAGCGCCGCGGTGTATGTGCGCTCAGATAAGCGTTCCTCGCTCTCTCCCGGGCGCCTGGGTCTCCAGATTCCGTTATCGCCCAGGCAGCGCCCATCCGAGAGCCCGGTCCGCGGCCCGGCACGGCCGTCCCTCCCGCTCCTCCTTTGTCGGGTCTTTGTCCCGCCCCTGGCTCGGCTGGAGCAGAGCCACTCACCGGGGATTACAGGAGGGACCGGGCGGCGAGGCGGGGCCTCGGGGCGCGGGGGCGCGGCGATTGGGTTCGCCCCGGGGGCCGCGCTCCCAGTGCCCGCCCGCGGGCGGCGGCCGCCCCGGAGCCGGAGCCGCAGCCCGACCCGCCGCCCCCGACGCCGCCGCGGAGACAGACGTCAGAGGCGCACGGCCGCGGCTGCGGACGGGCAGACGGACCGACGGAGATCGGCGGCGGCGACCGACCGGCCGGGGCGCGGAGAGCAGCGCGCGCGGCTGCGGGGAACAGACACATCCATCCGCGGCGCGGGCAGGACCGACCGGCCCGCCGGCTCCGACGATCGCGCCATGTCCGACGGCGACAACATCACCGCGCTCCTCGCCCCGGACAACTACACGCTGCCGCCCGGCGCCGGCAGCCTGAGCCCCAGCCCCGGCTTCCCCACCGCCCCGAGCCCCAGCCCCGGGCTCAGCCCCAGCCCCGGGTTCAGCCCCAGCCCCGGGCTCAGCCCCAGCCCCAGCCCCGGGCTCAGCCCCAGCCCCGGGCTCAGCCCCAGCCCCAGCCCCGGGTTCAGCCCCAGCCCCGCATTCAGCCCCAGCCCCGGGCTCAGCCTCGGGCCGGGTCCCAGTGTGGGGTTCAGCGCCGGCCCCGCTGCCGCCCCGGAGCCCACGGCGGGCGGCTTGGCGGGGAGCGCGGTGGCCGGCGCGGGCGCCTCCCCGTTCCCGCCGCCCTGGGCGCCCCTGGAGCCCGCGTTCTGGGACACGCCGCTGAGCCACGGGCTGAACGTGCTGGTGGGCGCCGCCCTGTGCGTGGCCATGCTGGGCCTGGGCTGCACGGTGGACGCCGGCCGCTTCGGCGCGCACGTGCGGCGGCCGCTGGGCGCGCTGCTGGCCGCGCTCTGCCAGTTCGGCCTCCTGCCGCTGCTCGCCTTCCTGCTGGCGCTGCTCTGCCGGCTGGACGAGGTGGCCGCCCTGGCCGTGCTCCTGTGCGGCTGCTGCCCCGGCGGCAACCTCTCCAACCTCATGTCCCTGCTGGTGGACGGCGACATGAACCTCAGGTACCCCCGGCTGTGCACCCTTGGGCAGCTTTCCCGTCCCTCCAGCCCAGGGTTCCAGCCCGGGGTTCCAGCCCGGGGACAGAGGACGGAGAGGCGGTGGGACTAAGGCTTGGGGCGGGGAAGAGGAGGTGGAGGAAGATGTGGAAGTCGAGGCAGAGGTGTTGGGGGGGGGGGGTTGTGGGAGGGGGAGATCTAGACAGGGACAAGCTGAGTGGATGGTCTTGGGGTTTCCTCCCCGTCCTCCCCGAGGGTTGGGCTGTCAGCGCAGGTCTTCGTCGCTGGAGGACAAAGAGAACTGGAAGCCTGAGGCCAGGACCATCCCCTCCCGGAAAATGCACAACCAAACAGGGCGATTGGTCCCGGGGAAGCGTAATCTCATATAGAAGACAACGTAAACGAGTTCAGTGCAACATGTAGCATGCAGCAGCTTTCCTGTGTCTAACGCGGGGTTTGGAAGGCTTAAAAAAAGATGTTCCTCGCCCTCAAAATCACCAAGACTACCCAGACTGTAGCCAGCGTCCTAGGCTGCACAGAGCCCGGCAGCAGTGCTGAAGGCTTTTCTTTCCCCCCCCCCCCCCCCCCCCCCCCCCCCCGCTTTCCCTCCTTCATGTCTCAGTCGGCCTTGGACTTGCAGCTCTTTGGCACGCACCTGGGAAGAAGTAGGTTCTCCTCAGGCATCAAGCTGGGAAATAGCAGTCTCCCCCTTCCCCTTCCACCTCGACCTGGACCTCAACCTCGTGTTCAAGACAGAGGGTTGCCCAGGTGCAAGAAGAGCCCTTTGGCTCGCAGCCCATGCTGACTTCTGCTCCCTGTTCTGCAGCATCATCATGACCATCTCCTCCACGCTCCTGGCCCTGGCCCTGATGCCCCTGTGTCTGTGGATCTACAGCCGGGCGTGGATCAACACGCCCCTGGTGCAGCTGCTGCCCCTGGGCGCCATCACCCTGACTCTCTGCAGCACCCTCATCCCCATCGGCCTGGGCGTCTTCATCCGCTACAAATACAGCCGGGTGGCTGACTACATTGTGAAGGTGAGCTCACTCCTCCTCTCCATGCTTGGTAGGCTCAGAATCCTTGGGTTTGAGTCTAGCGGAAATGCTAGGGCGTTTGGGAAAGAGGGGTGAGGAAGAAAAGGATTCGGCAGGCCTGGCATACATACACTTTTTTTAAAAAAAAGTTTATGCCCAAAGGTAACTTTCACCTTTTTTGAATTTTAGAAATTATAGCTTTAAGACCCAGCTCAATTAAAAACAGCACAAGAGAACTCAGTACTCCTAGGAGGAAACAGACCATTGTCGGAAATGGATGGTAGTGCACAAAATGGAAACATTTTCCATTAACCACCCCTGTGTTACAAAACAAGGAGCTGAAATGAAATTATTTTAATAGAATTTGTACAGTACTGAAGAAATGCGTTACTAATAGAATTTGTACTGTATTTTAGAAATGTGTTACTCTGTTTTAAAGGTGGAACTCTTATTCTGAGAAATTCTGTAAACAGTTGTTTTAAAATGTTTTATTAATTTTTTAAGAATAAGTTGATATTAATAAGACCAAAAGTAATTTAAAAATTACATCATGGCAATGTTACAGAATGCACAACATATGAACTTTAAAGCACAAAATAAAATTAGGTCATGGGTAAATAATACAGACTATATTGCCATTAATAAATTTGTGTTTTTCTCCTTCCTTGTTGCAATCCTTCATGATTTCCAAAGGTAGTGAAAGCATGGGGATTTCTACTATTTTATGCAATATTTCAAAAATTGCTTTAAAAAAACAACCTGGTCCTTTTTGTAGTAGGAGAGGTTTTATACTAAGTGACTGGAGGAAATATTTACATATTTCTAGGTTAAGCTTTCTTTGAAAACTGAAACAGTAGTAAATAAGAGTAAACAATAACAGCATTCTCATTTTAGGAGGTTGGTACCATACAAAACTAGTCATTGTAAAATGCACATGCAAATTCCTGTAGAAAGAGAAAACGAGTCTCTCCAATGTTTCAATTTAGGTTTAATAAGACATCTTTTGTATTTTACTTATATTAATTTATTTTCTAAAGTAATCTTTTTATACAGAGGGGCTAACTTTTATTAATATGAAAAATAGAGGGTTCTTTTTTTAAATATATTTTATTGATTTTGTACAGAGAGGGAGAGAGTTAGAAACATCTATGAGAGAGAGTCATCGATCAGCTGCCTCTTGCACACCCCCTACTGAGGATATGCCCGTGACCAAGGTACCTGCCCTTGACCGGAATTGAACCCGGGACCCTTCAGTCCCCAAGCAGATGCTCTATCCATTGAGCCAAACCGGTCCCGGCTAAAGGATTCTTTTAAAAAATATTTTTATTGATTTCAGAGAAAAAGAGAGAGAAAAATAGAAACGTCAGTGATGAGAGAGAATCATTGATCGGCTGCCTCCTGCATGCCCCCTACTGGGGATCCAGCCTGTAACTCGGCATGTGCCCTTGATTGGAATTGAGTCCCGGGAACCCGTCACACCAAAGTGGATATCTATCCACTGAGCCAAACCAGCTAGGGCTTCTAACAAAGCTTTTGATGTGGACACACTTTGAAACTTATATTAAGTTTTGATTTATAAGTTTGGCTTCTGCCAATTGTACATTGGTGGCATGAGTATCTCATATAATAATTATTCAGCATCCTCTAGGGTGGACTTTTAATCCATCCAGATAAATTTTAACTACTTTTTAAAAGAGTATAAAGTACTCTATATTGCAATACCACACAACCCCTAAGGGGTTTTCCTTCAGACATCCAGGGAACCAGAAACAACCATTTAGAAAAACAACCTCACCTGCAATCTGAAGAACTAGGAGAGGAAAATCTTTTAAAATATTTTTATTGATTTTAGATAGAGAAAGGGAAAGAAACATCAATGAAAGAGAAACATCTATCCATGCCTCCTGCATGCCCTTCCTGCATTTCAGGGAATCAAGCCTGAAACAGGGCATGTTCCCCTACTGGGAATCGAACCAACGACCTCCTGATTTTTGGGAAGATGCTCAACCAACTGAGGCCACACTGGGCATAGAAGAGGCATTTTTAGGTTTCTGCCTTGCTATTTACACAGTCTGTTTTACTTGAGGGTGTGAAATGTTTTACAAGAGGACAATGTTTTTATAAGTGAGTTGTTTTAAATTGAAAATCATTTACTAGCCCTAGCTGGTCTGGCTCAGTGGATAGAGCATTAGCCTGCAGACTGAACGGTCCCAGGTTCAGTTCTAGTCAAGGGCAGATGCCCGGATTGCAGGCTTACTCCCGAGTGTGCAGCAGCCAGCCAGCCAATCAATGATTCTCTCTCATCATGGATGTTTCTATCTCTCCCTCCCTCTCCCTTCTTCTCTGAAATCAATTTTAAAAAAATCACTTACTATAATAACCCGGAAGCATCACTAGAGACCCACAGGTGGGAGGTTTCTCAGGAACAGATGAAAAGGGGGAATTGCGAATTTGCAATGACTACTTCACATCTCGTGTCTACATTTCCTCCCTTATGTAATCTGAGAGTTAATAATTGTTTTGATATTGCTAACAATTCTCAGAAAGTATTTTGGAGGTGAGAAATATCACAACTTGATTTCAGACATTTTTAATAGCCTGTTACCTCATGTGTAAAAGCAGCACTAATTTCTTATGGAAAAGATGGCTTCCAGTTCAGGGAGAGGAATGGCCCTTTGTCCACTGTGTCCACAGACCGACCTCACCTGTGCTTTGGGCTCTCTTAGTGCCGCTCTGTTAGTGAGAGGCACATTCACCAATTCAGCGTGTGCTCCGAACAGTAAAAACTCCAGAACAGAGTTATATGATGGAGGCCAGAAGCCTGGAGACAGTGCTGGAGTAGCCTTCCCCGGGTAACTGTAGACTTTTTTTAAGAGATATATATTTTATTGATTTTTTTTACAGAGAGGAAGGGAGAGGAATAGAGTTAGAAACATCCATGAGAAAGAAACATCGGTCAGTTACTCCTGCACACCTCCTACTGGGAATGTGCCCGCAACCCAGGTACATGCCCTTGACCGGAATCGAACCTGGGACCCTTCAGTCTGCAGGCCGACGCTCTATCCACTGAGCCAAACCGGTTAGGGCTGTTGGTAGACTTTTGAAGGTGGTTGCAGGTGGAGTGGTTGCCTCTGAGGGCCTGTCCGTGACCATGGCTTGCGGTTATAGGAGGATTGTTACTAGATCGCTAGACATAAGAACAGGCCTCCAGACCAGGAGAGCTGGGCCACGTGGGTTTGGAGGCCTCCGGCCCAGCAATCTGCCCTCCTTCAGGGGATGCTCAGTCAAGGACGTGGCCGCAAAGATCTCCGTTTTGTGTGGGAGGTCAGACTAGATGCGTCTTTTCTTCTGAATGCCTGGGAGTCCCTTGCCTGAATTCCCCTCCAACTGTCTTTGTTTGTTTGACAGCTTGTTTATCCATTTTCTATCCCCAGGTTTCCCTGTGGTCTCTGCTCGTGACACTGGTGGTCCTTTTCATCATGACCGGCACTATGTTAGGACCCGAACTGCTGGCGAGCATTCCTGCCGCTGTTTACATGATCGCGATTTTCATGCCTCTGGCGGGCTACGCCTCGGGCTACGGCCTCGCTACGCTCTTCCGTCTCCCCCCCAACTGCAAGAGGACCGTCTGCCTGGAGACGGGCAGCCAGAACGTGCAGCTCTGCACCGCCATCCTCAAGCTGGCCTTCCCCCCGCACCTCATCGGGAGCATGTACATGTTCCCGCTGCTCTACGCCCTCTTCCAGTCTGCAGAGGCGGGGGTGTTTGTGCTGATCTATAAGATGTACGGACGTGAAATACTGCACAAGCAAGATCCTCTCGATGAGGACGAAGACACGGATATTTCTTACAAGAAGCTGAAGGAAGAGGAGATGGTGGACACCACCTACGGCTCAGTGAACGCGGAGAGCTTGATGATGGTAGAGACCACTCAGACTGTTCTCTGAGCATGGAGACACAAGGAGCGTCTTGTCTTGCTGACGTTTTCCTGCCTATTTATCGTCTGTAGTAGTGTGTATGGTTTACCTGAAGGGTAGCAGCCATTGGTTCACAATATCATACTTGTAACCGTTGAACTTCCCGTGGTAAGGCCGCCTGGGTTCTCACCAATTCCCCAGTCGGTGTGGTATTACCACTCGCACCTGGGACGGCACACGCACGTGAAGCCCGCACAGGCGAAGGGTGTGCTTCTCGGTCTCCACCGTTAGCCAATTGCTACGACTGTTTCTAAGACGTACACGCTCAGAAAAAAAGGGGTTTGGGAAATGTAGAATTTTGGTGCACTAGGAGTAAAAACAAGCTATATTTGTAAAGCATCATGGAGTTTAATGTGATTGTAAAAAAAAGGAAGTGTGCTATAGCTTAACTTATGAACACTTGACAATGTTGAAATTTGACCCCTATTTAGAAAAATCCCCAAACAGGTCAATTAAACAATGACTAGTAGTATTTCAGTGTGCAACCTGTTTCCAATCAGGAAAAAAAAAATACGCACGTGAATGTATTTGATTTCTTGATCTAATATCGCTTGGTGATGAACAGACAACATTTTTCTGGTGGACAGAGAGCATTTTTTTTTCAACTCCAGGGGACTGACTTGGCCTAATGCATTTATGTTAATACCCGCCTCCCCAAATCAATTTACTTCTTGGGGAGGTGATTAGATTAGGAAATTGGTAGAACTACTGTCTACCCCAAAGACTAGTCATTAGTGCCTGGAGGCACTCAAGAGTACCGCGAGGCCCACGTTTGAGGCAGGGCGTGTGCAGGGGTGGGGGTGGGTGGGAGCACGAGCCCCAGGAGATGACAATTAGCCCGGACATGGGTGACTTAGAGCGCTTCCCGCGCGTAATGAATGGCTTCCACAGGTAGACTTCTCGGAGCAGCCCTGAGATAACTGAATAACCTATACTCTGACATCAGAGGTAACCCACCCAGGCCTTCGCCTTTGCTCCCTGCCCAGCAGCAGGCAGCCTGGCCTCGGCTCCCTGGGTGCAGACCCCGAGGACAATCAGGGGATGGGGAGCACCTGGCTCAGCGCATCCAGGTGAGCGTTCTGTTGCGCGCGGGCAAGTTCACTTAGAAACCAGCGCGCACGTCGCACAGAAAGCCTCCTTCCCGGACATCTAGGGGTATCTGAGCGGACCCCCGGGGTGGGGGGAGCTGGGGGCAGAAAGCCGCCCTCCGGGGCCGGGGCGCGGGGGCCGGGCGCGGCGGGGGGCGGGCTCCCGGCCGCCCCCGCGAGGCCGCCCACTTAAGGCGGAGGCGGCGGGCGGGAGCGGCGGGGGCCGCGCGCATGGCTTCCCTGGCGGACGAGGCGCTGGACGGCTCCATGTATCCCGCGTGCGCCGCGTACCCGTACCCCTACCTCTACCCGCCGGCCGCGCGGGGCAAGGGCCTGGCGGGCGGGGGCGGCTGGCGGCCGCGCGCCGGGGACCCGCCTCCCGCCCCCTCCGCCCTGGCCGGGGCGCCGCCGCCCTTCCCGGGCTACGGGCAGCTGATGGCCGCCGAGTACTTCGACAGCTTCCAGCGGGCGCAGCTCATGGCGCTCCTGGCGCAGGTGGGCCCGGGCCCGGCGCCGCGGCCGCGCCGGGCGGGCAGCCGGGACGCGGCGGTGCAGGTGAACCCGCGCCGGGACGCGGCGGTGCAGTGCGCGCTCGGGCGGCGGACGCTGCCGCGCCGGCCCCGCGACGCCGGCGCCCCGGCCCCCGGCCCCGAGGCCTCCCCGCCGCCCGCGCGCCCGCGCGCCGAGCCCGCCAGCCCCCCGGGCGGCGGCCCGCGCCTCCCGCGCTTCCCGCGCTCCGTGGCCGTGTACTCGCCCGTGGTCTCCCGCCGCGTCACCACCACCTTCCTGGACGGCGCCGAGGCCGCCGCGCCGGCCGCAGAGCGGGGCCCGCCCCCGCCCAGGCCCCGCGGCGCCGAGCGGGGAGGGCGCGCGGCGGAGCGGCCGCGGGCCCCGGGGCCGGAGCGGGAGGAGCAGGAGGAGGAGGCGGAGCAGGTGCGCGCGAGCTGGGAGCCGTCGGCGGACGCGCGGGAGCCGCCGCCGGGCGAGGCCCGGGGAGGCGAGGCGGCCCCGCGGAGCGCGTCCGGGGGCTCCGAGCAGCCGCCGCCGGAGGGGGGCGCCCGGGACGGCGAGGGCGAGAGGTCGCCGCCGCGGAGCCCGGAGCCGGGCAAGGAGCGCCTGCGCTTCCAGGTGAGGCGGCGGGACGGGCGGGCGGGGGCGCGGGGACCCGGGGGGCGGCTCCTCCGGGTTCTGCTCTGGGCGCGGGAAGGCGCCGGGCTCTCCTGGGCGCCGGGCCGTCGGGGGCCTTTCCGCAGCCGCTGGCAGCCCCAGGCGCCGTCCCCCTCCAAGAGTTAAGCTAATTGGAGCCTGAAGGTGATGGAAAATGCCAGCCCCGAGCTCGGTGAGAGAGGCGCCCCTTAAACGTTCTCATTCTGCGTATTTGCCGTCTAAACGCCGTCGTGAGCACGCTGTCCAGCTGTCCGGTGTGGACCCTCTGGGTGGGCACCGGGAGGGGCATCAGAAGGTTTGGCTTGCTGGTGGGAGAGCTGATTCCCAAGGATCCCGCCCACTTTTCTCCTTTTAATAGCAAAAGCCACAACCGGGATGCTGTTCACCTTGCCCCTCATTCTTTTTTTTTTCTTTTTTTTTTTGGCCATTTAAAAAAATTGATTATGATATCACATAATTGTCCTCATCCCCCCATCCTCAACCCAAACCCCTCCCCACATCTGTCCCACCCCCCTATTGCCCCTCATTCTTGCTGGGTTTTCCAAAGCTTCCAGTGCAGTGCCTGCCTCCCTAGGGTCTTTCCTGGCCCCTAAAAAGCACTTCCACCCAGAAACATAACGGTGCGGGAGCATTGGGGCTGTTTGTATGGCGGGCCAGGAGGGCCAGTTCCCACTAGCTGAACCCCACAGGTCTGGAGGCCACTGAGGACAGCTGTAACCCAGGGAAACAGGAAGGCATGGAGGGTTCAAGAGCCACCCAGGGCTGCTGGCGGGGTGGGGAGGAGAGGAGGACGGAATCGAGAATTTATACACAGGCTATGTGCCATCTTTTTTTTGAAAAAAAAAAAATTTCAGAGAGGAAGGGAGAAGGAGAGAGAGACAAACATCAGTTGCCTCCTATACCCCTCAGTAGTGACTGCAACCCGGGCATGTGCCCTGACTGGGAATCGAACTGTGGCCTCCTAGTTCCATGGTCGGCAAACTGCGGCTCGCAAGCCACATGCGGCTCTTTGGCCCCTTGAGTGTGGCTCTTCCACAAAATACCACGGCCTGGGCGAGTCTATTTTGAAGAAGTGGCGTTAGAAGAAGTTTAAGTTTAAAAAACTTGGCTCTCCAAAGAAATTTCAGTCGTTGTACTGTTGGTATTTGGCTCTGCTGGCTAATGAGTTTGCCGACCCCTGTCCCAGTTCATAGATTCTCAGCCCCCGAGCCACGCTGCCCTGGCAACCTTCCCGGACTTCAGTTTGCTCACCTGTGAAATTGCCAAGTGCTCTCCCAAATCTCCTTCCCTTTGGAAGGCCTGACTGACCACAAAGACTTGTTTGCAACTGGTTTCTCCCTGGGAGGGAAGGCAGCTTAAGAGGAAGGCCGTGGTACTTTTTTGTTCATGTCACACACGAGCTGTGGCTTACACACCATTTGGATTCATTCCTACTTGACTTTTGGGGGGAATTGAACTCGCAGCCTAAAGAACTGGAAGTAGTTGAGGATTCGGCGTCTAACGCCTGCTCTTCAGCATAAACCACCCACGACTGTGTTCTAAAATGCCTACCCAACCACAGAGGCCTCTGGAGAGGGCCCCGAGGTGCAGAGAACCTGGGGGTTTGGCTTTCCCCTGGCCTGTCTGAGGGAAAACACCCACCCAGTGCTGTCCATCACTTTGCTTAATAAACCCTGTAACCCTGGCACCAGTTAAACTGTTTGCCTATCTGCTCCATTAGGCCATCCGCTCACCTCCTTCCCAATTCGAACTTGCCCCTGCTTCCCGCCACCGTGGGAAGGAAGCTGCCGATTTTAAGGATGAAATATTATATCCTCTGCTTCTGAAATAAAGGGTGACAATTCGATATCACGTTGGTTAAAACTCGGTGTCCTTTCGTCCAGTTCCTGGAGCAGAAATACGGCTATTATCACTGCAAGGACTGCAACATCCGATGGGAGAGCGCCTACGTGTGGTGTGTGCAGGGCACCAACAAGGTGAGCATCCCCACCACTGGCGTCGGTCGGTCGGACGGGGGCGTCCAGAGGGGTTTGCTTGACATTTTCTCTCTCTTGTCACAGGTGTACTTCAAGCAGTTCTGCAGGACTTGTCAGAAGTCTTACAACCCTTACCGAGTGGAGGCCATCACCTGTCAGGTGAGCCGCAGGCTTGCATTTCTGTCTGAACTGGGTCGTGGCAGAGGGTTTGGCGTAGTGTGTTGAATACAGTTCCTAAAAGAGGCTCAGTTCCCAGCAACCTCCAGGCGTTTGACAGCTTTTTGGCAGGAGTTCGGAATGATCCTCAGCTGGCAAGCAGGCCTCAGGGTCGGTTCCCTTCTGAGAACCCTTGCAGATCTCGGCCATGGTACCCTCTTTAGAGACCAGGACCTTCCTCACTTGCAATAGGGAAGAACATTGGCCTCACCCACTGCTCAGTCTAATGTAAGGGAAAGCAAACTGAGAAAACGGGATGCTGTTCTGCTGACACAGGGTGGGGAAGGTTGCCCCTTGGCCCAGATGCTGCTGCTGCCGCTGCTTTTATTTATTTACTAGTGACTTGGCGTGCAAAATTCGTGCACATTAAAAGGGGATTCATTAGAGGAAATAATTTAATATTGCTATTTGCCTTTTCTCTATAATAGAAGTGTTAGGGGTGAAAGAAAGTTAGTAAAATGTATATGAAAACCTTCCTCCTGTCAGAGTCTGAGGCACACCATGGGACCCAGAGTCAAGGTGCCCACCCACATGCACCTCAAAATCGCTTGTGACCCAGACCCGGCTGGCCCCCACAACATTGGGCTGGATCCAGACCTGGCCAGTCCCACCCTTTTCAAGCCCTGCCCGGTAGGGGGCATAGTTTCGGGTCCCCTGGCCCCGTGCCAGGATGGGTGGTGTGGCCTGAGGCCCCCAGGGTGGGGGGTGTGCCTTGAGGTCTTCCGTCAAGCCCCACCAAGTGGGAGACATAGCCTGAGGTCCCCTGCCAAGCCCCGCTGGGTGGGGTGCATGGCCTGAGGTCCCCCATCAAGCTCCACCAGGCAGGGGGGGCACAGCCTCAGGTCCCCTGGCCCAGCACCAGGAGGGGGGCGTAGCCGCAGGTCCCCCGTCAAGCCCTGCTGGGTGGGGGCACAGCCTGAGTTCCCCCGACCCAGCACTGGAGGTGCACTTTGAGGTCCCCCAATCAAGCCCTGCTGGGTGAGGGCTGAAACCTGAGGTCCCCTGTCAAGCCCCACCCTGGGGTGGGGGCGCAGCCTGAGGTTCCCTAGCCCAGCACCAGGATGGGAAGAGCACCTTGAGGTCCCCCATCAAACCCCCTGGGGGCAGGGGAGGGTGTAGGCTCTGGTCCCCTGGCCTGGCACTGGGGGTGGTCTGAGGTCCTGCAGCCTGCCAGGTGGGGGGTGGGGGGGTAGCCTGAGGTCCCTGTCAGCCCCACGGGGGCAGGGGAGGGCGTAGCCTCAGGTCTCTGCTGATTGCTCATTAAGGCTCCTTAAGGGAATTAGGCCTCAGCTGTGGGTGTAGCCATCTTTGTGAGGGCAATTAGCATATTCTTCTTTATTAGATTATTAGGATTTTTTTTTTTTTTTTTTACCAGCCACCTTTTATTAGGTGTTACATTACAATATGAAAAGATTCAGAGGTGCTGGGCAAAGGTCGTGGTCAGGAATGTGGAGTCCACACTGGGCCTCGCCTCCTTGCTCATGTTTTAGTTCCTTATACGAACGGCAGTAGTTGAAAAACACATACCGGCCGAAACCGGTTTGGCTCAGTGGATAGAGCGTCGGCTTGCGGACTCAAGGGTCCCGGGTTCGATTCCAGTCAAGGGCATGTACCTTGGTTGCGGGCACATCCCCAATAGGGCATGTGCAAGAGGCAGCTGATCAATGTTTCTCTCTCATCAATGTTTCTAACTCTCTATCCCTCTCTCTTCCTCTCTGTAAAAAACCAATAAAATATATTAAAAAAGAAAAAAAGAAAAAAAAAGAAACACACATACCGGTCCGCTGCCAACACCATAGAAACTCCAGCAGCGCCCCCTTTCTTCTCATTGATGTACTTGTAATGCCTGTGGTAACCTCTTTGAAATGCCCAGCAATGCCTGTAGGGGTGAAATCCCACATCGGTATCCAGCTTGGCAGCCCCCCTGTTTTGGCTTCCATCAGTCTCTCCTCCTCCACTGGCACGACTGACATCATCCTGGAGTCCGGGGTGTCCTCTCCCAGATGCTTCTTATGGAGCACATACCCAAGTTAAAGCGTTTAGAAGCAGCATGGGATTAAAAAAGATTGACTTCAGAGAGGAAGGGAGAGAGAGAGGGAAACATTCATGATGAGAGAGAATCCTATCATTGATCAGCTGCCTCCTACACACACACACACACACACACACACACACCCACACCCCTTTATTGGGGATTGAGCATGTGCCCTGACTGGGAATTGAACCGTGACCTCCTGGCTCACAGGTTGACGCTCAACCACTGACCCACACCTGCCGAGCTAAGCCTGGGGTTTTAAAGTTCAGTCTCGCCTGAGAGCTTGCAAAGGAGAATCATTTGTTTGAAAGCAAATCTAAGTCCCCCAGGCATGTGGCAGGCTGTTCAGACTCCCTGAGGTCAGGGCAGAGCCGGGTCAGGCTCTGAAGGAGGAGGTCTTAGCCACCGGCTGTGGGCCCAGCGGCGGCTGCGTGGCCTCAGCCTTGGTGTGAGCCGCCTGCAGAGGGTGGGGTGGGGAGGCCAGGCCATTGAGGCCAGGCCTGAGCCATGGCTTGCTACTAGGCATTCACCTCCCATATTAGCTTTCCTTGTTTTGCAATACTTCTATTTTTACTTAAAAGTTCTTTTGTTTCATCTCCTCATCCCAGCTTGCTTATTCGCCACCCTTCAAGTGCAGGAAAATTGTTTCAAAAGAATCAATTCCAGCTCTAGCGGTTTGGCTCAGTGCATAGAGTGTTGGCCTGCAGACTGAAGGGTCCCAGGTTTGATTCCAGCCAGGGGCACATGCCTTGGTTTCGGGTTCAATCCCCAGTAGGGGACATGCTGGAGGCAGCCCATCAATGATTCTGATCATTGCTGTTTTTCTCTCTCCCTTTCTCTCTGAAATCAATAAATATATTAAAAACAAACAAAACAAAACAAAAAAACAAACACACCTCACAAAACAAAAACAATTCCAAACTAAATCCTGTGTGACACGGGACTGTGACAAATGGTTAAGCACCTCTCTCTTTTCATCACTCTATCCTTGTTAGAAAGGATACAGACGAGATCAGCACAGGGCCTTGCTTAGAGGGCATTCAAGCAGCATTTGGACGAAGAAAAAAAAATGCTGGAAGTTCTAGGAAGTCACCCGGGGCCTACCTTCTGAACGTGCTTCTCATTTGGTTTTTCAGAGCTGTAAACAGACTAGATGCTCCTGCTCAATAAAACTTCGCCACATTGACCCGAAACGGCCCCATCGACAAGACTTGTGTGGCAGATGCAAAGGCAAACGCCTGTCCTGCGACAGCACTTTCAGCTTCAAATATATCATTTAAACGCATGTAAAAAGCCAGTCCCACCGGCGGGCGCTGGTGGAGCAGACAAGCGAGCTTTGCGTGCCCCTTCTCCTTTCTGCCTCCTTCTCGTGCGAGGCTGTGTTTCTTGGCCAAGCCTTTAAATAAAAGTATTGCAAAACAATTGCATAAAATCGTGTCTTTGAAAATAAAGTGTTAGGAGAGCTTGTCCTGTGTTAACCATCTGGGCCTGTCATGTGTATTATTTGTTCACTAGAGGCCCGATGCACAAAATCCGTGCAAGGGGCTTGGCCCTGGCAGCCCTGGCCTGGTCCGGAAGGTCGTTCGGCTGCCCAGTCTAATTAGCATATTACACTTTTATTATAATTGCCTACGGAGCAGCCAGGCTCTGAGGCATATTCATCACTGGAGAAACCTATGAGGGGCTCATACGTGTGAGATTTACTGCTTATGTGTGTGGGTAGGGCTGAAGCTTCTAAGCAAGACATGAATAGAGAGAAGCCACCTAGCCATGGAATAAGCATGCTTCCGAAGGAGGTGGAGGCAGAGCCACCTGATGTAGGGACCATCGGGGGTGACCCTGAGTGGCTGGCTAGGAGCTTCAGTGCCCCCTGGCGACCTCAGTCCAGTGGGTAACAAATTCTGGGGTAGCGGGGAGAGGCCTGCTGTGAACAAAACTCATCAGCCTCACAGCAGGGGCTCGGAACAGGGCTGCTGAAGGAGCTCAAGATGTTAAACTCATTAAGTGGACTTCAGGTTTATCATGAGGCCTCCTAAGTGTTAACGATTTCTCCGAGTGAGCTGACAAAGACAGCGGTAGCCTTTGTCTTTATTGACGTGCTGCTCTGTGACTGGAAAGGTGTTTTCGCCTCCTCTAACCTGAGGATTCTCTCCTAACTGCACGTCAGTCCCAGGAAAAGACCAGGCCCCAGGAGGCCCGCTAAAGAGTTTGGGGCGGGGGCCTGGGGCGGGGGGGGGGGGGGGCACTGCAGTTCGTGGCAGGGGATTGTAATCACAAAGGAATTGAGGCCTATTGACTTACAGGTTACAGATGCCAATGATAGGAACCAGGTGCTAATTGTGCCTCTTTCCACTTTTCCAACTGCAAGCCCTCACTCCCTCAGGGGTGCCCTAAAAGCAAGCCTGTTGACATCTGGGATGCTTGTGTGTGAACAGACAAGGAATAAAAACCTAAAACGAGTTTGAGGTCTCTAGCGCCCTCAGAGCGATGGGACAGGCCCTCTGCCTCCGTGTGGACTTAGGAAGGCTGCTCGTGAAAATGCAGAGCCCCAGGCTTCTGGCCCTCGGGATCCTAAAGCAGCACTTAACAAGCGCCCAGGTGTCGCTTATGGAATCGAAGCGAGAAAAGCAGCAAAGCAGCAGTCGAGTCAGCCCTGCAAAGCTGGGAAAACATGGGTGAGGCCTCTGCCCTTACGGTGTTCCTAATGGAGGGGTAGGCGGCCATTCACGTCTGCATTAAAAAACAAAGTGAAATAGAAATTCTGCCACGGTAATACTTAGACAGGTTAGGGAGGGCTTGCTTTGAAAATGACACTTCGGCTGAAGTTGGGAGGAGCTGAATTGGGTAAAGGGAGGAAGAAAAAAACCTCCCAGATTAAGCTCACATGTGCCCGGGGGGGGGGGGGGGGGGGAGGGAGAGGGGGAACCAGGCGCCTGAGGTGGAAGACAGTGGGCGGGAACGGGCATGACCGTCGGAGAGACTGGCAGGCCCAGGCTGGGAACACTTTTTTGACTTTGCTCAGGTACTTTCTTAGGTGAGAATCTACTGAAAGGTTTTAAAGGGACAGTGACAGATTCACCTTTAAAAAGAAATAAGCACTCTGGCTGTATAAGGCATGTCTATACATCAGTAAGGCGGCCTGCAAAGATCAGATAAAATGATGGGGGGGGGGAGGTGTCAAAGAGGAACGAGTGACAAGAAGCCCCCTCGGTGGTGGTGAAGGTGCTGCTTCATTCTGACACCTGTGACTGATTTGGGGGTAGGCATGCGGTGTACAGTATGCCCTCAAGCACATGCTGAATGAATGAGGGAAGAGATACCTGCTTTGGGTCCTGAGGGAAATCATTGGCTAGTAACATGGGTAGTTACATTTTCCTAACAGAACAGCTAACCCTATTTTACAGTTGAGGAAAGCAAGGATCAAACTGTGTTTCACTTAGTGGGGATTCAGACATTGAATCAAGTGGCACAAAACGTCATTTTCATGAGTTACAGCGATGCCAGGCTGATGTGATTCAGTGATTGAATGTCAGTGTATGAACTAGGAGGTCACGGTTCGATTCCGTCAGGGCACATGCTGGGATTGCAGGCTCGATCCCCAGTAGGGGGCGTGCAGGAGGCAGCCGATCAATGATGTTTCTCTCCCTTTCTTTCTGAAATAAATTTTTTTTAAAAGAGTGAGTGATAACATTCCAGCAATGAAAAGGTGATATTGAAATTTATTAGAAATTTATAAATGTGAATTTTTTGAGCCAGACTGAGAGACTAGAAGGAAATACTCCAGATTACTGTGATCTGGAGGTGTCAAGAAATTGATTATCATTTTCTTCACATTTCCTACATTGGCTAAAGCAACAGTGTATTACTTTGAAAAAAAATTAAAGTTATAAAGCACAATTATAATTATATTGATTCTGGGGTCTTCTCTCCTCCCATTGAGGTGATGCTGGTGTGTCTGGGCAGTTCTTACAGACCCGAAGCAGGGAGACTCGGTGAGTCTGTTCCAAGAGATGCCGAGCTGTTTTCTAAATTTTAGGTTGTAACCAAACGGGCTATTTTACGTCACCTACAGTAGGAAATACTTTCTGCATCGCACAAACACGCCTGGGCCTTCTATTTTAGAAGCAGCGTGAGGGGACGTCCAGATGGCTTCTGTTGGTGTTATTTTATAAACTATTTTGAAAACGATTAAGGTGTTTACTAAGTTAAACCTTTGATGTTTTTTTGTCAATAAGTGCATAGTTTGGATTTAGAGGATCAGGGGCAAAGAAGCACAGGTTTGAGGAAAACATTTGGGTAAAAGGACAATCCTGATGATTGTACATTTGCATCCTGCTTTGTGCAGGTGTGTTAATTTTCATTACGTTATCAGTAGGCGTAGTTACATATAAACGGGAAAGCAAATTTCAACCGTTTGAAAGGTTTGATTTGGGTCATCAACTTTGTTTTTGTTGTTAATCCTCATCTGAGGATATTTTTTCCCATTGATTTTTAGACAGTGGAAGGGAGGGGGACATATGAGAGGCAGGGAGCAAGCCTGCAACTGAGGTACGTGCCTTTGACTTGAATCAAACCCACAACTCTTCATTCTGAGGACTGATGCTCTAACCACATGCTCGAATCGGGATGGCAGGTCATCAACTAATTTTGTTCTCCCCCTTTTACGGAAAATTATATTGAATGATGAAGATAGTTTGTGAAGTTTCTAAAGGATGCACACTAAAAATCATTCGTCTTTTCTTAAAATATAACACAAACCAACAACTACAATGCCTTTTATTTTAACAAAAAGGATAGAAGGGAGGTGAGGAAAAATAGGGGATGGTAAGATAGGATGTAAAACGGGGGCGTCTTTCTGGACACCAGCCCTCTCTTCCCTGCCCCACACACCCAAATATTACTAAATAATTTAAAGGAGACCATTTACAGTACCAGGACACCATCAAAATAATTGTTTCTTTTTTATCAGGGTCAAAAAAATACAGTGATTATGGATGTGCCGTGACCAGTGAGAGGGTTTTTCAGGTAACATAACTATAGTCAGCAGTCCAACAGGGGGCACCGTGCCTTCAGTTAATGCACTTGAGCATAATTACATTTCTGGCAGCGCCCACACCCCCAAGAGAAGGCAAAGCTAAAGCAGTTCGTTCCTACATTCTAAACTCTGGAACCCCAGAGCCCAGTTTAAAAAGAAAAGTCACAGTGGATAAGAGATGCATATAAAAAATACAAGGGTGTTCCTTTCAAACCAGAGGAATTGTGGGACTACATTCATTTCTTTTACAAAACGCTATTTTTTTTAAAAAAAGACAGAGAATCCAGTTCGTGTTATGCTACAGGCTTAGACAGTGGCTAAGTATATTGCATGTTTTGGTAGTCGGTCTTCGGGCTTCCTCTCATTTCCCCCCGCTATGGCCCCAGGTTCCTTTCGGGTGAGAAACAGTTGAGTCCCGAATAAACATATAAAAAATGCATTTGCATCTCTCTTCTTGAATTCTGCAGACGTCAGAGCCCGCCAGTCATATAGTCTCTATCATCAATGGCCACAATTTGTTTTTCTTTAGCTGTGTACACCTATTCTTGTATAACAGTGCATTGCACAAATGTACAAGAAAAATACTGTGTTTTTTTTGTTTTTTTTTTAAATCTATACAGTTTCTATAATTATGGAGTAAAATAAGTTAACTTTTCTAATGAGAATAGCTGACGGGCAGCATACATCTTTATTTTACATTTTAAAGTCTCTGCAGGCATCTACTTTGGTTAGTTATCAACAATCATTAACATAAGCACTGATCAGAGAACTGAGCAGCATTCCAATAACGTTAACAGATATATTATTTCTTTTTTTTTTTTTTTTTTTGAAATACCGGGAGGGCCCAGCTTTAAAATATTATTAAAATGTTCTAACATTTACACACTATGAAGAGTTAGATCTAATAAAATAAAATTTCTTCAAAAATAATCTTGCAGTGCTCTTTCAGGCATGCTCTGAGATGGTATCACCAAACACCCATACCTTGAAAATATGACTATCATGTATTCACACACCCCATCTCTCTCTCTCTCTCTCTCTCTCTCTCTCTCTCTCTCTCTCTCTCACACACACACACACACACACACAATTCCTTATACAGACTAAAAAACAAAACACCCACACCCTGATCCCACGTGTTGAAAAGTCAATGGTTTTTGCAAATAAGTTTCTGTGTGTATCTATCCGATGGGATGTTCTTCATGTAGATAACGAAGCATCAGTTGTAGGTTATGCTTGTGACCGCTAGGAACCCAAGCAGCGTCGCAGGCCTTCAGCTAAAACGATCCAGCCTCATTTCACCTGCTTTCCCACGTCTCCGGACGAGAGGCCGTTATTGCAAACGTTCTGACAATCGGTTTCTCCGGAAAGCCATGTATGTACTTGGATGCATCACTTTTAGCCCTTTCCCGTTCACATAGGTTCAATAATTTAAAAAAATCCCTTCTTTGTAGTCATTGTGGGAGGCACTGGCAGCTGTTAAACAATTAGTTTTTTGTTTTCGTTTTCCCCCTTCGTCTTTGAGTTTGACATCGGGTACACTGTGGCTGTGGTTGCTGCCAGAAAAAGTTATCAATGAATTGCAAGGGTTCATAAAAGGTGCTTGTTAATATTCGTAATAATCTTCAGTTTAGTTTTCTTTCCTAAATCCATGAAGGTTCTCAGAATCCAGTGCTCACCAAATTCCCAATTGGTTTGGCCTGTGCTAGCAGTTGGTATGATTGCACCGTGCGTAGAGACTCTCTTATTTCTAGATTGAGTTCCATCAGTTTGTAGTTGGCTTCTGACATGTCCAGGTCAGAGCCTATGACGGCAAAGCTTCCCGTCTGGCCCAGCGTCTGGTGATGGAAATAGATGTGTAACAGCGTCTGCACAGGGTCCTCCTCGCAGCTGCCGAAGATGTCGTTGGGCCAGAGAGACCTGAAAGTCACACACAGTCAGTGCTTTTAAGTTCTGAGACCCCACCGGCCGTTATTAAGGTTAATAACTACATTTTAAGTACACACCCAACATGACAACATTTCACTGTGCATCACTGGGCACGTTTTAATATCTGAGCAAAAAGATTACGGAATTTGTCACTGAGAGTGAACAAAATCAGATTTGCCTTTCACAAAGATCTGCTATTGAATCATCGAAATGAAAAGCAAAACCCAATCCCTGTAAACTCCCAGTCTAATAAAGCAGTGATTTTCAACTGGTGTGCCACATGAGTTTTTAAAATGTGCAATACCTCGCTGGGTAGGGCAGTGGCTGGCAAACTCATTAGTCAACAGAGCCAAATATCAACAAACAATTGAAATTTCTTTTGAGAGCCAACTGTTTTTAACTTCTAATGCCACTTCTTCAAAACAGACTTGCCCAGGCCGGGGTATATCGTGGAAGGGCAGCATGTGGATTGCGAGCCGCAGTTTGCCGACTACAGAGGGGGACTGACCTCTTTTCCCTTAGATTGTCAAATTAAAAAAAAAAAAAAAAAGACAACAGCTAATAAAAATAGCCACTTGGTGTAAATGAATCAAAGTTATACAATTTTTAAAATCAGATCAGCAAAAAAAGTATTTTTTGGTGTGCCCCAGAATTTTAGCAATTTGTGTGCCATGAGATGGAAAAGGTTGAAAACCGCTGGTAAAAGGGCATATCCTTAAAAACCTATTCACATTTTACCTGAAAGCTTTGACTTGTGCTACAGCCGATATAAATTCCTTGTTTTTCAAAGTTTCAATTAAGGAGTGAATGGCAGTTTCTATGGTGGTTTGTGCGGCTTTGGAAATGTGGGTTTCTTCGCTCTCAGCGGCGGACTCGGCTTCCCTGAGGATGCTCTCCAGCTGAGCCAGCTCCTCGGACATGTTGATGACCTAAAAGCAAACACACCTTAAAGGGACCTGTTGTATATTCATCAACAAAACGAGCATTTGATTGGCTGTAATAAAGATGTTCAAACGTGCCGAAACCGGTTTGGCTCAGTGATAGAGCGTCGGTCTATGGACTGAAAGGTCTCAGGTTCGATTCCGGTCAAGGGCATGTACCTTGGTTGCGGGCACATCCCCGGTAGGGGGTGTGCAAGAGGCAGCTGGTTGATGTTTCTCTCTCATCAACGTTTCCAGCTCTCTATCTCTCTCCCTTCCTCTCTGTAAAAAAATCAATAAAATATATTAAAAAAAAAAAAAAAGATGTTCAAATGTTAAACCTAATACACAAGGACAGTCAAGTTCTCTGCTGATAAGTAATTTTTGCCACCCAAGGAGTCTTTTATATACTCTGGATAAAATAACAGGTTGGCCCTACCGGGTAGCTCAGTTGGTTAGCGCTATGCCAAGGTTTCAGGTTCCATCCTGGTCAGGGCACATACGAGAAGCAACCAATGAATGCATAAATGAGTGGAACAAAAAAAAAAAAATGTCTTTCTTTCCCCAACCCCCCTCTCCTCTCTAAAATCAATAAAAAATTAAAAAAAAAACAGGTTGCAATAAGTGTAATAAATGTTACATTGTAATAAGTAAAGCAAGTTGTAACGAATGTTTATATTGGTTTTAACGTGATCTATACTTGCTTTTGGATCGTAAAATTACATTTACTGTTAAGAAGGATCAGGAACATTTTTTTTTGATAGTAAAGTCTTTGTATTTTAAAAGGTTATTTACCCAGTGTATTTTATTTTTAAATATAGCTTTATTTCAGAGAGTAAGGGAGAGAGAGATGGAAACATCCATGATGAGACAGAATCAGTGATCAGCTGCCTTCTGCACAACCCCTACCAGGGATTGAGCCTGAACCCAGGCATGTGCCCTGACCAGGCATCGAACCTCAATCTCCTTGTTCATTGGTCAGTGCTCAACCACTGAGCCACATTGGCTGGGCAGCCCAATGTATTTTATATAAACCAGTATGTGTGTGTATATCCTTTTGCATTTAACCATTTAAAAATATTAAATCATTTTCCCAGTGATGGTTTAGTATCAGTGGTTGAAAATGGGGGAAACAAAGACTAAAATCACTACCTCTGAATCTATTCATTACATGCTTATTCTTGTATGCATTACTAGGCTACAAAATAATACCAGGACAGTGTTAGGGGGTTTCATAATATGTCTTTATGGAATTGATGTGCTTTACTAGACTTTAGATTACAGATGATCTATTGCTGCTACTGTGACCTTTAAGGTCATGAACCCTTTAAGACTGCTGGGTATCTACTGCCTCATTTACTAATAGGTCCGGAAATAGCATAGCATTTCAATAAACAATTCTGATAAGTCACACTATGTGTGACTTTGGACTTAAGCTCTCCAACAAGATATATATATATATACACACACACATACATATATATATATGTGTGTGTGTGTGTGTGTGTGTGGTGTGTGTGTGTGTGTGTGTGTGTGGTGTGTGTGTATGTATATGTATATGCCTGTATTTTAACTTTCTAGAATCAGTTAATTGATGCCAAGTACAATTAAATATTTACCTCTGCTTCATTTTTTATTGCATTTACTTGGTTGATAAGTTTACAGTAGGCTTGGAACAGAAGTAGTAATTGAAAATGCAATTTGTATAACCTTCGGCAGAGCTCCAGTTCCTAGAAATAAATAACATTGCATTACAATTTAGACGTGACGTTCCATATATGACTAGACGACATATTTCCAATAAATTTGTAAAACAGCTGTTAAAAAATTGTCCTGGCATTTATTTTTCCGCAGTAAGCAAGTTAATACAGTATGAAGCTGATGAAAGATGCTTTGAAGACTGATTAAAGGTATTGTTGGTTACATAATTCATTTTTAGTGTCAAGCACATTTTCACATTAGAATTTTAAAGCAGACAATATATAAAATGCTTTAAAAAGGATTCACTGTTACTTAAAACTTTAAATTCATAATTCAAATGCATATGCTTTTGCCGCATCAAGTTACAAATATCTCACGATATTTAGCAATAAGTGCTTGTTAAAGCAGAGTAAAACTGGATAAACGCTTAGCTAAAAATGAATTCTTTTTCTAAAAAAAAAAAAACAACACATTGTAATCTCATTGAAATGAGACAATGAAATTAACATTTGTACTTTGATTTTCAAAATGAAGGAATTTAAAAGGAGATGTTAGTTGTAAATGTATGAGAAGGCAAGAGCTAGTTGTACATATTGATTATAAAATCACATTTTTATTGGACCACATTCCATAGATTAGGACTACGAAAACCTGAAGCAAACACTACTTTCAAAGTAGCAGTCCACGCCAAAACACTGGTGGGTCACAAACGGACAAATGGCAAATGAGAACCAATTTGTCTGACATGGATAAATAGTCTGTAAATTAAGACAGGTCACTTACTGCTAGAATTTCCATTTGCTAAGCAAGAAGGTGATCAGGTCACAAAAATACAAAGGAAGAGAAAGACCAAGAATTAGTGTAAGATCATTTTAACTAGGGCCACAGATGTCCCAGACAAACTGAAGAGCATTTCATTACACCCCAAAGAAAAATTTATGATGCCATTTCCAGAATAAAACTCTTTAGACATTTACTGTAGCAATCCAGGGTGCTTTTTTTTTTTTTTTAACGCTTTGCCAAATAAAAAATTATATTTAGGCTACAGTTTATTTCTGTGTCACAGTTATGAAGAAAATCGAACTAATGTGATCTTGAGAAATCTGGCTGTTATAAGTGGTGTTTATCTAAATCTTTAAAGCTTTCACAAAAAAAAATGCCAAGGGTCATAAAATTTTCTTAGTAAAGGAGAAAATTTCTCATTAGGAAATAAGCAGATTACTGTTCTCAGAAAAGAGGTGGCATATAATCTTATACAATACTCACCCAAGAGAAGGTTATCTTGGGTGTGGCTCATTCTAGGCTTCCTACCTCTCACTGTCTAATTAGGTCCTAGGTGCCAGAATTGGTGCCGAGTCGGAAGGTAAAATAGCGAAAGCAGATGTGTGTTTTGAATTGCATTCCAATATAGTTTAGTGAACTTCAGAAAACTCAAACCTACTAGATTTGAACCAAATAAGATAAGGTATGTGAAATACATATTTAAAAACTATCACATTAAAACATCTACAGCAACTCAGACCTACTCATTCACGGAGAAAAAGGATTCCTATTTAAAACAGCAACTGCCGTAATGTAAGAGCTGCTTCTTAAAGTCCCCTCTGAAGCTTGCTTTTCTAAGTAGTTTTCCTCAGAAGAACTACTTATGTAACATTTATTCCTTTCAATTTAGAAAGGATTTGCTAAGCAAAGGTGAACTTTTAGCTCCCGACTGCTTACCATACGTTACTCAGGCAGCCATCCTGTGAACATTAGCTGAGCACAATCCAGTGTCAAACTTATTAGCATATCTAAATTCCTAAGGTTTTATATGGAAACTAATAATGATTTGAATTTTAAATACCCTTTCCCTCTTCTCTTAGCATAAATAAAACAGAGCTAACTCTATGTGCATCTATCCTTAGCCTCTACTGTGGGATGTAATGGAGAAGAAATCACTGATAATGTTTAAACCGCAGGAAATAACACCATCGTAATTGATTCTATAGCTCGGAATTACCATAAGCTGTACTAAACATGCTAACACTGTATATTTTTAATTAATACCTTTTAAGTGCACTGAAATTTGCATATACATTCTCTTTTATTTTTAAATAACATCGATAGGATGCTTATTAAGCAAAAGACCACACTGGTACAGGGAGACACTTAACAGACAATGTGTAAACAAGTCCCCACTCTCAAGAGCTGAATATGAGAGAGATGTAAATGAAATCTTAAATGTACAGTTTTCATTTAGCAGAAAACTTTGAGCAAGATTAACTGATGAAGATTTTGGGAAATGGACCTCATTTTCTTCAAGGTAGAAGGGATATAAGAAATTACTTAGTCTAAACACCTAATTTATATAGGAAAAAAAAGTATACTACTTGCTTAAGCCATGCAGTAGTGGCAAAGTCAGAACTAGAACCAAAGGATCTAACTCTAATCCATGGTTAATTCATTATTTTACATACATGATTTGACAATTTCTTTTTAAAAAAATGTATTTTATTGATTTTTTACAGAGAGGAAGGAAGAGGGATAGAGAGTTAGATACATTGATTGTCTGCTTCCTGCACACCTTCCTCTGGGGATGTGTCTGCAACCAAGGTACATGCCCTTGACTGGAATTGAACCCGGGACCTTTCAGTCTGCAGGCCGACATCCTAGCCACTGAGTCAAACCAATTAAGGTATGACAATTTCTTGGTAACAGTGCAGGACTGCCTAGGTTGGAATTTTAATTTTACTTATTTACTTACTGATTTTATTTTATTTTAAAATATATTTTATTGATTTTTTTACAGAGAGGAAGGGAGAGGGATAGAGAGCCAGAAACATCGATGAGAAAGAAACATCGACCAGCTGCCTCCTGCACACTCCCCACTGGGGATGGGCCTGCAGCCAAGGTACATGCCCTTGATTGGACTGGAATCAAACCCGGGACCCTTTAGTCCACAGGCCGACGCTTTATCCACTGAGCCAAACTGGTTAGGGCTTACTGATTTTAGCTTCTCTGAGCCTCAATTCTCTCATCTGCAAAATGAGGAATGCTATAATTATAGCATCTACTAGACAGAGTTGTTAGGCTAGAGATAATGAATATGAAATACTTAATACAGTGCCTGACAAATAGTTCACGTGTATTAAGAGTGTGCCATTATTTTCTCAGCATTTCAGTTTTTTAAAAACTTCATGTTTTCTTAATAATGGTACAATAATTTTTACAGAGACTACAACTCTATAACAATATAGCTGGTGTCTAATAATTCTAATCTCTTATTTTAATAAAAGATTAGAATTCTGATGTCAAATGCAAAGGTCATTGAGGAATGAATGTATCTTCCTTGTATGAAATTGTACTCTTACTAGACTAATTTGTAAGGCTTAATTCATCCTCAATATGCTGTTTTATATGTGTATACTTTTCTATAAGAAAATATTATTTCATTGAGTTTTACACTAGTAAAAAACATTACAGTTTATCCAGTCAGAATTTCATGTTTAGAAAGGCTAATATGAATATATATAACCTTATTTTGGGGTTTGCATTCCTGACTAGACCATTTATCTGCAGAATACCAATGAAGAACAGAAATGTCTTCAAAGAGGCAGGTACAGCTAACTGGACTCGGACTGTCCAGATAGCCATCAAGCCTGTCTACGGAATGTTATTAAGCTTCCGTCACAAGCAGGTCATTCATTTTTATTGAAGTGAATTTTTTCATTACTAAGCCAGTATTTCATTGAACCTTTTACAAAGATTGCTCTGATAGCAAAAATGAAAAATGTTACACGTATTCTTTTTTTCTAGGAATATCACATAAGGACATATGAGCATGCACATAGTTTTACCCGGAACAGAAATACAGCACAGTGGAGAACAGGAAACTTACCTGTGCGTCTGTGTTGATCCTATAAATGTCTTTGGCGCCAAATGTCCTCTTGCAATTGTCTAACCACTAAAGAAAGAATTGACAGTGAATTTTAGTGTAGTATTTGTACGATGGATTGGTAATATAACAGCCTGCTGTATTAAACAACAAATTTAAAAGTTGATAGTCTCCCTGTGTATACGCAACAATCCTGGAAGACACAGTCAGTGTAACCAGATGCATACTTTTTTTAAAAAAATTAAAATATATATTTTATTGATTTTTTACAGAGAGGAAAAGAGAGGGATAGAGAGCTAGAAACATCGATGAGAGGGAATCAATGATCAGCTGCCTCCTGCACACTCCCTACTGGGAATGTGCCCACAACCTTTCAATCCACAGGCCAACGCTCTATCCACAGGGCCAAACCGGTTTTGGCCAGATGCACACACTTCTGAGTGCTTATCAATGGAAATGCAAATGTGGCCCTCTCTTGGGGAGGCGGAACACTGCTTCAGTGCAGAGAAGTCTTCACAGTCATTACCTGCCCTTGTGTCACATAAGATGGGAAATGAAATGTGATTCCCCTTCAGCCAATTAATAAGGACAACCTAGAATTAACCAGGTCCTTTTGCTGACCGGAGGTGTAACTCTCAGAAGGCTGCTGGTGTCAAGTTTTAGTGAAACAGAAAACAAAACCTATTTTAAATCTTATTTTTATATCTTTTTTTTTTCTCCCCCTTTTGGACAGTAGTGTGACAAACAAGTTATTCCCTAAGAATATTGGGTATAGGAGCCAAATGTCATTCCTAAGGTTGGCTATTTATTTAAGGTCAAATAAAAATAAAATCCCATGAGGTTTAATAGGAAAGATCACTAAAAGCCTTTAAGTTAGGCTCCTAGGTTTTGACAGGTCGATAGTATTAATATTTGTTTTTAAAATCTTAATGTTTTTTTGTTTTTTAATTTGGTGAATTTTATAATACAAATAAAAGTCATGAATAAGAAATCATAGGAACATTTTTCACTAGGATTTGGGGGGAAATTGCCAGTCATGTTATGTCTGCCTTTTGAAAATATTTCAGTACTAGGCATTTAAAATTCTCAAATGTAGCTTAACATTTCTACATGCAAAGAATTGCAATGAGACATCTTAGTTATTTCAAAACAATCTCTGACCTCCTGTCCCCTTCTATCCCGGTCCCTCAGACTGCACCTCAGGTCCTTTGCTTGACATCTCATGTCAAGCTTTCCTGGCGAGACACAGTGGCTGGCAGCCACTGTCAAAGCATCCGGGCGATTTCCTCATCTCAGCAAAATTCAGTTGTGACTGTACCTGACTCTCTATCCACACAAGATGTTAAAAGCTTATACTCAAGCATCATCACTAATCCAGTCCAATTTGTCCAGGTAAACCAATACATTTGGAAACATTTCAATAGATTATTCAATAGACTATTCTTAATATTTTTTAAAAATTGATTTCAGAGAGGAAGGGAGGGGAACAGAGATAATCAACAATGAAAGAATCATTGATCAGCTGCGTCCTGCACGCACCCTACTGGGGAGCGAGCACGCAGCCTGGGATCCTTCAGTCCACAGGCTGGTGCTTTCTCCACTGAGCCAACCCGGTTAGGGCCTTCCTGGATATTTTTTATACTGTACATCCAGTGATATGGCATTTGGGCGCATTATTGAATACAATTACTTCTGATTTTATCTTGTTAAAAGACAAGCCCCAACCCTATAGTCCCATGGGCTGAACACCGCCCTGAAAGGTACAGGTCCACACCTTTCCAGGCGGAGCGCACAGGACACAGTAGATCGTCTGTGTACAGAATACCCTCTAGTTCAGAGGTTGACAACCTTTCGGACCTCACGGACTAACAGTGGTCCACTGGTTGGTGATTGCTGCACGAGTTCACGTCTAATCAGTCTTCCTGTCACAGTGTTTTCTTTACTCAAGTGAAGGTTAAAACTTAACTTGAGAGGTCTGGCTTCTGGCATGATGGAGGAGCTAGTGTAAGGCCCGCCCTCCACAGATATCTATAGAAGCCGTGTACCAGTACCAGGGTTTGGGGAGTACCAGAAAAGGACCGATGGGATCAGTGTTTACGTGCCCTAGGGTAAACATTGATCCCGGTGTTTACTCTAGGGCTTGTGCTTATGCATGTCCCAGGCACAGAGGTGGGAGAGGACGTGGTGGCCTACAGTGTCACTGCACGGGGAGGTATGAGGATCTCGGAGAAGAAGGAACTGCAGAGGAGGGACCTTCACAGTCAGCATGTACCCTTACCCTCACCCCACTCAGGGACATTGCTGTGCGGGCAGAAAGGCTCAGAAACCAAGCAGCAGCATCTGGGAGTCTAAAAAGGCAAGCGGAGATTTCTAGTCTCGTGGTTCTGGGAAGACAAACGCTGTCCAGTCCCTGTTGAGGCAGCAGGGTCCTGATAAACACCCAAGGCTTTCACTCACCATCCTGGGAAACTCGAGGAATAATAAAGGGATGTACAACCAAAAAACTATGAGAGGGGAAAACGGAGTAATAAAAAATATGTGGTTGACAGAAAAGACCAGAAAGGAGGAAAAAGGGTAACAATGAGTAGGTTGGGATAAGAAACGGGGAGATGGTAGCTCACAAAAGAACCAAAGTTCATTCCGCCCCCATACAAATAGTTAACGGATTCAGGATAATTTCTTGAACATCCTTTCCCCAACGCATTGCGATAGCACCTTTGCTGTGAGTTATGTGACTATATACGTGGGTCTGTGATTGGATTCTCTATTACATCCCACTGGTCTGTTCACTCTTCCGCCAGTACTGCCCCCTTTGAGATTTCTATTATAATAGGTCTCGCTGGCTGGGAGATTTCTCATAGATCTTACCAACGGCGCTGCTTAGAGCTAGCTGCCGTTCTTCAGGACAAGGTTTGGAGGACTCTTTCTGTAAAGGGCAGGTAATACCTCAGGCGTTGCAAACCATACGTTCCCTGTTGCAATACGTAGAATAGTGATGCTACAAAAATAGTCTTGGACAATCCGTAAACAAATGGGATGGCTATTTCCTTAAAAAATCTTTACATAAAACAGGCATGACCTGAAGATTCTAGTTTGCTGGGCTGTGTTCAGCAAGATTGTCTGTCCTAGTATTTGCTGTTTGCATTTCCATCTAAATTGTAATTAGCCTGTCAGTTTTCATTAACGTACCCTCTGAGATTTAGGACAACAAGGCATTAAACCTACATATCATTTTTAGGGAAATGACACCTTTCCACTATCGAGTTTTCTCACTCATGAATACGGTGTAGTCCTCCATATATTTAGTCTCTAATTTTGCTCAGCGATATTTGGGGTTTTCTGTGTGGAGATCTAGAGTATTCGACTGGACTAATTTGTAGGTTTTTTATGTCTTGTTGTAAATGGCACATACTTGCTCAAAACAACCAGACAAGTGCCTGTGTTGGCTGGGAGTTCCTTCCGGTTTTGCCCAGGGCCACCCTGCGTATACAGTCGAGTGATGGCTCGACTCGGGCTGGAAGTCCCAAGTTGGCCCCCCTTCTGTGCTGGCATGCTGCCTTCACAGCCAGGCTTCCTCCACCCTCCTCCACAGGACCTCATCCCCGAATAGACTAGAACTCAATCAGTTTCTCAGAATTCATCCCAATTTACACTCTGACCAGCAGGATGGCAAAAGCAGAAGCTGCAAAAGACCATGGACGTGCTGGTCTCCGAAGCTGCACAGCAATGTTTCTGACTTTGGTCAGAACAAGTCACAGCATTCCACGAGGAGGTGGGGGAACGGACTCCGTCTCCTGATGGGAGGAGCGGCACAGGGGTGTGGATGGAGACAATTTACCGCAGCTTCTGGGATAAGCTGCATTCCTGAAGAAACCCAAGGCACTAACCATAACGGAAAAGGCTGATAATGTGGAACTAATTAAAACCGAGAACTTCTGTTTATTAAAAGATGCCATCAAGATAGTGAAAATGCTAGCCACAGAGAGGGGGGAAATGTGTAATACATTCCTCCCATAAAAGGCGTGGGTTTAAAACAACTACAAATCAATCAGAAAACCACAAGCAACCTATTTTCAAAAATGGACAAGGTACTTGAAAAGACACAATTCATAAAGTATCTAAACGAGGATTATCTATATGAAATGTTGCCCAAACATTCATCAGGGGAAAGGCAAAATAATATAAAATATGCTGCCACACACCTACCACAATGAATACATTTTTTAAGTTGCCAATACCAAGTGGTGACAAAGATAAGAAGCAACACATTGATGAAGGGGTTATAAACTGATACCATCTCTTTTAGAAAAGTGCCTGGGAGAAAAGTAGAACATATGTATATACCATGACCCAGCAATTCCACTCCTGGATATTCAACTGATAAGAGAACATATATACCCAAAAGACATGTATGAGAATGTACAGAGCATTACTATTTGTAAGATGACCAGATGTTGAAAATTCTTCCAATCTGCCACCCTTCTTTCAGTCCAATTATAAGATCCCTTTCCCTTATAAGGGGGGAAAGCCCTAATACAAGTATTTTCTCATACCATCTTCTCTCCCTAAAGTAATCCCCCAATCTAAAATTACCATCTGTCAAGGTCTAAGGTCCTATCTTTATTCCATGAAGTTTCCTATCAGTCCAAGTGGCCTTTCAATTTTGGAAGGTCTCTTTCGTTGCTAGTATACTTTTATTTATAGTTAAACCGAAATTGACATTTTATTTTTGTTACTAATTATTCATATACTGTATTTGTGCCTTAAATTCGTATCTGGAATCAGATTTAGGTTGTATACTTTATTTTTCATAGGCCTTTACCTGTGATGGATCCTTAAAGACCCATCTACTTTATATACAAAAAAGTCTACTGTATACAGTTTGTGTGAAAAGGAAAAGCCTTTCTTTTTTCTTTTCAGTTTTCTCTGCTCCTGCTAATTGAAAGTGCTTCCTCTCAGGACAGAGAACTATGCAGTGCCAGACCAGAGCTGAATACCTCTTCACAGGTGATACCTGTAATCTACCCCACGCTCATCTCTGCCTTCGCCCGCCCATGCACACACATCATGGGAAGAGATCACAGAGTGGTCACAGGTGGCAGATTCTTTAGGCCACATCAGAACGTATTCTCAGAGAAAAACTCATTTCTCCACTTGCAATGTAGTCTCTACATGGAGGCTTTTTATAAAGCTCTGATTCTTCACTGGGCTCCCAGAGGGCTAGCCTGGACAGAGCGCTCAGAGGCCCCAGGCGCTCAGAGGTCCTCTTCTCTCTCTGCGCTAGCCATTTAGCGGCCTGGTTAACACTTCTAGTGTTGGAAGCAAGCTGCTCTTCAGGGCCTCTGCCCATTTTCCACCTGGGTCGCTCCTTTGCTTGGCACTGAGTTGTACGAGTTCTTTATAAATAGTGTTTCGGATATTCACCCCGGAGCTGTTGGAGCTGTTGTTTGCAAATATCTTCCCCCATTTGATTGGCTGCCTTTTCCTTTTGTTGGTGTTTTTTTGCTGTACAGAGCTTTTTAGTTTGATATAGTCCCAAGAAGACATACAAATGGCCAACAGACATGTGAAAAGATGCTCAGCTTCACTAGCTATTAGGGACACGCAAATCAAAACTATTTTGAAAAACTGCCTCACACCTGTTGGAATAGCTATTATCAACAAGACAGGTAATGTGTCAGGGACGCAGTGGAGAAAAAGGAACCCTCATTCGCTGCTGGTGGGAATGTAAACTGGTATGGCCACTATAGAAAACAGCATGGAGGTTCCTAAAAAAAAAATTAGGAATAGAATTACCACACACCTACCGCAATGAGTACATTTTTTTAAGCCAATATCAAGTGGTGACAAAGATAAGAAGCAAAGATATGACCCAGCAATAACTCCCGGACATCTACCTGAAAAACCTGAAGACATTTATTCACAAAGATACATGCACCCCTATGTTCACAGCAGCGTTTCTCACAGTGGCCAAGGCATGGAAACAACCACAGTGTCCTGTGATGGAGGACTGGATAAAGAAGATGAGGCACATATATCCTATGGAGTACTACTGAGCCACAGGAAAAGATGAAACACTGCCATTTGTGACAACATGGATGGACCTCGAGAACATTATGCTAAATGATGTAAGTCCATCAGACAAAGCTGAGAATCAAATGATTTCACTCACATGTGCAATACAAAACTGGAACTTACAGACACAGACAACAGTATGGGGGTTACCAGAGGGAAGGGTCCTGAGGGGGGTAGCATAGGGTAATGGGAGCCAAATATAAGGTGACGAAAGACATGTGTCTTTGGGTGGTGGGCACACAGTGCAATATTCAGGTCATGTATCATGGAAATGGACCCTTGAAACCTATATAATCTTACTAACAATCATTTTTAATTAATTTAGAAAACAAATACAAGAAATTGGAGGGGTGGAAAGAAGCATAGTATTCTTTTCACACAGTAAAAAGAGACTGACCTGCTCGGCTGCTTCTCTCTTGGCGTTGTACGTATCCAGGTGTTCCTGCAACTCCAGGACACTGAACTTGAGTGTTTCTAGCAAATCACACGACACCAGCTGTCAAATCAAAAACATGGATCCGGGTTACTATTGCTGGTCATGGTCATGAGACTTGGCGACTTGTGGGCCGTGGAATTTCTGTTAGCTGGTCTGTGGCCCCACGTGGCGCCAGTGTCCCTTCCTGCACTCTGCCCCTTCCTCACGGCTGCCCCATCCCCCGAACCGGGGAAGCATCCGTGGGATTTCCAGGCTGTCAGCCCGACTAGCAGGCCTTCAACGCTGTCACACGCTGGCTCGGGCAGGAATGGCATGTCAGACTAGTATCTGCCTTGATAGCAACACCTCTGGAGCTTCTTAAATCTTAGTGTCCTTCAATATCTTAACGTATAATGTCCAAATATGCTTGGGAATGGGGTGGGGAGACTAAGGAACGTTCAGTTCTTCATGGGGGAGGTCTAACCACCCCCTTCCCACTTTTATGTAGGAGTCATGAAAAAAGTGGACATCTCTCTCTACCGCATGACTCCTTAGATTCCTCATCAAGGAATCCGGAGGGCGCGGGCAGGGAGGGGTCGGCCTCAGAAACAGCCACAAGTCACTGCACCTAATATACTAGAATTGTATTTTGCTCTACATTTATAAGCAAGTTGGAGAAATTCTGAATTGGCCTATTTATTGAATGATACCATTCAAACTTAGTCTTTATCATGAGCCCTCCTGTAGAAACGTACTGTTTCAGCATCCACAAAGACGGTGGGGCACTCCGAACACAGCATCATCACCTCCAGGGAACTTTTAAACTTGGTGCCGATGCGCTGCAGACCCTCGCCGAGAAAGCTGACTGCCTCGTTCGTTATGTCTCCAAACTTCCTCTGAATGGTCTGTGGAGAAAAGCATATGAAAAAGTTTAATATTTCCCAAGAAGGCCTCTTTTCATCATTGAGCAAAAAAAGCGTAATTTATTTACTAGGGCAATGTTTTCTTTTGAAGTTATTGTGGCAACATACTGAATTCTAGTAATTGATCTGTAAATCCGTGTTCTAGGCACTATTTCAGGAAACCGCTTCTAAAAATGATCAAATATTAATGAAACAGTATTACTGAAAAAAGGAAACTAGTGACACATGCCAGGCATTCCCCCAATCCTGAGATATTTTTAAAATATATATTTTATTGATTTTTTTTTTTTTTTATAGAGAGGAAGGGAAAGGGATAGAGAGACAGAGAGATAGAAATATCAATGAGCTGCCTCCTGCAGACCCCCTACTGGGGATGTGCCCACAACCAAGGTACATGCCCTTGACTGGAATTGAACCTGGGACCCTTCAGTCTGCAGGCCGACACTCTATCCACTGAGCCACACCGGACAGGGCATCCTGAGATATTTTTTATGGGGATAGACATTAGGAGTACATGCTACACACCCTGGGAAATAAAGTCCTCACATGTCTGAGGTTTCGTGCTTCTACAGTTTAGTTCTACCTGAAAGAAATTTTTGGTAAATGTAGTTTACGATCCTTGGCTATGGGCTGCCATCTGACATTAATGATCAAAGTCAGAAAAATACATTAAGAGTAACATCTCAAAACTCAATAATAGTTATCCACATAAAACAATCAGATAATGTCTGAGCCATAATGAGCATTCAGTGAACTAGACTATATTACTCATAGTCTAATAATTACATAATATAGACGGTGTGTACCTACATGTGTCTGTGTAGCACTCTTGGGTGTCACTATGAATATATATATATTTTTTTAAAAGACCTAAGCCACAATCTCAGGCATCAAGAAACTCAGAATGACAAAGGAAAGACAAGAACATAAGCAGAAAGTCAAGTAGCAATTGCTGGGAGCCACCCACTGTCTTCACTATCAGAGAAGCGTAAACAAGGAGCCCAGAACGCCGGTGAACTTTGAGCCATGGCAAGGGCCGGAGCTATGCACCGATTGTTTAGTCGAGACAATGGTAGCTCAAGCAATTTCCTGACCAAATAGTCTCAGAGTAAATCTTTACTAATATTTACTGACCTTTAAGACAGTCTGTCTGTTGCTGGAATTGCCTTCCTGGCTAAGGGCAATATGTGTATCCAATATTGAATAAAAGGTTAGCAGGGCCTGGGCACCGGTGAAGTCCTTCCCCTTGCGGTGGACTCTCCGCACAGCCCCCCCCCCCCCCCCCCAATTTCCAAATTATCTTGTGTCGTCATTTGCGGTTGGCCCTTCTCCAGACCCCGAACCCTGAACCACGTGGGACATGGCTCACACAAGCAATGCAAAAGGACAGAATGAAGTCCACGGTCGCATTAGTGAGCACCAGGGAACTGCCAGGCGGGAGGGCCAGAGGCTGGAATGGTTGGGAAAGCTTCAAGGATTTGGCAGGCTCTTCCACGGTGAGCAACACTGGCCCAGGGAGGGAGGAAGCGTGGCAGGCAGTTCGGGACAGCGACTTCCATGGTGGCATTGCTCTGTGCCTCAGTTTCCCTAACTATGGAATGCTGAAAATATTTACATTCCATAGGTCTGTCGTAAGAATGAAATACTTGATGTAGAGAAGCTGGCGAGGTGCCTAGCATGGAGTGAGTGCTCAATAAATACTGGCTCATTATTATATTATTATTTTTAGATTAGAAGCAACCTTAGTTAAAATTTTTAAGGTCCCCACACAGTATTGGAAGTACTGATTAATCTAGCATTTAAACTGTTTTGGGATTCTGACTGTAAGCTCCTTGAAGGCGGGGACCATGCTTTTGTATCTCTTTGGTATCCCTGAGGGTGCCTGCTAGTCTTCAGGAAGCTTACCAGTTGTTCTGAGGTTTTATTCTGAGCTCCCTAGAGTGGTCACTGTACACAGTACCAGCAGCAGTGCAGTGTCACCATGTGAATTCAGTACCATCACTATCTTACAGGGGGGGAATTTAAAGAAAATCAGTGGGAGTATTAAAAGTTGAGATACTGATTTTAGACCAAAAAAAAACACCATAACTTTATCAGGGAACCACGATGTGAATTCACAAAGCTTAGACGTCCCTGACCTGGAACAGCCTGGAGAACACGTGGAAAGTGAACACGGCGCAGGCGCCATCCGAGTCGGACAGCATCTGGTTGACGTGGCAGCGCCAGGCCTCCTCCTCGTCCTCGCAGGCCGCCGGCTGGAAGGCGGCGATGATGGCAGAGAGGAACGGCGATGGCAGGGGCGACGCCTGCACCTCCAGGGAGCCGTCTGGCTCCTCCTCCTCGTGGCTGTCAACACAGATCGCAGGAGTCATGACGCCGTCTCAGGAGAACAGGCTCAGTGGCTGAGAATACTTTCATCCAAGATACATCGTTCTCATGAACGCACAACCGATAAAACCTCGTAAGAAAGCGCGAGTGAGCACAAGCAAGCAGATTTCTGGTTAGCACCTTCTACGTAGCCTCTTTGGAATTAGAAAGTCTAATCTCACTCGACTACCTTAAAACAACCCAAGTCCTATGATAAGCCAGCGCCGTGGACTACTTTGAGTAGCGGCTGTGAGTAATTCAGATTAGAAAGCTTTCACGGTACATAAACGTATAGATACAGACAACAGAAAGATGGTTACCAGAGGGGAAGAGGGTGAAGAAAGATGAATTGGGTAAAGGGGTTAAATATATAGTAATGGGGGGAAAAAAAAGTAGACATGCAAGAGTATAGGTCAAATTTACAACGTTGTATACCTGAAATGTATATAATGTTATTAACCAACATTACCTCAATAAATTAAAAAAAATTTCCATTTTAAATGGTCAGTTTTGGAGGCCCAAATTGATGATATTAAAAAAGTTTTGGCCATGTACTTTGTGTCAAGGGACTGTTAGGTACTTTATACGAATTGTTTCATTCTTCACAGCAACTCTATGAGAGTTACACACTTTTATCTCCATTTTCTCGATGAGGAAAAAACAGATAGCTTATTATTTTTAATCCTCACCCAAAGGCATGCCGAGAAAGAGAGAGAGAGAGAGAGAGAGAGAGAGAGAGAGAGAGAGGGAGAGAGAGAGAGACACACACACGTCTATGTGAGAGAGAAACATTAATTGGTTGCTTCATATGTACCCCAACTGAGAAACGAACTGGCAACCTTTTGGTTCCCAGGATGACATTCAACCAACTTGAGTCACGCCAGCTGGGCAAAACCAGTTCAGGGAGGTTAAAGAACGTGCTTAGATTGCTGGGTAGGGAATGACAGAACCAGGATCTGAACCCAGGACTATGGGTCCAAACCCGCTAACAAAAGCCCTGACGTACAGTGCCAGCTCAGTTACTTCACATGCTGTGTGCTCAGCAGGATGGCAGTGACAGATTTTATGCAAAGGAAACATACGACCTAGCCATTTTCTGTAAGGATAACAAAAATGGAATGATTAAAAAAAAGAAAGATGTATTTGGGCTGGGCTGTCTATGAAGTGTGCGACTCTGGGTCTTGAGGATGCAGAGCTTGAGCCAGACGCTCCATAAAGAAATGGGTTCCTCAAGGCCTTACGGTGCCTGCTCCGCCTTACAAGGCAGAAATTATGAAGAGGATCTGAGGGAAGGTTGGGGGAAAAGTTAAATTATACATCAGAAAGCTTAATTCTTAGTGTCACTGGGGTGACTGATTTGGACAAAATGTATCCTGTAAGCTTGAGTGGGCATGCCTCTGTCATTAGCAGGGACGCTCTATTCCATTTCAGGATCAGTCAACCATTTGACTTCAGCCTTTCAGAAAGATGGAACAGCTGGCTCTCTACCCCCACATTGCTTCTGGCATCCCTGAACTTGAGCATGATTGGTGAGTGAGCGAGGGCACAGGCTACTGTCACAGCCAAATAAAGAGCATCAACAAGGTGCTGATCACGTCTGAATGTCCATGTCCATATGTAGGTCAGACTCTAGATATATTAGAAGTGAAAATTATCCTCACCTGGTACACATATTTAAACTCTATTATCAATTGAGGTACAACTGAATACTTTTTAATTGCAAGAGTAAAACTGACATTTGATGAATACTATTTCTGTGTAAGAATAATTATCAAGGAGTATCATATTGTAGACTAGAGAAACACGTAGAAGGAACAGCCTGAGAGTACTAAAAAAAATCACCACTTCCGCTCTTTATATGTCAAACATGAAAAATCTGACCACTGATAATGAAAGTGGAAAATCATTTTTAGGTCTATTTCAGATTTATTCTGGTATCATAGACGTTCACTCCATGATTTTGATACGTGGATCTGGCCATGGCCCAATACTGATGTTAACATGAGGCTATTAGGCATTCTGCCAAAATAGGTATTTGCTGCTTCTAAAAACGTACAATGACACCCACTATGCCTTGAGAAATGCTCATTTGTTTTTCTTTAAGTGAATGTTAATAAAATAGGATAAACCCACCAGAGCAAATCATTTTATCTTTAAAAACAAAGAGAGTATGACTAAAACATACCCAGAGATGAAAGTATACTGGAACAGAGGGTCATATTTGGGAGGGGGTGGGAGCAAAGATATCCTCTCCTGAAAGTGTTGGTGATGCCCCTTTCTCACCTAGACAGTCCAGAGAAATCAGCCTCCTCCTCCTCACATCTTTCATCGAGTTCTTTCAAAGCTAAGGTGACGTCCTCCTCACAGACGGACTCTGGGTAGCTCTCAGGGGCCAGAGGCTCTGGCATGTCAGTTTCCTCCAAGTCCAAAATTCCTTGGCACACGAGAGAATCCTGCTGCTCTTGAATTACGTATGCCCCTGCATCTCCAAAGGCTGTAATGACCTGTTCCTCCTTTAATAGTGAACTTGTATCCTGTGAAAACAGTAATGTTACGGACTTTAATAACGTTAAAACAGGCAATTTATCAACAAAAAATAATGACTACTGCCATCAATATACAACTGTTTTTATTAAGTTGTCTTCATTCATACAGTTTAATTGTTGGAGTTTTTAGATTCTGATTATATAAAGTTGTTTTTTTAGAAATGGTCCCACGTTTTTTTGTTTTGTTTTTTTAAATTTGAAATTAATATGTTACCACCTATTGCCACATAGAAACATCAAGGTATTCTCTTAAGAGGATTTAGGCGTTTGGTTAGAAATATATGCTTTGGAAAAATATCTTCTCACATACATATTCTAATCCTACATAAGAAGTTTCTATGACTATATATTTCCTCTCACATAAAATAGCATTCCTTTCATTATACCAGAACATTATATCCAGTAAATTCTAGATATAAGGAAGGGGGATAATTCAAAATAGTTAACTCACCAGCCCTGAGGGGCTGCCCATGAATCAGGAACAGGTCCTGACTAATCAGGAGAATTAAACTGAAAGAATGATGGTTCCTGGTCTCCCTGGCATAAATGTGCTGAATACTTGTGATTAACAATTGCTTTCTGGTATTTTCACCACCGCACAACCTCATTACATCACTGAGTTACAGTTCAGAAACCACTGGGAAATTTTAGACTTTTATTTTTGAAAAGTAAATGAATTACAAACTACTTATCAAACAGGATGACTGCATTCCTCAAACCCCAAGCAAATGATAATACAAATTTGCATGGATATTAATCAGTTTGAGAATGAGCACTATTGGTCCCTTACAGTTTTAAGAATAGACCAGCTTCTTTTATTGCTTAGACCCAAGTTACTACTTAGTTTTACGTTAGTTTCTTATCTCATTTTCATGGATAAAAATAGATTCTTCTTCCAAAGTATGAAAAATAAGTGAAAGTCAGAACCCTTGACTTTTGACCAGCCTGAGCCTTGGCTTATTCATCTGTAAAATTTATACAATAAATTTTAGGATTCTGATTAGGTTCTGGGCTGGGTGCTCTGAGATACAGGAATAAGGTAAGTGTAAGGTAAATATCGTAAGCAATAGACAAGGGACTACTGGTACTCAAAGAAGAGAACGATCCCATTTGGTTAAAGTAATTGAGGCCCGTCTCTTTAAAGGAAACATGTGACAAGATGGGGCTGAGCTGTGGAATGAATATCTGTCCTCCCAAAATTTACACCTGAAACCCTACTCCCCTGTGGATGGTATCGGGAGGTGGAGCCTTTGGGAGGTGACTAGGTCATGAGAGGGGAGCCCTCCCGAATGGGATCAGGGCCCTTATGAGAGTCCAGAGAGCTAGCCAGCTCCTTTTCCCTCCATGTGAAGACACAGCCAGAAAACAGTCCTGCTACCAGGCCTAGGGCCCTCAACAGAGACCATGACTTGGCTGGCACCTTGATCTTGGATTTCTTGGCCTCTGGAACTGTGAGAAATAGATTTCTGTTGCTAATAAGCCACCCAGTTTATGGTATTTTGTTACAACAGCCCAAGCTAAGATTGGTACTATTTCAGGGAGAAGGGATTAGAAGTTGTCAAAGGCACAGAAATATGGCAACGAAATACAAGGTGTGCATGAAGGGATTGAGTCTTCACAGAATAATACTTAAAAAATAATACAGTACAAGTATTCCTTAGTCACCCCAGTAACTTACATTCAACACGCTCAGAAGTTTCCATCTAAAATTTTCTCTTTTGATGATCTGGCCATTAAGTAATAAGCATCAGTTATTTGGAAAGAGAGTTTATGTGATAGTGCTAGAGACATTTCTACACCTAGAATTTTTATTGGTGTTAATTTTTCCTTATACATCAATTTAAACGTATTAGGTTGAAATAATCCACCAAACTTCTTAGTTTAATGCCCTCATTTTTCATTAGTTTTTACCTATGTCTGGTTGTCATTTGTTCTTGGAAAATAAATTTTATAATTGTACATATATTACAAAATATACACTGAAATTTTCTATAGCACCTAGATTTCATGAAGACATTGCTTTTGGGCTAACGGAGTGGATTCCATGGCTACATGTAGATGAGAATCAAATTTTCTTATTAGACAAACACAAACATACTGTGTTACATTCAAAGATTCAATTACCTAGAAGGAATAATTTCTGTCACCCGTGAATTGATCTCCAAACTATTCTAAACACTGGAAGAAATCCTCTGTGAAGGTTTCTCTAATAAACACAAGTTCAGAACCGAGTCCCCCCCAGCGCACAAGTTCCAAGTATGACATGAAACACCGTTGCCTGTTGTTTTAACTTCCTGATATTAACATAATCTAAGAGAAAAAATTCAAAAACATTCCTAGGGATGGATTTTTTTTCCTTTATTCGTAAAATAGTTCACCTATTAAAATTAATTCTATTCCTTACTTTAAGAAAATGCTTTAAGCAAGAGTTATGGTTTTATTCCAATATCTTGGGGCTTTCATACTTTCTTAAAAAGGGGACAATTTGGGATCATTTGACATTTGTAGGCACAGCAGGGAAAACCATATTAGGCCCACACACCCACCAGATACAAGCTTGTAATATTCTCTTGTGGACAGCATTCTTTTGGGTGACTGCTCTAATGTCAATAGAACTGTTTCTAAATGAAATACTATGGTTTAAAAATATCTCATTCGTCATCCACCAGTTCACATAGTTTATGCTAGTAATGAAATCCACTAATGTGGGGGGAAAAAATCTAGAAAATGAAGTGTTTTTCCTTTAGGGAAGAAAATTAAGTATCACCAGAGAACTTTATAGTGCCTAGGAGGTAAGCACATTAAGTATTACTGGATGAATGAATGCCCATCTGAAATAACACAATTTCCAATATACCTTATGGAAATACATGAATTATTTCTAGGAGGTAGTTTAGCTTTTTAATAACCAAAAATTAAGAGTGTCCTATTTGTCAAACAACATTAAAACATATAATCATTAACCACACTGCTTTTTTTTTAATAAGGTATTCCTAGCATCAGCCTGCTGTTTCCATGGTTTCCAATGAGAATGTCTGTTGACCTTTTAACGTTATGATCCAAGCTGGACACTTGGGGGTTACTAACTGGTAGTTAATGCTCACTTAACAAGCCTCCCAACAGCTGAGAGAAATATCGTCTACTTAAGGGGCACCTCTAAGTCCTGTCAGTTCTTGGCTGTAACCATTTCTCCCGTCCAGACACCTGGCCTTAGTCCGGGCCCTCTTTCCCTCTTGCTAACATCATCTCCTTGTCTCAGCCTTCTCCAGCCCACACTCCACACCTCCTCTCATTCAGGCTCCGCAGAGACACAAGGCAGACCTAGCCTTCCCCTGAAGGCAGGTGCCTAGGACGCAACAAGCTGCCTGTGGCAGGTGCAAGAACCTACTTCCCCTTTTCCACAAGAAAAGCTGAGATTTAAACAAGAACCATCATCAGATCATGTCCTTCTGCTTAAAATCCTCCCATGGCCACCTGCTGTGTGGTCTCTAGTGGCAACCAAGAGGGCCCAGCCTGGCTCCCTCCCCCCCACTCCCCGGTACCCCTCACATCGGCAAGGGGTGGCCCCTCCTTGTCCCTCAGGCTTCACCTCCAATGCACCCCACCTCGCCCTCTCCCTCACCAAGACCACATGGCCGTCAGGTTTTCTTAGTGTGAGCAAGACAATCCCTGTCTGATACAGTATTTGCATTTTATTTGTTTTGCTGTTTATGATGTCTCCCCTGCTGGAATGGAGCTCAGCTCATGGCAGGGGCTCAGCACCTGGGCACCTGCTCCAGCGCTTGTCACAGGCAAACCGTGGAAGAGTGAAAACCCAAGGCTTCCTATCCTCTCCTGATAAAGTCTCAGTCTGTAGCCTAGCACACAGGACCCTTCATGTCTTAGCACCTAACCTAAGGTGACTAGATCGTCCCGCTTTTTAACAATTTTCCCGCGTCCCGCGGCATTTGCTGCGGGATGTGGGAAAAATTGTTAAAAATCGAGACTGTCCTGCCCAAAGCGGGACGATCTGGTCACCTTACCCTAACCGCCTCTCCTCCATGGTGTTCTCCAGAAATACTGCGTTTCCTCATTCACACGGCCCTGTCTCTCCACACCTGTCCCTCTGCCTGGCTTGTCCCCACGGCCATAAGGCCTGTCCTTCACCACCCACGCCCCAAGTGCAGCTGGCCGGCCTCGGAGTTTCCGCAAAGCTGTGGGCACATGTGTCCCTGAGTCTCTTGGGCTGAGAGGAGAAGATCCTTTTCAACCTCCCCTGTCTCCCCGGGAGCGGGGTGCGAGCCTGTTCCTCTCCCAGTACCTCCCTGGGAGACTGGCGTCCGGCTAAGTCTCAACGAACACCTGCCAAGTGGAACGATCTAAACTTCAGCTACACTAGGAGGAGCATTTTAAAAAAAAAAGCCACCATGACGCCTTCATTTCAAAATACGCCTGCTGTCGAAACCGGTGTGGCTCAGTGGATAGAGCGTGGGCCTGCGGACTGAAAGGTCCTGGGTTTGATTCCGGTCAAGGGCATGTACCTTGGTAGGGGGCACATCCCCAGCAGGGGGTGTGCAGGAGGCAGCTGATCGATGATTCTCTCTTATCAATGTTTCTAACTCTCTATCCTTCTCCCTTCCTCTCTGTAAAAAATCAATTAAAAATATTAAAAAACAACAAAACAAAATACACCTGCTTACTGTTAAAGATGTAAACTATACTATCAGTTTAATAAGAGCGTGAGAATTCAACTTACTGAAGTGATGCGATCTACTGACTACATTGATTTGTTTACCACCGAAAAAAATAGAGTATTTTTCCTACTAGTTACCGAGGCACGAAAGCACATATAACAGAGCTATATAATTACAGTTTTAAAGGAAGTATTTATAATAATCTTAAAAAAAAAAAAAAAACGCTAAGAAAACTAATACTTACTTATTGTTAGTCAGTCATTAGCTCGGACTCTGGCTTACTTCTCACAGGCCTTTCCAGAAAACACAATGCTAGGAGTTCCAAAGTCTTTTTTTTTTTTTAAGTTTTTTTTTTTTAAAGTTTTTTTTTAATTTTTTTAAAAAAAAGATTTCATTTAAACAACTGCTAACACAGCTGGCCTGAGGTGTCCATCCCAATCACAGCACCGATTACGTAACCCCGAACACAAAGCAAAAGGAAGTGGGAAAGCGAAGCGGCCTCAGAGGAGGCAGCGCACCGGGGTGCCCACCGCCCCAGCAGCGGCGCCCGGCCGGCCGAGCCCCGCTCTGCCGCACGCACGCACGCACGGAGGCTCATTGCAGACGCGGGGCTATTTCTAACCTGCAGGCCATTTCCTCCACCCGCCGGCGGGGCGGCCGGGTTCCATCGTCAGATTTGACTCTTTTATGTCAAAACAACCCGCCAGGTTAGAAATACCGCACACAAATCACATTATTTTTTTTTTCTTTTTTTTTTTTTTAAGCATCATCGGATGAAAACCCTTTTCGAGAGGAAAGCCAGGGATGTCCCAGAGGCTAAAAGGAGCCCAGATTGGCCATGCACCAGCCCCCAGGTCTCCCCACCTCAGGCAGCTGGCTGTTAGCATTGTCTAGAGAGGGCTCCAAACTTGGGGTCTCATCTCTGATTTGAAGCACTTCCTCTGCCGAGACGCTGCCCGTGGAGTCCTGGGACTGGAGCAGCTCGGGGTGGTCCGGGGCGGTTTCGTCGGTAGCAGGATCACCGCTTAACTGAAAGGAGAGACAGTCAGACAGGGACCTTGTTGATGAAACATGTTCTCTATCGTAACATACTGCGGGGGTTGCGGGGGTTGGGGTGGGAACGGACGGATGGCGGCTTAGTTAGAAAGGCCTCTGACTTCCTAAAAGGGCCCTGCGCCCCATTCAGTCTCTGCCCCAAGGGGCGCTGCTAACGCCTGCCGCCGCCCCAGCAGCACGGCAGGCTGAGCTTTGCTCCACAAAACGGACAGCGGGGAAGAGCTCCGCGTCACGGTGCTCATCTTGAACACGTGTGTACAGGCAGCAGCGCCTGTGCTTTCGGCTGGTCTGTGTGTCTGTGGGCGGGCTCTGTCCGCGGCTTTGGGGCCACAGCTTTTACAATAGGACTCGGCCGCGCGGCTGTTCCCCACACGGCGTCTGACCTTCCCTCACCCCCACATGTCCGAAGGCGCAGACGATTCTACAGCCTTCTTCTTCCCCTTTCCCACCCATTCTTTCACTCCCCGTCATCAGCCCCCGGGAGACAAGTCAGAAGCTGCCTCCGTAGTAACTGACTTGATGGTGAGACCAAAGGCGCGCCCAATCTTCCCACAGGGACCGGAAGAGGAAAGCGGGTGGCAGACTGGTATTCACCCTGACCCTAAAAACATGTGCCGTCATTTGCGGACCATATAGAATTATGTTTCTGTTTCTCTCTGACTTTCCCTCTCCCTTCCACCCTCAATTCGCCGCTGCCAGGAGGGAAGTGATGTAAAACCCATCCCTGTCCGGGTAACAGCGCGCCCCGTTACTGCTGCGAGCCTGTATTTCCACGTCAGTGGGTGCGTTTCACCCAAACCGACATGAAAACCAGCCTATCAAGAAATGGAGTGACTGGGCTGGAGGCCGAGAGGGTGAGGAGAGCAGCCGCGCGGGGGAGGAGGTGCCTGGGTACCATCTGCGTGCGGGAGAGGATCTGGCTGGCCGTGAGGGCCGCCTCCTCCTCCGAGGACTCGTCCGTGTCCTCCTGGTTGGTGAGGCTGAGGCTGGGCGTGCTGCTGGAGCACTGGCACTCCTGCAGCGACGGCGTGTCCCCCTTGTCCATGCTGTCCAGCGAGCGCCGGCGCACTCCCCAGTTGAAGTTGTCCATGCTCTCCCCCTGGAAAAGCAACGTGGCTGGTAAGACCTCAAACGCGTGCCTGTAACGGCAGGGAATGCCACACACGGGGGAAACATGTACCAGGATGACACATACTCGGTGCATCGTCAATAAGCAGAGTTTCAATCAGCCCTTCAGTTTCTTGAAACTTTTAAGACATCGTTAAATATTTATATTTCGAGAGATCCAAACATCTGGTTGAAAACCTCCTTTTAAACTAAGTCATTTTCTTAACTCTCTACGTTGATTACTGGGGACCAACAAAATCTACCGTCTAGGCCATTTCTAGTCTAACACACAAGCACAATGAGATCACAAAGATGACGAATACACCACAAACGCACAACCCACAACACCAGGCTGCAAACTTACCTGCAGCTCCTGGTTAGCAAAAAGGAAAACACACAGAATTAGCAAGAACGAAGACACACATTGAAATATACGCTCTACACTTGTTGGGGAAAACTGTGATTTCTCTAACTCAGAGACTGATTCAAGCTCTGGATTAAGCTTTGTGCAAGAAGCCAACGTGTGATTTAAATTACTTTTTAACGCAAGCTAGGTGGAGAAGTCGGAGACAGACAATGAAAACAACATTTCTATGATATACACTTCAGCAACACAAACTTTAAGGAAGGTCTTCAAAGTTCACATAGACTTACTACTTGATACGATGCGAAACTGACTTAAACTAACATGAAGCTGACAACACACAAAGTCATAACTGTTTTAGTCTGTAGGATGGTTCCGACTAAAGCAAATAATCATTTTTTTTTATTATAAGGCAGTTTAAGCTACTGCAGCTACCGAGACATAACTCTGGCCACTTCAAAAGGTCTGGAGGGAATATGACGAGTTTCCGTTTCGCCCCAGATTTATTAAGTTTCTTTTACTCTAAGCCGATCCTCCTTTTGTAAGGATATAATTCTTAACGACTCTTTCCTAAGCCCTGACATGACAAACCACAGTGAGTCGGCCAGCAAAATTCGATTTATTTGTGTTCCTTTACTCAAGAGGGACTGTCCCGAAAAGAGGCTTTCAAAGCCTTTAAAAATTTTTTTTAAAAAGTAAGTAAAGCAGAGGAATACTTCTTTCAAATAAAATTTAAGACGGAAGCCAGCTGTATGAAATGGATGAACAAAAGCAGAGCTCTTGCTTTGTGGCCCTTCCATGTCCTGACCCAGAGGCTCCGACCTGAAGAGCCCCCTTTCTGGAACACGTTTAAATATCACCGCGTAACAGCCACAGTGATGGCAGCAGCCCTCACGCGCACTGGGCTCTCAATGGTTCCTTAGCAGTTACCTTTGTTTTGTGGAAAAGTCGCTGTTTTAAGCAAGACTATCTTTAGATTTTAGAGAAATCTCCATCATTGGATTTGGCCTAATAATGAGCACTCTCCCCTAAATACAGTCATTTCAATTAAAGATGGACCTGTAATGAGCATCTTTAATTTCATATGGCCGAGGTTGTATTCTAAAGCCAATTTTACCACCACTGACATTTTAGAGTATTAGATGCAATATGAAGCATTTAGTGTTCTAAAAAAAAAAGGGAAAAAACCCCCACAAAAATAATTTTTATCATTACGAAGGGCCTACCTTTGGAAGTTTTAAACTCTGAACTCTAGGAAGCAAATAACTATAAAAGAATTCAGCAGCTGCACGTGCCCTTGAGGTAGGGCAGCAGGTCTCTTCAACCCATCACACTTTTAAAAATATGGATACGTATTTTTGTTTCAGAGAGGAAGGGAGAGGGGGAGAGATAGAATCATCAGTGCTGAGAGAGAATCACTGATCAGCTGCCTCTTGCACCCCCTCCACACTGGGGATCGATCCTGCAAATGGGGCATGTGTCCCTGACTGGGAACTGAACAGTCAACACTTAACCACTGACCTCATCACACTTTCTGAAACTGATTCCAGAGGGTGGTGGCCTGCCCTTTTGGAAAACAAATATAAAACGAAAGGGAGATACACAGGAAATATCAGTGTGCATAAAGCACTGAGTAGGGATGCATACTCTTGAATATTGTATTGTAAAGGTGTGTGCGTGTAGCCCTAGCTGGTTTGCTCAATGGATAGAGTGTCGGCCTGCAGACCAAAGGGCCCAGGGGTCGATTCCAGTCAAGGGCATGTGCCTTGGTTGCAGGCTCTTCCCTGGCCCAGGCCCTGGTCAGGGCTCGTGTAGGAGGCAACCAATTGATGTGTTTCTGTTTCTCTCTGTCTTTCCCTCTCTCTTCCACTCTCTAAAATCAATGGAAAAATATCCTTAGGTGAGGAGTAAATAAAAAATAAGTAAATAAATAAAAAGTAAAAAAAAATTACAGTTCTAAGAAAAAAAGGTATAAATATAAATATATATATATTTGGATGTGATATAAAATGTATTAACTATGGATCACAGTGAGAAAAACCCCAAAATGTTTAAAAGCCACTGCCTTACAAGTTGCTAAATAATGCCTATGGGGCTCCTACCCTGTTTCCCTGAAAATAAGACAGTGTCTTATATTAATTTTTTCTCCTAAAGTTGCGCTAGGTCTTATTTTCAGGGGATGTCTTATCTTTCCATGTGCTAGGTCTTATTTTCGGAGGATGCCTTATTTTCGGGGAAACACGCTATGAACCGTACACGCGTGTCTTTGGGAATATGTAAACGGTGAACTATCCTAGAGAGGCCTGCGTAGCTCCTAAGCCAGTGCAGAGGCACCTCTCGGAGCCTCTGAGGCCAGGCGACTTGAAGAGAAAGGCAGGGCGTGGAGAGCCGCAGAGAGAGCAGAGACCACAGTGCTCCGTACCTCCTGAAGCCCTGACCGCCTGGCTCGGCTTTGTGAGCTCATGAACCCGCTTTTCCGAGTTGGGTTTTCCATTTGGAAAGCATCTGAACGGACACAACCATCCATTTGACCTAAACTGAACCCATCGAGAGGAGAAAGACCTTTGGCTGTCAGCCGAGATGGGGCATTTGAGAGAGCTGGCTACATCGACAAGTAGAAAGCGGCGAGGAAGGTCACCGGAAGTGGGAAAAAGTTTTAAGAGACTCAACTTCTTTTGAGCCATCAAGTTAGTGTAAGCGCCATGCTCTTTAAAACTGTCTGATAAACTTAATTGTCTTACTGTTTCGCTGCACATAGTTTCTGTATCACATGCCAAGCATTTAAAAAATTTAAAAAATACTTTTGGCACAGCATAGGCGATACAGTCAATAATATTGTGATAACTATATATGGTGTAGGGTGGATACTAGACTTATTGGTGGGAATCACTTTGTAAATTATATAAATGTCTAAGCACGGTGCTGTACACCTGACACTAACATATTCATGTCAACTGTGATTGAAAAATAAAAAAAAGATTAAGAAAAGGACGTTGGGAAAAATCCATTTCTTACTTTTCATTTTTAAAGATAAAGACAAAAAAAAAATTAGATGTTCCTCTTTTCAGATTTATTCTGCTATTGGACTGACAGTACTGATCATATTTAGTTCCCAATTTAGGTTTTTCTATTCTTGACCTTACACTGACGTTAGTAAGGAAAGAGCCTATGGTCAAGTTTTTAATTCTTAACACAGTTACAACTATTCTACAAACATGACAATGGGAAGCCCATATCCTCCTTACCTCTGCATCTTCCAATTCAACGTCTAAAAAGTCAAAATCCTTAAAAACCCCAAACTGCTGTTCACTGGTGTTATCTTCCACGGGTACCTCTTCCTCATGAATGACGTCTTCTGTTGCAGAAATCAGACTCGTCTGTTGGTCACCGACTTCCAAGTCTTCGTTGGAAGAAAATACCACCTGATCCCCCCACAAAAAGACAAAAAGCCACCTGTCAGCTTTGTCCTTCTGCATCGGAGACGTCCTCGCCCTAAGAGTAAGGTGACCAGACATCCCGATTTTGGCAGGACAATCCCGATTTTTAACAATTTGTCCTGCGTCCCGCAGCGTTTAAAAAAATTTTTTTTAAATGCCGCAGGGAGCAGGACAAATGTTAAAAATCGGGACTGTCCCGCCAAAAGCGGGACGACTGGTCACCTTACCTAAGAGCCACTGCAGGCCTCGGCTGTCAGCGAACTCAGAGTTTTCCCTGGTTTTCACGCTGTCGCCTAACTGGTTGAATACTCAATGGGCACCGCTGCCAAGCATCCCAAAGACAAGTCACGCTTTTTTTCATGCTTCGTCCATACTAAAATAAGTTAAAAAAAGGCGAGCAGGCGACCGTAACTTCCCTCTCTTCCTGGCCCAGCGGATTGTTAAACCCCTCCCCGTCTTTGCTGGTCACTCACTGAGGGGTTCTTCGGGAGGCCGGACTCCGGGCCGCAGAGAGCAAGCACATTCATTAGCTTTTCTCTTGTTCTTCGCTAAGGGGGGAGAAAAAATTTCAAATGTTAGGATTACTGATAAAATAAGACACTTTCTCAAGTTTTCATACATATAATAAAGTTGGTTCTTCTATTTCACAAATGTTTGGGGTCTTTTTTTTTTTAAACCCTCACCCGAGGACATGCTTGGGAGGTGGGGGGACAGAATCACTGAGCAGTTGTCTTCCGTGTGTGCCCCAACTGGAAATGGAACCCGTAACTCAGGCGTATGCCCTGACTGGAACCGAACCAGCAACTTTCGGTTTATGGGACGGTGCTCAACCAACTCAGCCCCTCCTGCCGGGCACGAATGTCCAGTTTTGATGTTCTTTGACGTACCTGTGATAACTGTGGCCTTTTCCAGCTAACAGGGACCAAGGCGTTAGAATTAGAACCAGAGGAAGTAGAAGAAGTACTTCTGGTAACAGCGATAACTTTGGGTTTCCCATTTCTTCCAGCTGTGGTGTGTTGATCACCATATTTGTTCCCAATAATTGGTGTCTACACAGAAACAAAATGCCAGTGTTTGACTCAACCGTTTCAACATAAAAGGGTTAACAGTGTAACTGACATTTTTTTTTAAAACAACCAACCAAAACATAGTGTAAGGAGAAAAATTATCATGTGGTAGATGTTACAAAAATCAAAGTTGTCTCTATTTCTAACCAAGAGATTTCACTTTGACTCTCTGAGACTATCAGAAAGCTTATTCCTATTTTCAATATAGATCTGCTTTCCTTAAAAACCATCTCCAATCTTTCCCCATGTGATTATAAAATACTAGAGTCTCAGTACATGAAATTCATGCAATGGGGGCGGGGGGGAGAGGAGGGGGGTGTCTCTCAGTCTAGCCTGAACCCTCTCCAATGAGGAATCCCCCTCACAATCCAGGACTGCTGTCTCCTAACCACTCGCCTGTCTGCTGCCTGATTGCCCCTAACATCTTCTGTCTACCAGCCTGATTGATGCCTAACTCCTCCCTGATCACCCCCAACTGCCTTTACCTGCCCCCACTGCTGCTTGATTGCCCCATGCAGCCTGCTGTTCAGTTATTTGGTCGTCCCTCACTAACTCCCCTGCTGCCCTGGTCGCCCCCTGCAGCCTGCTGTTGTGTATCCAGTTGTTTTGGTCATGATGGTCTCTTGCTTTTTATAAATTAGGGTATCTTCTTTGAAAGCTCAGAGAATGTAAAAATAATTTTTAAAAAATCTCCCATTCAGATTTAACATCTATTAACATTCTGGTATTTTTTTCAATGCACATTGTTAAGTGGGCTTCAATAATGTGCTTTTGCAAAGATTCAAGATAAGTAACAATGAGAAAGATATCTGTATAGTTTCTTACTACAAATCCAAAATTTATTTCAGTACAAGTTCTATGAAGATTCAAAATTCATTTATATGTTTGGCTTTGTGAACTCTCTTGAGTTTGCATTTGAAAATAATATTCAAGCTCATTTGCATATTGTACTAGTCCCTTTTTATAATCTGGTGCCCACTTCCACTCCACCCTGAACTCCACACACCAGCAAAACTAAACCTGCTATTGTTTCCCAAACATGCCATGCTTTTACGGACATGCTGCCCACTTTGACCCAAAGCAAACCCCTATCTATTTTTAAAGGGCGACTTCACACTTCCAAGGAGGCCTTCTCTGATATCACCGCCTCTGGATAACTATACTTGGGCACTCTGCCAGGGAACGGTATTTTATTCATGTGCCCATCTCCCTTACTCCACAAAAGTCGCCTGGACCACATGAGACTCATTTCTGTCCTTCTAGTATATCTTCAGTGACTACACATAGCAGGTGCTTAGGAAGTTTTGAAGAAAAAAACTGAAATTAAGTATATCAAATGTTTTGAGCATTCGTATCACTGCCTCAGTTATTCCACCAATTTGTATGGTTTGACCTGGGAGAAAAGGAAAGCCCGCTTTATAATTTCCCCATGGCTCTGCACTCCATGTTAGAAATTCTCAGATGATACTAACTAAAAAATCAGCAATAAACATACTTTCTATCTTAAAAAACACATACACACCAATAAGCGCTGGATAAGTTTTAATACCAAAAGTAAACTGCAAAAAAGTTTTTAAAGTCTAAGTATTCCTAATCAATTAAAATGTGATTAGATCTTCGATCTGTACCTTTCTCAAATCCCCTGCAATACTTGGTCCATAACTTCACTTCTCTCTTGAAAAATTCTTCCTTTGGCTTGTAAAAGACCATTTCAGTAGCACCAAGGCCACCAAGATTGGGATTAGGTGCCGAAGGGGAAAAAAAAAAATGTGGTTCCCAGCAAGGGCCCAAAATCTTTACATGAGATTTATATTAATATGACATCGTCAGAGGCCCAGGTTTCCTTTTGGATGGTGGGCCCTGCCTCTGTCCTGCCCTAACATACTGGGCCTCTCAGTTCTGTTTATTCTAGCCTTGCTGTTCCTTCCACGACCTCAGCTTTCTACTTTTGCTCATACAACACTGAAATAACCCTTGCTTTTTGTTTACTTCCACTAAGTTTTCTTCTAAAACTTAGATCCAAAAGTCTAACTGACTACTAGGCACCTCAGTGTGTTTCTTAGTCACGTCAGAGTCAGTATATTTAAGACTGAACTCATCTTCCTTCCCTGCTAAGAACTGTTCTTGAATTCCCATTCCCTCGGAATGGGACCAACATCCATGCGGTTGTCAAAGCAACTGTCCTTAACATCCCTTCTTCACTGGCACCCTTTTCCTTCCCATCCAATCCCATCAATTCTTTCCTCAGTCTTTTTTTAAAAACCATCCCTTCCCTCTTCTTTCCTCTGCAGTTGCCTAGGAATGGTCCAACATAATCTTTGTTTTTAATTAATTAGTTTATTTTATAAGTATTACATATGTCTCCTTTTTCGCCGATTGACCCCTCCCCGGCCACTCCCACTCCCAGGACAAGCCCCACTGCCCCAGGGTCCTAGTCCATTGGTTGTGCTAATAGGCATGCACACAAGTCCTTTGGCTGCTCTCCAACATAATCTTTTGCTCAAACTGTTCTAACAGATTCCTTACTGATTCCCCTCCCTTTCTCCCTGGTCTATTGTCCATCCTGCTGCCTGATTATCCTAAAATGCAAATCCTAATATTTCCCACTCTAGCTACAAATCTTTTAAGAACTCCTACTGCTTCAAGATACATCCATTTTGTTACTAAGGTGGGGGAAATCCCTGTGATCCTGCCCCTCGCCCTCTAAGATTTCAGCTTCATTTCTCTTCATTCTCCCTCCGTTCTCTGTGCTTAAAGAACGCTGTACTAATTAGAAATTTCTGGAGCACCATGCTTGCTCACAATTTTAAGTCTCCTTTCACATGCTGTCTCTTCTGGGATATAATCTCCCCACTCCAGACTACCATGTACACATGCCCTTCAGCACTCAGCTCAGACCAAGCTAGATATACACTCATTCCTGTAGTACCTTCAACTTACTTCCAGACAAGCACTGACCACTGTTTCTATCTGCCTCTTTCCCCCAAGAGACCGTAAGCTCCCGGAGAGGCCTACTCCCCATCGCCTCCCCATTTCCACAGCACCCAAATCAGATAAACATTTCTACGAGAGTGTCTGCATGCTGGGCATCTTACCTCAGATATATCAAAATGGAAGTCTAAGGTCTTCCCAGGCAGCTCCTTAGAGACATTATTAAAAATCTTAGTGAAGGATATTTCCGGCGAGCCCACATCGCCTCCATAGGTCTTGGGGCTGTCGTTGGGTACAACGAGGCTTGCAGAGCGAGACACCACCAGTTTTAATATGTTAAGGGCTTCCTTCCAATAAGGACTCTGATTTAAAAATACAATAGACATGCAGAAGTTACAAATACACATTTAACGAAAAACAAAAGTTTAGCTGTACTGTAAACAATGAAAATATTATTTCTATAAAAACTCTTATAAATTACTTATTTTCACTCTGAAGTCCTCAACGAGGATCTGAGTTACAAAAGGGAAGGAATCAAGTTATTATTTGTATGGGACACCACATACTTAATAATGTTTCCAAATCAGAATGTCTTGCCTTCTTCCAGGGAGTGCTTTATAAGTAATAGTAGTAAACAGAGGAGGGATACATATATGAACGTTCTAAATAAATGAAGTTTATAGTTTTATGGCTCTAAATATTTTAAGTCTTGGAGATAAAATATTTTGAATACAAACTTTTTTAGACATAAAAGTATTAAAATACTAAAAGAAAATTCCCAAACCATTAGATTTTTGGGTCCATGACCCAATCCCCAAATAATCAGTGTAAATGCTGTGCTAAAGTGATGCTCTCAGAGATTACTGAGCTGTACAGATATGGTGTACAGCTCCCTACATATATGGTGACTACGTGTTTTGGGCTGTTTTAATGCTTTTCTTTGTTTTGTATGTTTTAAAATAATTTAGTTGTAATTTACATGATAAATGTATATGTGTAGAAGAACCAATGTCAAAGATTTTATATTTTTCCCTTCAGAATAGATATAAAAACTATTTTTTCTTAATTATGATACCAATATCACGTCTCAACCTTATATTATACCCACTATTTTACAGTTGACAATTTTGGGTGAGATGCCTTTAAAACAACAAAAGGAAATGAAAAATCTTTTGCAAACTGAGTTATCCAATTTGACATCTTGATATAAAGAGGTCTAAAGTACAAAATATTTAACAATAAAAATACCCACATAATATTAAGATATTTGAAGCAAATCATTGTAAAAAACAACAACACAGTTTTACATTTAATTAGAGGCTCTGAGCATTAGAAAATACAAAAACTTCTTTAGGGAGCTCCATAAATTATATGGGCTCCATAAATTATATGTCCCATTGTACACATTCCTGAGAATATGATTTATGGACTTACCACTTCTTTCCTCTCTGCTTTTTATGATTAAAAATCACTTTGAGATGAACATTTCTGCATATCAGTTTTGTGGCCACTCACCTGTACATATTTGCCAATAATCTTTATGATCTCCAGGTTAAACTGCTTGACGGGGGCAGCAGAGAGGTCGATGTGACTCAAAAGGCTGTAGATGATCTGCAGCAGCGACTGCTGCATACTGGACAGTCCTTTCTCTAGCAGCTGAAAGTGTAAGTTTGGTATTTATATTTATGATATTGAAAATAGATAGATTTAAGCTAGGAGTTCATGGTTAGAGGACTAGAAATCCAGAGACAAACAAAAATAAAAGGTAAATCTATTATCTTAATCTTAGTGTTTTCTTTTAACTGAACACTATTTATATTACGTAAAGAGAAAAATCATTATACCACCACCACCACTAAAAAATAACTACCCCATGTTCTTCACACCTGCTTCTTATTAGCTATGTGATCTTGGACATGTTTCTTAACTTCTCTGAGTCTCTTGATTTTTTAAAAATAAAACAGTGATACCACCTACTTCTTAGTGTTTGCAGGACAGTTAAATATATAGTTTTAAATACATGTTAGTAATACTTTGATAGTTATTCATATCTAGAGGCCCAGTGCACAGATTTGTGCACTGATGGAGTCTCTCAGCCTGGCCTGCGCCCTCTCAAATCTGGGACCCCTCGGGGGATGTCAGATTGTCCTTTTTGGCCTGATCCCCACAGGCCCAATCCAGACAGGAGGAAGCCTGATCCTGTACATTGAGCATCTGTCGCCTGGTGGCCAGTACACATCATAGCAACCAGTTGACCAGTTGTTTGGTTGCTTAGGCTTTTATATATATAGATAATGCAGCAAGGATAACGTACACTAGTAAGAGCGGACAAATGCTGCCATGTGCGGCACCCACAGGCTGTCTGTGCAGGTCCAGACCTCCGAGCCATGACTGGAGCTCAGGGGAGCTGGTGCTACTTGAGTGGCGAGCTTTCCAGTGGCAGAGTGAAGGTGGTCTAAGGCAGCGGCCACCAACCTTTCGGACCTCATGGACCACCAGTGGTCCGAGGACCACCGGTTGGTGACCGCTGGTCTAAGGCACTTAGATTCAAAGTTGACTCTTGTCCTGAAGGGGTAGGCATAGGATACGCGGAGAGACCCGGGTGCATTCAGACCGGGAAGCTGCTGGGCAGATGGCCCACAATGTCAGCCCTCTTCCATGTACAGCGGATGGGAGTCAGGCTATCAGAACACTAACAATGCACACAGTCCTGAAGCATTCTGGGATAGTCAGGGGCGTAGCTAAGTTAAAGTGTTATGAACAATATTTACAATGTTCAGCGGGTTAATGAATAATGTCTTTTATGTTTACATAAAAGGCATTTTAGGTTTAATTTAATTTCTAGAAGCCAACTTTTTAAAAAGGAAGGTAGGTTCTAGTTTATCACAAGCTGACAAACATTTTTAATGAATAGGAACTTCTTCCTTTTGAGGTTCTCTTTATGGCTTTCTACTCAGTAACTTCCTAGGCATGAGGTTATTCCCTCAACAGCAAACTATTAACTTTTTATGCAGTCCTATGGCTAGGATTTTTCTTTTTCTTTCTTTCTTTCTTTCTTTCTTTCTTTCTTTCTTTCTTTCTTTCTTTCTTTCTTTCTTTCATTTTAATTTTTAAAATATATTTTATTGATTTTTTACAGAGAGGAGAGGGATAGAGAGTTAAACACTGATGAGAGAGAATCATCGATTCAGCTGCCTCTTCCACACCCCATACTGGGGATGTGCCAGCAACCAAGGTACATGCCCTTGACCGGAATCGAACCTGGGACCTTTCAGTCCGCAGGCTGACACTTTATCCACTGAGCCAAACTAGTTTCGGCTAGGATTTTTCTTTAAATAATTCTCTTTTTGGCCACCAAGATACTATTTTAGATCAGGAAAACAAATGTGTCATCAAAATAAAAAACGCCCTGGCAGAAATGCCTCTGCACGCTGTATTATTCTAGTAGGGACTTCCCAGTCGAGAACTAGCTGTGTAGGAACAAAGATTCCCATTCTCAAGGATCAAGATCTCTAAAAAACAAACAAACCCATTTTCCAATTTAAATGACGTTGAGGTTTACACTATGTTGAGTTCCTATCATTTAAGGACAGCGAATGCAGACGTAAATACTGGAAATGGGAAAGAAGTTCACAAAAACTTCCTCCATACTTGAAAAAAAAAAATCATTTGTTTTTCTATCAAAAGGGACGCAATCTATAATCTCTCTCAAAACAGTTTAGCGATCAGCATCAGTGCTCATTTTAGAAATGTACGCCTGCGCACAAGTGTTGCCACAGAGCGGTTAAAGGGACCCACCCCGCCCTCCGGTGACTTCACCTCCGCCAGGTAAGTCACCAGGCTGAACGTGGTCTCTGAGAAGGAGTCGTGCAGGTACCGGCACACCACGTTGATCCAGTTGGCACAGTCCCGGGAGTATGTGTGCGTGCTGTACAGGCTCATCATGTGCGCCAGGTTGACGAGCGTTGGGCATTTTTCTTCCGCACAAACCTAAAAACAAAACAAAACAGTTCCATTCGCCAAAAAATAAAGATGCAAGTTGAAGCTTGATTCCATACTAAGTATAGTGAAACAAACGTGTAAGTTGAAGCTTCGATGCATTTTATTTCAGTGCAGTAGAAAAGTTAAACAGAAAAGTTAAAGAGTTCAAGAGAAAAAAAAAGAAGAGACCAGCAACAGATAATGTGTCAAATACTCCCTTGGGTGCTAAACAGAATGGCTTTTTCTCAGTCGGACACTAAGTCCATAGGTGGTTTTGTAAACCCTGCCTGTCATGTTGTAAGTGTTTTGTAAAAACTATACAAAACTGGCTCAGACTGGGAATTCTCTGGGAGGGCCAGAGCTGCCTGCCACAGAAACGCGTCAGTCTTGGGCCACCTGAGGTCCCACCTGAGCAGCAGATTGCAAAAAAAGGCCTCGACGTGCGTGTTACACTCAGAGGCCTTCACTGGACTCCGCAGGATGGACCTCACGTTGCTCTTCAGGAAAATGCCTAAAGCTCTTACGGTCCTTGGCCAATAGTTTTATTTTTCTTTAATCTTTTATTTTTTCTTTTTCTTTCTTCTTTGAGTCAATAATTTACATTGTCCTATCCTCAAATTTGCAGATTCTTTCTTATGCATGCTCAAATCTGCCCGGTTGTTTTTATTAAAGTATTTTTATTGTTGAAAACATTACAGATCTACACCCTCTCCCCCAAATCATTATTTGAAGGCCACTTCAAAATATAGCAACTTCCTGCAGCACCAGGAGAGCTGAATGTTGGGACCTTACTGACCAAATGCACCTGCTTAGTCTGTCTGCGCCCTAAGTCCTCAGTGGCGATGTCCCTTTTGTTCTCCTCTGGGGACACTCCAACAGAGCAGAATTGGAAAAAGGGCCATACTACCCTTATATTTCCATCGTAAAAAGGCTAGCCTTCGTGAAACTTATTTTAGTTTCTTTTTCTTCACTTATTCTTCCATCTGATTGATGGTTTGTAAACTGTCTATCTGCACTAAGTGCCTGGAGCACTAAGTAAAGAACGTAGCGTTACCTTTCAAATTACAGATATTGTAACTTTCAGGTGACTCTGACTTTTATCTTGTCTAATCGTGTGGATGCTGTCCCTGGAGAGGCCCGTGATACGGAGGTATGCGAGACTGTGCAGAGACTAATGCAGCACCTTAGAAGCTATTTTATTTTATTATTATTTTTAATATATTTATTGATTTTTTTGTAGAAAGGAAGAGAGAGGGATAGAAAGTTAGAAACATCGATGAGAGAGAAACATGGACCAGCTGCCTCCTGCACACCCCCTACTAGAGCCCACAACCAAGGTACATGCCCTTGACTGGAATCGAACCTGGGACCTTTCAGTCCGCAGGCCAACGCTCTAGCCACTGAGCCAAACCGGTTTTGGCTAGAAGCTATTTTATAAAGCCATTAAAACCAGCCCATTTCATGCAGGAGTAGCCTTTTCCCCATACAACAAGCACCAGGAAGAAAAAAACAACTGGTTGATGTCTTATTTAAAAAAAAAATTTTTTAAATCACATCATTTTACAATTTCACAATTGGCTCTTCTTCAGGAAATATTTTTTATAGTTTAAGGAATCTTTCCTGAACCATAAGACATCCCTATAGAATTCTTACATTCTTAAATAATATTTTTCCCTAAAAAAGGATTTTTAAAAACCCGTACTTAGGACAAAAGGAATATAGGCCGTGCAATTTTATAATAGCCCAAATGCTTTAGATTTTGGAATTTTGGGATTACCAGGTTAAAACCGGATCCCAAGTCTCATGAAAAATGCTTATCGCATACTATTTCTGCCATAACCAACAGCTGGAAAGGACAATATCTGTCCTCGTGTTGCCTCATTATAGATTCTATGCTTTCCAACAGCACACACAGTAGACCCAGAGGTATCTGTATAATGAGGAAGCACATAATGGCAGAAAACTGCTTGACAGTGTGGGAGACTAATTAAGAAATCAATTTGATCCACATCCTGCAGGTTGCTAAAAGCACACAGATGGAACCCCTGTGTGCTGCTCAACAGGAAGAAAACAGACATAAAAAACCCCCCACAATTTATAACTCATGGAAAGCCATATATTTTATCTCTTAAAAAAAAAAGTATTTGGAATTTCCTGTTCTTTGCCTCAAATTACGACGGAGGAGGCTTGCCACTTGAGGAGCGTCCACACCTTCGCGGGGGGTGAGGTGGGTGGGGTGGGTGGGGGGTAAGAGGGCAGCCAGGAGCGTATTCAACACATTTCAGCGGAACCTCTTCAACGCGTCTGCTTCCTTTATTAGGGAATGTATGCTTTTTATTTTCTTAAAATCCCAGAGTAAGCAATACACTCCTCCCTCCCCCAATATATATATATATATATATATATATATATATATATATATATATATATATATATATATTTTTTTTTTTTTACTCCACATAAAGGGAAAAAACACGCTTGTTTACATTTTTCTGTGTCATTAGAGTATTAAGTGAAAATTATTTTTAATAAATTATCTATTTCCTATAACTTTTAGACCTCATTCTTGCAAATATATTTTGTGGTGGTTGTTTTTTTGGGCAAATAATCACCTTCAAAGCAGATGCTTCCATGAGCTATAATAATGACTCTTCTTTTCAAATACATGCTTTTCAAATAATTATGTTAAACATCTCTTATTTAGAAACTTAATTTAAAAAATGGAATCAACAGAAAAAAATGGAATCAGCAATTTTATTTAAGTTTTTTTCTTGTCACTTATTAAATGTCATCTATCAATAATGAAAAGAGGCTTATTACTGCTAATGCGGTTAGCTGGGCTGGTAGGACTTGCCACCCAGAGATAAACGGGCACTTACCGGTGTTGGCATGTGGGCCACTCAGAGCTGGGTATTTTATTTGGCTTTCTGTGTGCCTGCTCTTCCCGTTTCCTGCTGTGCTACTTGTTAACTGAATCCCAGACTCATTTTAAAAAAAATATATTTTATTCATTTTTTACAGAAAGGAGGAGAGAGGGATAGAGAGCCAGAAACGTCAATGAGAGAGAAATATCGACCAGCTGCCTCTTGCACACCCCCCACTGGGGATGTTTCCGCAACCAATGTACATGCCCTTGACCAGAATCGAACCCGGGACCCCTCAGTCCGCAGACCGACGCTCCACCATGGAGCCAAACTGGTCTCGGCTCATTTTTTTTTTTTAATTGCTTAAATAAAAAGTTCTTCCAGAGGATGTTACTTGCTTGGTTCCCTTCTAATCGAAACTTCTCTGATTCCCCTCCCTCACCCCCCCGCCCAGTGTTAGGCATCTTACTGACACTGCTATTCACTCACCACCCCCCAGTTCACCTAATTCCTGTTGTATGTAATTGCTTGTAAATTGACGTCTTACAATTGTTTTTATTTTTAGTCTGAAAAACCTTATTTCTAAGACTGAATGTGATCCCCCCCAAAAAAAGAATTATTATTAAGTGTAAGCAGAAGGGAAACTATCTGAGAGTTCTTTATTGTTCTTGAGAGAAGGAAATTGTTAAAAATATAAAATTTAGTCACATTCTTTTAAAATTAAGAATTATAACACTTATAAAAAATGCTAACTGATGATTTTTTAAAAGGTACATTTCTATTTCAGAACTGTCTGATGGAAGCGGGGGAGCCAGAAAAGAAGAGAAACGAAGGGGACAGGGAGAGGAGAAGAAGAGAGTATTAAAAGGAGAAAGGCAAACGTAAAGAGAGAACTTCAGAACCCCAAAGTACGTTCTGCCTTCCTCCTCCTCGGGGCCTTTGCACATGCAACTTCTCCTCAGAAAACACCCACCCTCAGCCCTCTTCTTTGTTTCTGGCCCTGGTTATCCCCACTCAGTCTCTCCTGTCTGCCGGCTTCCCAGCGTGAGATTGTGTTCTGTGCCTCTTCAGTACTCTGCCCTCCCACTGTATTCACTCTCCGGTGATTGTCCGCTTCCTTGATTTCATCCTCTCTCTAAGGCCCGCGGGGTACGCACTCCATGTACTCTGTCCCTGTACTTCCAGCACCTCACCCAGTGCTCAGTAAATATGCGAGTGAATAAAGGAATGGATTAGCAACTGCTAGAAAGGCGGAGGATAAAGTAGGGAAACGAAGCAGGAAAAAAACAAACGGATTTAGAGGAGTGTTACTCTGATCAGTTTTATTCGCTGACTTTTCAGCAGTTATAACTCGAGCCATCACTATACAACACCTTCATGGGCACAGAAAGACGACCAAGTTAGATGTGAAATTCAGAAAGAAGCGACAGTAAAAAGATCTCCCCGGGAGATAAACTCCAGAAACATTTCCCTCTCGTGTTACCTTTCAGCATCCCATTTGCTTACCTTTGCTATCCGGCTGGCTGTTTCTTTGCAAAACTGAGTTGGGCTGTCAAAATGCTGGATTAAGTGAGGCAATAAGCAAAGGATGTTAAGAGGAAAGCCTGTATAAAAAAAAAAAGAAAGAAAGCAGACAACAACCCGTGTTATTGACATAACTTCAAAAGTTAAAGGCTTTTTTTTTTTAATGGCTCACAGAAACCATTTACTTTTTATTTCCTGGAATACTGGATCTTCTACATATTTTTAGCTTTTACCAAAGAATTTAAGCTATCTCCCATATTTAAAAAAAACAACAACACAAAACAACTGCAGCCGAAATCCGGTTTGGCTCAGGGGATAGGGTCCTGGGTCCAATTCCGGTCGGAGGCACGTGCTCTGGTTGCCGGTTCATCCCCAGTGGGAGGTGTACAAGAGGCAGCTGATGGATATTTCTCTCTCATCAATGTTTCTACCTCTCTATCGCTCTCCCTTCCTCTCTATAAAAAAATCAATAAAATATATTAAAAAAAAAAAAACTGCAACTGTAGAAAATCAGAAACCAGTAGATTTCCAAGCAACAGCCTGGGAGCAACCCTTCCAGCCTCACCTGACAGCTGGGAAGGGTCCACGAGCGAGTGCTTGGAGACGGCGATGAGCTTGCTGAGGAGGTGCACGGTCATCTCCTGCGTGGACACTGAGGTAAAACCCTTCAGGAAGAGCTGCTGAAGGCCTGGGAAGTTGTTCCACTTCAGTTTGCTCTGCATGCTTTCGATCTTCTCTCGACTCTCCGATTTGTCCAGAGGCAAATGGATGAGCAGTTTGTTGAGGAGCCTGAGAGCCAGGAGGTATTCATATTCGTAGTCGGATTCCAGCAAGGATGCTCCTATCCAAAAGATGGTGGCCATCAAGTTGGCAGGCTCAGTAGTGGACTGCACGTCATACAGGCCCCTCTCGCGCAGAGAGGAGAGGCTTCTAGTCCTGGCCAGGCTGTTGCCGTGGTTGGTCCGCCCATCCGTGATATCCAGTGTGTTGCTTCGCCGTCGGTCACCTCTCCGGTCACCAATCAGACTTAACCTCAAAGAGTTGCTCCTTGCGCTACTGCTACATCCCAAGTAACCGCCGCTGTTCATGGGACTTGTGCTTAGGTTGAGTTGTCCAGTGCTTTTCCTGTTAGCTGCATACTTGTTTCCCATTATAGGATCATGATATGAGGTTCTTTGTTAAAAGAGAAAAGACAAACGCAGGCACGGTCATTTCTTTTGCTACGTTAATTTTATGCTTGAAAACACTGAAAAAACATGGTAACTGTCACCAGGGAAAAATCATTTAAGTATATCTGACTTCGCTGAATCAAATTTGAGTTCTTCTCTCCCCATTAAGACAAAATGTACATCAGTATCTTTTCTACTGTGGCCCTCGGTTTCCTTTGAGTTGGATAAGGTCTGACAGGAAGTGAAAACTCTGCCGTAATAATTTTAACATTAACATTACAAATAGACACAGCTCTGCTCCGGGACTTAACGAATGTTATGTCCAAAGCAGACCTCATGTGTCTTATTCCCAGACACGATGGCCCCAGGGGCTCCATGTCTGTCGATGCACGCTCCTTTTCAAAAGAACCAACTCAGAAGTTAAGTCTTTGATTTCTCCTCCCTCATATCCAATTATCACTGACCAAAGAATAATTACAGAATGCTTTCTACCTGTGCCAGCTGTACGCAAAATGTGAAGAGTATTTGATAAAATCTACTGGGGAAGAGCGATGTAAAAAAATGGATCCATTTATAGCCTGTTAATTGCTGTTATTAAAATATAAAGAATACACTGCAAGAACCCAAAGGATGGAATTATTAGCACTTCCTTGGGGGTTAGAGGGAAGGGGCATCAGAAAAGCTTAGCCCGGAGGTATCTGAGGTGGGACTTGAAGGATACTTCAGTTCAGTCAATTCAGGGTTTACAAGGAAGATAAAGTGGGAGGGAGGCAGCTCCAGGGAGAAGGAAAATGTGAGTCTGAGGGGCCTGGCCTGCTGGGGGGACAATGGGATGCCAAGTGCCTCCAGAATGGAGCTTGTCAGTGAAGCACATCTCTGACCAAGAGCAACAGCACTGCCACACCACACACGGCGCTGTGACTTCCCGCACATCCTCACGGTCTGAGGCTCCTTTCCCACTGCTAGTCCATCGAATTCTTGGGTACCATTCTCACTACGGGTATTAGAATAACACAGTGCGGCCGAAACCGGTTTGGCTCAGTGGATAGTGTCGGCCTGCGGACTGAAGGGTCCCGAGTTCGATTCCGGTCAGGGCATGTACCTTGGCTGCGGGCACATCCCCAGTAGGGAGTGTGCAAGAGGCAGCTGGTCAATGTTTCTCTCTCATTGATGTTTCTAGCTCTCTTATTCCTCTCCCTTCCTCTCTGTAAAAAATCATTAAAAAAAAAAAAAAAAAAAAAGAATAACACAGTGCCATCGCTATACATGTTCAGCCACTAAGTTCTATAGACAAATCTACCAGGTTGCCTGGTTTGAATTCTTACTGAGAAAGGGCAGAAAGAAGATCATAATGCTTCATGGTTTCAGCCAAAGTATCAATCGCAGATTCCAACGTGAGGAGAAGCTCAATCACAAATCCCTAGGGAAAAAAAAAAAAGGGCAGACTCTAATTAATTATGCTCTGGAAAACAGACATTGCATTGGACTTCCCAAGGAGATTTAAAAATAGAACCAACTCCACAGTCACATTATAAATTGATTAAACTCTTAAAAGCAACAGGATCTTGCTGATTGATGAAAACTCATCACATTAATGGCATAAAATGATGATAATGGCACCCCAAGCTGCTTACGCTAGAGATCTAGGGGCCATCTTTGCTTCTTTCTCTGACATTTAAACGGAATCTACCAACAAGTCTTGAAAATGCTACTTTTCATATATCTTCAATATGACCCTTTTTCTCTGTCTCCACAGGTTCCCTTCATCTGAGCGATCACCACACTTCAGCGAGGTCTCTCAGCCTCTTGCCCGACCCTCCTCGCTTTCACTCTTGCTCCGCTGAGTTCTCTTCGTAGCTGCCAGAGCAAGTCTTTGAAAAGCTGATCTATCTATCACCCTCCTCTCAAACCTGTGAAAGGCTTCCCATCAGTTCAGAGTAAAACCCTACCTCTCACCAGGGTCTACCAGGCCTCACACGATCTAACCCTGCCGACCCCATCCGCCTCCTGCCTTTACAAAGCCCCACCCAACACACTCTCGAGCAGCGGGCGCCAGCCGGTGGTCCGCGGGCCACTGGAGGCCCGTGAGGTCCGGAAGGTTGGCGGCCGCTGCCATAGAGACATGGGTTTGCCTGACGGACTTCAAAAGAAGCCTACTGCTTCTGCCTCAGGGCCTCTGCACTTGTCTTATTTCCCTCTCCAGAAAGGTTCTTCCCCGGATCACCACACGATTCACTTCTGAAGTATAGGTTCAAAAATCACCTTCGTGGACGATCACATACAAAATTACTCCCTCCTGCCCTGGCTGGTGTGGCTCCGTGGTTACAGCGCCGGCCCATGGACCGAAGAAGGGTCTCGGGTTTGATTCCTAGTCAGGGCATGTACGGAAGGCAACCTATTGATATTTCTCTCTCTTACATCGATGTTTCTCTTTCTCCTTTCCTTCCCCCCGCCCCCTCTCTCTTTCTCTCTCTCTCGAATCAATGAAGAAAAACAAACATATCCGCAGGTAAGGATTAAAAAAAAAAAAATTACTCCCTCCTTCCCATCACTCTTCAACCCTTTTCCTTACTATTATCATGGCACTGCTGAGTAAGATCATGTTGCCTGTTATTGGTGGGTTAAAGGCTTCCCCCCCAGTAGAATGTGAGCTCCAGAACGCCAGGGCCTCTGTCTTCCCCACGGCCACATCTCCAGTGTCCTGGACGGCGGAACAGAGACTTAAGTTCTCTTCCGCTATTTCTCACTCAGTGTATCTTAAAAAATGAAATTCAACATTCCACTTCAAATTTAACTTGTCATCTTTCTTACCTGCTTATCTCTAATGCCCAGGGATGTGTGTGTGTGTGTGTGTGTGTGTATGTGTGTGTAAACGTAAAGCTTTCTCTGATAGGCCCTGAAGTTATTAAAGATTAATCATGCCAAAACCGGTTTGGCTCAGTGGATAGAGCGTCGGCCTGTGGACTGAAAGGCCCCAGGTTCGATTCTGGTCAAGGGCATGTACCTTGGTTGTGGGCACATCCCCAGTCGGAGGTGTGCAGGAGGCAGCTGATCGATGTCTCTCTCTCATTGACGTCTCTAACTCTCTATCCCTCTCTCTTTCTCTCTGTAAAAAAAAAAAAAAAAAAAAAAAAATCAATAAAATATATATAAAAAATAAATAAAGACTAATCACAAACCTCTGCTAACATCCGACGTGAGTGATTCTGTCGGACATGCCCTTGCCCTGCCTGCAGCGGCCTGTGCTTCGCACCGGGTCCCTGACTGCTAGGAGTCGGTCAACGGCTGCGGCGCGAGTTTAAAGTACCTGCGCCTCTTCGCCCGGGTCGCCCACCGTCTCCACGAGCCGGGAGAGGACGTCGGAGAGCGTGGCTGCCGAGAGCGGCTGCTTCAGGGCCCGGAAGATCTGGAAGGACCTCCCCGCGTAGTGCCGGGAGGAACAGGAGAGTGCCGTCTGCAGGGCCACCTCGCTGAGGTGATGCTCCAGATGAACGGCTTCTGTGGGGAGAAAGGGGGCAGGCTGGTGGCTCTTGTCTTTCAGAATGGAATGCCTCCCCGGCCTCCACCCAACCACGTATGCCGGGACTGACCGCTGCCCCCGCCCCGCACTGAGACAAATGTGTCTGCAGACATTGCCGATGTCCCGAGGGACCACAGGTCCCCTGGGTGAGAGCCACGGCCTCAGACACCTACTTTAAAAAATGATGATAATCTTTATTGTTGAAAATATTACAGATGTTTCCCCTTCTTCCTCCATGGACCCCCTCCACCCCGCTCCTGCCTCCCCAAGGCCTTCACCACACTTTTATTATGACTTTCCCAATGTGTTACATTTTTAGATCATAGAAACCAATACCTGTATAAAAAAAAAAAAAAAATTCCCCCCTCCCCCTCCCCGAAACCGGTTTGGCTCAGTGGGTAGAGTATCAGCCTGTGGACTGAAAGGTCCCAGGTTCTATTCCGGTCAAGAGCACATACCTTGGTTGCGGGCACATCCCCAGTAGGAGGTGTGCAAGAGGCAGCTTATAGATGTTTCTCTCTCATAGATGTTTTTAACTCTCTATCCCTCTCCCTTCCTCTCTGTAAAAAAAAAATAATAATAATAATATATTAAAAAAATTTTTTTTTGTCTCCCATACATATGTTCTTTAATGTAATTTTTTCTATTACACAGTCTCTATAAACAAAAGCCTAAGTGACCTTTATGACCGGATGAGTGGCTGGTAGCTATGACACGCACTGATCGCCAGGGGGCAGATGCTCAAGGCAGGAGCTGCCCCCTGGTGGTCAGTGTGCTCCCACAGCCAACCTCCCGCGGTCCACCCCCCCTGCTGGCTGGCCCCGATTGGGACTGGGTGAGATGGCCCTGACCTTGGCCAGGCTGAGGAACCCCACCAGTGCATGAATTTGTGCATCAGGCTTCTAGTTGTATTATAACTTTATGATGCCATCACACAGGAAACTAAGCACCCCAGAATGTACCAAGTACCTTTATTTTTAAAATATATATATATTTTTATTGTTTTTGAATAGACAGGGATAGTCAGAAACATCGATGAGAGAGAATCATCGATCAGCTGCCTCTTGCACCCCCCCTACTGGGGATGTGCCCGCAACCAGGTACATGCCCTTGACTGGAATCAAACCCGGGACCTTTCAGTCCGCAGGCCGAGGCTCTATCCACTGAGCCAAACCGGTTTCGGCTCAAGTACCTTTATTTTTAAGGAGTAACTGAACTTACCTCCAAAGAAAAACAAATCTGTTATCATTAATAAGTAAAAAAAAAAAAAACCAAAAAAAAAAACCTGACATATCTTTGTGTTTTAAGCATATTGATATGTCCACTTTTTGCTCAACATTATCAGAAGTCTTGAGATCACATGGAAATACCTCACAGAAGAGAGACATTATCTCAAACACTGATAGGTACCTGCGCTGGACTGCTTGAAAACTGAAACCACGTGTTTCAGGAACGCGGCCAGCTGCTCGGCGCTCTTTATGCTGGGGTTCTTGGCAGAGACGTCCTCATGGTTCCACAGGGGCCCTCTTTTTCTGCAAATAGAGGACAGAGGTAATTCCCTTGGTTTTCAGTCACATGAACAGTTTCACTCAGACTGGCCTAACATACACCTTTGCAATTAACATACAACTTTGCACCAACAGAGTGTGTTGGCTAAGGCGACCAGACGTCCCGATTTTTAACAATTTGTCCCACGTCCTGTGGCGTTTTAGAATCGGGACTTTTTTAAAACGCCGCGGGACGTCTGGTCACCTTAGTCACGGCCGCAGGCCTCCCATCACTGTTTATGTACGTGGATAAGCAAGGAGCCGTGCAGGGAGGGGAAGAGCCAGGTCGGGCAGCCCTGCAGCCTTCCGTCATTACACTCAAACTCTCTCCTGGGCAGCAGGAAAAGGTGACCAGTTTTGCCAAGCAAGAAGAGTACTGGTCACTGCGTCTGTGTTACAGGCCAATGCATTACATTTGTAGAGGCCAGAATGGACTTAGACTGCAATGCAAGACACTCACTAGGGAAAGCCACAGGGAACGTGTAGGACGGAATAACGTCCGGTCGATTCGTCCTTTATAAATGCTCTTGTATTCTCAAGGATCACGTCCAAAGTGCCCTGAAAACCTTTCCTGAGGCCTTCAGGGCCTGCCATCCCACACGCTGCTCAGAGGCCGACTGCCTCCCCCCCACCCACCCCATTCAGCTCAGAGGTTTTCAATAACAGCTTCTTCCCTGAAAGATAAAAGATCTGTAACCCGCCGAAACCGGTTTGGCTCAGTGGATAGAGCGTCGGCCTGCAGACTGAAAGGTCCCAGGTTCAATTCCGGTCAAGGGCATGTACCTTGGATGCGGGCACATCCCCAACAGGGGGTGTGCAAGAGGCAGCTGATGGATGTTTCTCTCTCATCGATGTTTCTAACTCTCTATCCCTCTCTCTTCCTCTCTGTAAAAAAATCAAGAAAAAAAAAAAAAAAAAAAAGATCTGTAACCCGTGGCTGAGGATTCATGGCCCTCCAGGTTGCATTCTCCCGAGCTTTCTTGTCTAGACACCCCCTCTCCGCAGCGGTACAGCCGGACTGGATCACAGCCCGTGCCTCCTGCCCCCGCGATGCTGCTCCTGCTGTGGGCCGCCGCCCAGCCCGTTCCTCCCCTTCTCGGTTCCTCCTGCACCGACAGTGCCGTGCAAAGAGGGCACCACAAGTAAACACCTGATGGCCGACTGGTGACGGAGCCAATGCAAGCGGCACGTGTAATCCTTAAATAACAGTATTTATTCCCTTTGGGCACCTGGTCTCCGGGCACAACCAAGGCCCCTCCTTGGGTACGGCCGTGTGAACGTAAAAGCAGAACGCCTCGGTGCACCGCCGTCTTATTAATGCTGGACCGGGCAGACCGGGGTGCTTCCAAGCAATGGCACCTCAGAAAACAACAGGGCTCTCCGCCGCGGACAGGCGGAGGAGCAGCCTCACCCACCGCGCCGCCTCACCTCGAGGTAATGAATTCCATGAGGGTCTTGACTTTCCCGTCCTGCTCTACTGAGATGTCCGCCTCGTTGAGGACCGTGGCGTGCAGATGGGAAACGGCTGAGCTGTTGTTTCCTAAGCTGATGCTAGAAGAGGTAGAACTGGAGCTAAGCCCTGAGTCAGTCATGGGGGAGGGCTGGTAATCAGGTATAAAATCACTAACACCTGCTGGGAGAGAGAGGCGGGCGTGAATACCAAGCATAAGAAAACCTCACGCGGTATCTACGGAACTGAACTGAACTGAACTGAACGATCGAGCCTTACAGGCTACCTGGCATGCGAGAGAGGCTCCGCGCTCCTTCCGTTGGGAGTTTTTGGGTAAGCATTATTGCATAGCCCCTTATTAACCTACCGTAACCATTTGTATTTACTGTGCAGCCCTCTGCTGCCACCTGCTGCCAAAAGGTGAAAGTGGCATTTCCCCGATATTTCGGTGTATTTCTGGTAAGTCAGTCACATTTCTCCGATGTGAACTGATTCTTAATTTGTTATGGAAAGTACTCTATACTTTCTGATTCGTTTTACTTAAAGAAAGACAATTTTAAAGTCTATCTGTAATATTTATATTATATCAGTTATTAAGTAATATTAAAAGATCTTACTAAGGACCATCTTTAGAAAATGGCAAAAGAAGCCTTAAGAACAAACACCTTTAAAATAAAGATGCTTTGCCATAAAAAAGGCAGTGAACTTCATTCTATGCATCTTTTAATCACAGTTTTAAAAGGTGAATAAATTTCCTAGTGATTGTTGTTTTACTAGGTATAGGGTTATATGACACAGTTTTAACTTACAAAGTAATTTTATTTCAGTTTTTAAAAAAATTATTTTCTAGATCATCTATTATTAACTTAAGGACACTGGTACTGATAAATGGAATAAATAAGTTATGGCTATTGAGAAAGAAGTTCAACTTTCAAAGTAAAAAAAATAATCCACATCAACAGTGAAATACATTTTATATTAGATTTTCATTAATTTGAACCTCATTACTTTAAAATGTGTTATTTGACACTTTATATACTTCAAAATGTGTAACATTGTAATTTTTTAATTAATTAATTTATTTAACGTTAGTTATGGACATAAAGTTTTATAGATATGCCTGACCAGGTGAAACAATAAAAATGTATAACATTTTAAATGCAGTAAATATAATCAAGTGAATAAAAAAATTTTAATGTCTCCTTTGTCAATATTTCAGATCTTGACATTAGAAGGGATCTAATAAAGTTGAACATATTTTTGATGACCAGTGCTTAGTAAATTAAGCACCCTTTCATTGTATCTTCAACTTATATGTTCAGAACTTAAAATTTCTATGACAGCCCCACCATTGTGGGTCATCGGTATGAATCAGGAGGCCACAGCTCAATTAACCAGAAGGGGGTGTGAAAGAGGCAGCCTGTCAGTGATTCTCATCATTGATATTTCTCTCCCTCTCCCATCCTCTCTGAAATCAATAACAACACATTAAAATATTTTTTTTTTCTATGACAAAGATACCTAAAAGCAATGCAGACTCAAATATTGCAAACTAATTCCTTTTTTTACTGGTTAATACAAAATGACAATGGTACTTAAAATAATAAAACTACATTTTTAAAAATGTACTCCAGTATTTCAACTTTTACTTGTTTTTCTCTATTGCACAATTTCAAATTAATGAAGCACGATTCCACTTTCAAATCATACATGTAAAGCAAATACCTGTGAAAGTATAATCTAAGTGTGCAATCTGTTTGACTGTGAGCACCCTGGGTTCATTAAACTCCTTGTTCCTGAGAAGGACAGAAGCAACAGTCCGGATGTTACTGTTGGGTCCCATTACTATTAATAAGTGCAGAAGCAGACGCTTACAATGTTCATACACCTCAGGGTGGCAGTGGTCAAACCCTGAAAGGAATAGTAGAAAATAATCATCAGTAAAGAGAAATAATGAGCATTCTTGCTACCAAATTAATATTTTAAAGAAATGCAGAAATTATATGAAATATTTCATGAGCCCAGTGAGCATGCTCAGTGGCTGAGCATCGACCTACGAACCAGGAGGTCATGGCCTAATTCCCAACCAGGGCACACGCCTGGGTTGTGGGCTCAATCCCCAGTGTGGGGTGTGCAGGAGGCAGCCGATCAATGATTCTCTCTCATCGTTGATGTTTCTTTCTCTCTCTCTCTCTCCCTCTCCTTTCCTCTCTGAAATCAATAAAAATATTTTAAAAATAACTTGTGGAAGATGGTACACTACATAAAGTTTTTTTTTGGCCTAGAGTTCGTGCACAACAGCCTACTGCCCTATCGAAATGGGGAGAATCCAGGTAAGTTTCCGATGAGTTTTATGTGTAAAATGTAGTGATCTTAGAAATTAATTACTCTGTTACATAACACTAGATATAAATGAATTTTAAAAAGGCAAATATCTTCTGTGCCTGGCACACAACAAAAGATCCTTAGATGCTTGATCACCAAAGGAATGCAGTAACACATTTATGCATGTGCACATCTGGAAAACTTGGAAGTCGGCGAGCTTGACACCCATCTTACAAGCGTGAAAGGCATGTCCATGTCATGGAGCCCAATGTTTGTTGCACAAGGCGCAGTTTCACCTGCAATAATCAGACCAGGCTGTCCACAAGCCGAGTCTTTTGGGAAACACTTAGAACCCATTTTAATTTTCCATTTACTCTGAAAGTTTCCAACCCCAGAGGTAAACAGAAATATTCCTGCGAGGGGGCCTGTGTGTGTGTGTGTGTGTGTGTGTGTGCGCGCGCGCGCGTGTGCAATAGGAGGGGCCACAGGTGAGGAAAGGGGACAGACTTGTCTGTGGTTAAAAGAGAGGCTAATAAGAACCCCACCAGACCACAAGAATCACAGGGAAAAGTGTCATGGAAATGGCACCGAGAAAAAATAGGAATGGACATATTGAAACTTCATTAAGTCATTCAGTTATCACACAAACATAAAACAAGGGAGTTAGGACCTAATAGGTGTTACCTATAAAAATTGCATGAAGAAGAAGATGGAGGTAGCTTCCCCATTCAACCTTCACACTGTGATCGATGATCAGGTCAGTCAAAAGGATCACTGCTATGTTACACCTGTGACAAATGAGAGTATTATTAAGGTTTCACTAGAGTCAATCTAGGGACAATCAGATGCAAATCACTTGAAGACCTTAACATTGTATTTTGTGGAGGGAAAAATACAACAACAAAAAACAACAACAACAACAAAACAACTTCTCAAGAAAAAGAGAGGAAAAGAAATTCAGCCGAGGAAACTGTTAAGTGACGATTTTAGGGGAAAAAAATATAAAAGCATATGCTAAGGGCTCCTTCGAGTCAAGGGCCACATTCTCTTCATCTGCAACCCTAAGACCTGGCACACTGCGTGCCACCTAGTAGGCGTTCAATGTGTGTTTGGTGCACCGAAACGTTTCCAAAGAACGTAGCAACTGTTCTCCCGTGATCCCGTTAGGTTAAAGGTCAGTGTAACTCAACTCAAAGCGACAGTGCCTACCCCCGTAAAAAAATCGTACTTTTCCGATGTAGCAACTGGGTCCCAGAAAGGTGAAGTAACTGTGCCAGACACCCAGAAAGAGCCGCAGCACAAGGAGGTTTCCTAAGACTAATTGCAACACGGTCAGCACGGTGAGCTTTTTAGATCTCTAAGACCCTCGCGCACTGAGCTCAGGCGAGGCGGTATCTAAAGGAGGAAGGCTGCGTGTGGTCCCGTGCTGCCCAAGGGCAGGGAGAAAGCCGACAGGGTGTAAGCAGAATTTGGCTCGTACGAAATAGGAATGAGGCTGTAGTCCACCTGTGAAGAGGTAATCCAGGTGTTGACGTTTCAGGCAAGTAATCCACCAGCGGTGACCAGCAGCCTCCGGCTGGTGGGAAGGGCAGTGGCTCTCCTTGATTATGCTCCATCACTTTCAGGCGCCAATTAGAATAAAGTGGCATTGAGTCACCTATCAAAATAAAATGATCTCATTTTCTACACCATCTATGTTCTGCCGAGATAAGCAAACGCTAGTCAGACACCAACTACTTATAGCATTGGAAGGGGATCAGAACCGTTTCCCATTCTTTTTTTTTTTTTTTTTTTTTTTTGACATTTGCTGGCTAGGAAAGACCTGGGGTATAGGTATTCTCAAATTAAGCATGTCAGGGAGAGAGAGAGAGAGAGAGAGAGAGAGAGAGAGATACCAATTGAGGTTGCGGCCTTTATGTCAAAGCGAAACTACAGTAGCAGTTTCTTACGGCTCCGTAATGGATGTCCAAGTTTTCGATCTTGAACATTAATGTATAACCACATAAAAGGTGAAGCTGCCTTAGAACAAGGCCCTCTGGTTAAGTTGCTCAATTCTAAATTTCCTGAGAGAGGGCCAACGGAAACCCGCCCTGCCCCGGGGGCTGCGGGTGTGATGGAAAGTACCATCGGGAAGTGTGAGTTCTGTGTGAGTGGGTAAGTCACTTAACCTCTCTGGGCCTCAGTTCCATCCTGTGCAAAACGAGACCGGACCCCACCATCCTCAGGGCCCCTCCCCAGCCTGAAGGCTTGTGCTTCCATCCTACCCTGTCCTAGTGTCACGGTGAACTTGGGTAGACGGTTCACTTTGCAATGGCAAGGGAGAACTCGAGTAAAACAGATTCCAGGGAGAAAGAGCACCTGATTCAAAAAGCGGCCTGTTGCCAGTGTCTGCTCCGTGACACTCTCTGAGAACTATTTTTTTTTTTTTTTAAAGTTCCTTGATTTATCTACAGGGAACCTGGGCATCTAAAACAAACATTCCCCACTCAGGCTGTCTCTTAAAATCAAGACATTTCAGATGATGTTGGAACACCACTAGTGGCAGTTAAAGACTCTTCTTAAAAACAAGTTACTGGAAAAAGAGATTAGCATTAATATAATTAATGATACACCTCACCATTGTCATTATAAATAAAATAAAAAAAAAGAACATGTTGAACGTATTACTTTTTTCTTCTTCGTAAGACCCTCCAGAGCTGCTACTGTATCGAGATTCCAGTCTGTGGTGTTGCCGGTTTAAGTGACTGTTCAGTCCGCTGTAGATGTCCAGATGCACATAGCTGGGGGAAGGAGCACTGTGGTTAGTCGCGGCTCACAGAAAAACAGTGTTTGTACTCTATGTTACACACTCTATGCTTACAGGAGAACACAGTACACAAAATACGCAAGTTTACCACGATAACATATTAATTTTCACCTCACAAGTCAAAAGCTTAAGCTTTTTAGTCAATTATTTCTACCCAAAGGTTATTCTTAAATTGTTCTGCTAATATTATGTTCTGGAGAAACCTGTTTCACAGGAAACAGGCAGAGTAAACATCCACTGAGAAAAGGTTAAAAATGTAAACAACACAAACAGTCACTGACCACACCCCACCAGGTCATCCCCGAGAGAACAGAAAAGGGTCTAGCGCGTCAGCATCTTTCATGTTGAAACTGTCCATTGGGAACATTTCCAAAATGGCAATGTAGTTTTTCACTACCCTGTTTCTCCGAAAATAAGACAGTGTCTTATATTAATTTTTGCTCCCAAAGATGCGCTAGGTCTTATTTTCAGGGGATGTCTTATTTTTCCATGAAGAAGAATATGGTACACATTTATTGTTAAATACAAATAAAAAAAGAAATTTATTACCTGTATACGGTACGGTAGTACAGTAGTTGTCAACACAAACCAGACAAACTGTGAATCCTACAGTATCAAGAATTTACTCATTAATTCAATGACAATCATGTCATCATCTTCTGGAACATCATCATAACAATCCAATTCCTGAATTTCCTGGTGAATTTCTTGAGACTTCATTTCTTTCAGAATCAGTGGACCAAATCTCTAATGTTTAGCAATAGCATTCTGAGACAGAGCCTAGGGGGGTGTCTTATTTTCAGGGGGGATGCCTTATATTTCACTCAGAAGGAAACCTGTAAGTAGGTCTTATTTTCGGAGGATGTCTTATTTTCGGGGAAACATGGTAGAAGTCTGACCCAGTGAACACACATCCCAATGCAGAGATGGCCGGTTACCCCCACTGAAGGGCTGAGAAAGAACAGACAGGTGCTTACCTCTCTTCAGCGTTCTCTTTCATGGGCTTGTTATCGAGATTGCCTTCTGAGGGAGCTACCATGGTATTGCTACTGGAAGTAGTTCCTGTAATCAGAAATAAAAGTTATCTGTGCATTTAAAACCTGTAATAACTCAATAGGAGAAAAAAAACCCCATCAAATTATAGATGTCAAAACTCCAGAAAAATGAGAGCAAAGGGATTGTTAAAAAGGAATGCACTCATAATGACCAAGAAGGAGAAAAGACAATAGCAACAGAAGTTGGAGGCTGAAAACAAATGGACAAGAAGTTAATTAAGTGTTAAGAAGGCCGAGCCCCAAGCTGGTAGTTAAGAAAACCAAGAAGGCTTCCATACTTATATTGGTGAATCTCCAAAAAGGCTCAGAAATTAGTGGCATCAAGTACCACTGGAAGTAAGGATTGAAGATGGTGCTAAAAACGGCAGAATTGGCCTGCCAGTGTGGTTCAGGGATTGAGTGTCAACCTATGAACCAGGGGTCATGGCTGGATTCCTAGTCAGGGCACAAGCCTGGGTTGCAGGCTTGATCCCCAATAGGGGGCATGCAGGAGGCAGCCGATCAATGATTCTCTCTCATCATTGATGTTTCTAACTCCCGTTCCCTTTATCTCGCTATACAAAATGAAAAGAAAAAAAAAAGGGGGGGGACGGGACCAGAATAGGTTGAAAATCTATTGCAGAAGTAGTTGGTCCCCAAAATCTAGTCCCCTACCTCTTATAACTAAGTGGCTGTTTCTTTCCACATGCAGAAATCTTTTCTGATGAGAATAAATCAGAAGATTTCTGGACTAGGACACCATGTCAAATGGAGGGAGGAAATATTTCACTGAGAAAAGGGGCATTACATGAAAATACACATAGTAAAATTTGAGATTGTACCCCCTAAAATCTTCTTACCCATAGGCTTCTAGAAGGCTATGTTGTGTGTATCTATGGATCATATGTATACACACACACACACACACACACACACACACACACACACACCCTACACCCTCTACTGTAGGCATGTGATTAGTAGAGTTTCGTCTGGGAAACTGGGTTAGTCCAAGAGAAAAGTCCCAGAGACACTTGCATCAGTGAGATCATTGCACAACAAATGACCAAGTCAACAGGTTCCATATATACCTACAGAACATCCAGTCAACTCTTTATGAAGAGACCAACCCACAATTGGTAGGCCTTTGAGGAAAGCTTTTACTAAGACAAATCAAAACGAACAGTAATACAGAGAAAATAGGAACTTATGCTGGGAGGAGAAAACTTTATCATATACAGAAGTGGATAGTTTAACTATGAAACATGAACAGAGTGTTAGTAAATAAAGTCTAATAAAAAAAAAGGTCACATCTTTGGAATTAAAAACATTCTAGCAGATATGGAAAATTCAATAGAAGATTATTAGAAATCCTCTAAGACAGTAGAACAAAAGGCTGAGATAAAAATAGATGACAAAAAAATAAATTTCAAAGATGCAAAAGATTTCTAATTATACAGATAGTGTTATAATGAACAGGCCAAAAACATTTAATACAAACTGAGTGTTTATAAACAAAGAGTTCCGTAAAAATTTTATCTACAATATCCCAGATGTTATAATCAATTTTCACTGGAAGTTACTCCCTCGTGGACCTTGTTTCTTCAATTCAAAATATTGCAATAACTATAATATATATATATATGGATAGATATATTCACTCACAAAATTGGACACTATGTACCATATATGCTCAAATAATGAAAAATAAAAATTACAGTATAATTTCAATTAAGTGTTTTCTACATTGAACATTAATTATATTCATTAAAATGAATGTTCTGGTTCCGAATAAGTATATCAATGTTTCCCTCTCTAATACTAAGAATCTTTAGATTGTCAAATTTCTTCAGTCATACGAGGATTTACAAAATCTTGTCAAGCTAATTACCATAGATGACTCACGTTTGCTTTCATTTTGATGATATTTAAAGCAAACGCTCGCTAAAATGAACAGTTAGGTAAAAACCTCTCCTTTGAGACGGAGTAAGCGGCTGTGACTTCTCACCTGAGGTGACAGAAGGGACTTTGTAGCTGGACGTGATTCGGTAATACGGGGAGTTATCCATGTGCGTGACGCCGGCACTGACGGGGTCGGTCAGCTGCAGCTCACTCACCAGCTCTTCCAGCAACTGCATTGTCTTGTCTCTTCCTAAATACACAACAACTTTCTTCACCTGCCACAGGGAGGCCATTCAGAAAAGAAAAAGCAACATCTTTACTTCATAGATCTGTCCTGAGACAAATTTTATAAGTTCCATTTTAAGGGGTAGATGAAGAAGCACAATTGAAATATGAATATGACATTGATCAGCAATAAAACACCAATTAATCAGCTTTATAAATACTATCCTCCCTCTGACCCTCAACATTGTATCTTATTAAAATGATCTCAATATAGAGGCCTGGTGCATGAATTTGTGCACAGGTGGGGGTCCTCTGGGTGGCCTGCAGGGATTGGGCTGAAACCCACAGTCAAACGCCGCCTGCAGTTCCTACCTGCCACTCCTGCTCATCCTGGTCCCCATGTGCCTGCTGTGGACTCGAGCCCAATCAGTCCCAATCAGGAAAGGCTTTCGCTGCCACAGCAGTGCTCACCAACCATGAGCCCTGCGTCTGGTGCTCTCCCAAGGGGAGTAGCCCGCAGAATTGGGCTGAAACCAGTTCTCCGATATCCCCTGAGGGGTCCTGGATTTCGAGAGGGTGCAGGCCAGGATGAGTAACCCCACTGGTGCACTACTGGGCTGGGGAGGGACCAAGGGAAGACTCTAGGGCACATCCAACTCATCTTGCTCAGTCCTGATCAGCCGGACCCCAGTAGCAAGCTAGCCTACCATTTGGAGCATCTGCTGCCTGCTGGTCAACGCACATCATAGTGACTGGCTGACTGGTCAACTGTTGTCCCCTGGTGGTCAGTTCACATCATAGCGAATGGTTGAGTAGCCTTAGCATATCATTAGCATATTATACTTTGATTGGTTTATTCAATTGTTCTGCCACTCATTCTATTTGCATATTACTCTTTTATTATATAGGATGATTTCCACATTATCTACTTCCCTTACATGTTTGCTCTTTTTGTTGTTGTTTTTTTGGTTAAAGAAAAGCAAAAGATAATTGCTCTCTATAAAACAATGTATCTTTTTAATGGGGAAAAAACTAACTTAATACCATCCCAAGTATTCCTCTAATTTTTAGTCAGGCAGCCTTTAAATCCAGGACTTATCTTTTATTCCGCTTTCCCATTCTCTACATGGAACTCAGCAGCATAGAGGAGAGAATAAGAAAGGACCTGGAACTAAACTGAACCCAGATTACACAGCCTGGATCGGAATGTAGATCTAACACTTACTACCTAGAGGAGCTGGAAAGTTCCTCTGTTTTCCCTTCTGCAAAATGGGGGCAATAGCACCGGCTTCAGATGGCAGTTAGAGCTAAGCAAGTTAAGATGTTCAAAGCACTGTAACCCAGTACACAGTCTGAGGTAAGTGGGAAAAATCCCAGGAAGGGTGCCTTGCATGTATGTTTCTCCATACTTTTCCCTTTACGACTCAACTGTGGTCCCAGCAGCACAGCCATCACCTGGGAACTTGCTGGAAATACAGAATCTCGGGCCGTATCCCCGCTTCCCCTCTAGAAATGGAACCAGATGATTCGCATGCACACAGATGCGCGAGCAGCTCTGCCTCGCATGGCCTCTGGTGAAACCTTAAAACCACCCTTATTCTATCATACCACGAGTCTCATTATGGTTACCCACTGCTGGCTGACTTTCTACGCAGCCTGCTCTATGTGCTGATCCCTGATCACCGCTGCCTCTCTGTGCCTGTCCTCACCCGAGTGGACACTGCTGCCCCCGATCCCGTCAAGTCTTCGAGCCCCACCTGCACCCCAACCCCGCCACCTTCTCCGCGAAATGCTGGCCCCTCCTCACTAACACAGCTGGGCTGGAGCTCAGCTCTACCTACCATGAGAGGATGCTGCATGGATGTGTGACTTTCAAGGAAATGACTCCTCTCTCTGCCCTGTCTTATTCATCTGTGAAACTATGGTAATCTTATCAAAATCACAGGCTTACTGTGAGACTAAAATGAAGTAATGTAGATCATTTAAAAAGTGATAATTAAGGAACTATTACTGTCATTAAAAATGGCTCCTTTTAAAAAATTTATTGGGGTGACATTGGTTAGTAAAATTATATAGGTTGCCGAAGCCGGTTTGGCTCAGTGGTAGAGCGTCAGTCTGCAGACTGAAGGGTCCCAGGTTCGATTCCGGTCAAGGGCATGTACATTGGTTGCGGGCACACCCCTGGTGGGGGCTGTGCAAGAGGCAGCTGGTCGATGATTGTTTCTCTCTCATCGACATTTCTAGCTCTCTCTCTCTCTCCCTTCCTCCTCTCTGTGAAATATCAATAAAATATATTTAAAAACAATTATATAGATTTCAGGTGAACAACTCTATAATGAATCACATGTAATTGAACTGTGTGCTCATCACCATCACCATTTATCCCCCATTCACCCGCTCCTACCCCGCACCCTGTATATGCCTGGTACGGGGTAGGAGCAACAAAGCAGGGAAAGAAAAAAAAGGAGACTCTTGTGTGGGGGGCAGGGCACTTATAGTTTTAGGTGGAATGAGCCAGCAAAGGTGTCCAGGGGAATGGACATTCGGGAAAAGACCCAAAGCAGGGGAGGGAGTGTGCACACGTGTGTCTGCATGCATACATGCATTCATTCAACCCTCATGGTTGACAGTTTCCTATTCTAACCTGTGCAGATTTAAGAACTGCTTTTCCCTTTGCAAGGCAGAGACTGCCTCCTTCCTCATGGTCTACCTCTTACCAAGCTTTCCTTCTGCTTCCACACGGGTGTAGGCACAATCCTACAGGCGCTGAACTCTGGCCACCGTGCTCCGTCTACTCTCCCAATGCCAGCACCTGCCCGCAAACACTGCCACCGTGGTCTCTGCCCCAGGAAGGCTTTCTCTGGAGCCTCTTCTCTCGCTCCCAGATGGCCCGGTTCCAAGCCATTCACTCTCAGTCCTCTGCAGCTCTCCTTCGCAGCCCTTATCCGCCTGGACTTTATTAAGTTACCGATTCATTCATTAAATAAGTAAAATCTGCACCAGCCGCCAGATTATAATGCCCAGAACCCTGAAGAGCCTCTGGCCTGTAATAAGAGCGCCTGGCCAATAGTATTTGTTAAATAAGCTGGCGAGTAAACCCACGTGCTACTTCCTGCCTGTCCTTAGCCTGGCCCTGCTCTGCCTCTGCTGGTCTACTGATGCCTGTACTCTGACTTGACAAGACACCATTAACGTTTTTCTTTTTTTTTTTCTTTTTTAAGTTAAATATCAACTTGAATACATACGTAAGGCAAGAGGCTTGGTTCACTATTCACTCCACAAATGCTGATCAAAAAGTGCAAAATTATTTTCAGATTTTTCGGCCAGCCGTCTGCAAGCGTGGTCCACACATTCTCCATCTCCGACCAGGCCAGCTCGTCACCATACTGGGTGCAGGAAACACAACACGCATATCTCAGTAAAGGCTGTCTTCTCTGCAGCAAACTGGTCACAGCATTGCAATATCAGGAAGCAACGTTTTTTACCAGAAGCTTCCATCTCCCCCATATACTTCAGAGGAATGATTATTTCTTTCAACACATCTATACATAAATACCATTACAGTCAGAGGGACCACATAACACTTCAGTCAACCACAGACTGCACACACAATGGCAGTCCCAGAAGATTACACGGGAGCCAAACATGTCTATTGTCTAGCGATGCCATCTCATAACATCACAGCACAGCACGTGACTCATGTGCTAGAGGTAACGCTGGTGTTTGCCAGTCGTACAGAAGTACAACCCAGCCAAAATGGGTTTGGCTCAATGGATAGAGCGTCGGCTTGGGGAATGAAGGGACCCGGGTTCGATTCCGGTCAAGGGCATGTACCTTGGTTGCGGGCATATCCCCAGTGGGGGATGTGCAAGAGGCAGCTGATCGATGACTCTCTCTTATCGATGTTTCTAGCTCTCTATCTCTCTCCCTTCCTCTCTGTACAAAATCAATTATATATATATATATAAAGAAGTACAGCCCATACAACTGTGCACGGTGCATGATACTCAATAATGTTATTGGTTGAAAATACAGCATATTCGCCAAAACCAGTTTGGTTCAGTGGCTAGAGCATCGGTCTGTGGACTGAGAGGTCCCAGGTTCGATTCCGGTCAAGGGCATGTACCTTGGTTGTGGGCACATCCCCGGAGGGGGAGGGGGGTGTGCACGAGGCAGCTGATCGATGTTTCTCTCTCATCGACATTTCTAGCTCTCTATCCCTCTTCCTTCCTATCTGTGGAAAATCAATATAATAAATTTAAAAAAAAATAAAGCATTAAAAAAAATACAGCATATTCTTTCTACTTAAAAAAAAAAAAGTCTGCCGCGTAACAATATGCTGTGTTACACCAGCAACAGCCTCAAACAGCTCGTGTTTTACTGCATCTCCTGACTCACCACATTCTCTGAGCTTGATTTAATCACGCGGTGTCCTGTACAGTACACGCTGTTCAGGCTTTAGCCTCGGAGCCGTGGACTATACCACACACACAGCTCTGTGGGCAGGGGCTGCACCATCGAGATCTGTGTAGGTGCCTCTGTGACACTCATAAACGAAGACATTGCCTAACAGGCAATTCCTCCCTGTCCTTAAGCGGCTCCTGACTGTAATCACATGATTTTAGATGCCCACCTTCCCCCCCCAAAGAAGACATTCTATAGCTAAGGAGAAGTTGACTTTAGAGAAAGGAGTTTATGATGCACATAGGCTCGATTATCCCAGGATTACCTAACCTCCTCATCCACCTCTAACCTGGCTTACTCCTCCTAACGCAGTCATTCTGTGCGGCCGCTGCCGGTGCAAACCCGCCTCACCTTCGCCGTCATGTACATGAGGTTGTTGAGAACCATGGCGGTGGCCTGAGGGGACCCCCAGCCTTCTCCTCGCAGCCAGCGCCGGCTCGTCACCATGGCCTCCCGGTCCTTGAGGGACTCGTCTTCGTCGTCCTCGGGCCGCCTGGCCGTGGGCAGCGGCTTCAGGTCCACCAGCTCGATGTTGTTCATCCAGGGCAGCAGGTAGTGCAGCATTACCTGCCTCCCGGCAGGGTGCGCGGTCTGGATCCTCTGGCTGATCTCTGTCGTCAGAAAGAAGCCAAAAGCAAGGGGGCATTGGTAATACCGTCAACAATTAAGTTTTGTTTTGTTTTGTTTTTTTAAAAAAGGCAAACAAACAAAAAAACCCATGCCAAAAGAGGGAACTTCTGATATAACGTCCCTTTCCTTTGACTTGTCATTAATTTCAATCTTGAAGAATAGGAAGCCAGCCGAAACCGGTTTGGCTCAGTGGATAGAGCGTCGGTTTGCAGATTGAAAGGTCCCGGGTTTGATTCCGGTCAAGAGTATGTACCTTGGTTGGGGATGTGCAAGAGGCAGCTGATCAATGATTCTCTCTCATCGATGTTTCTAACTCTCTGTCCCTCTCTCTTCCTCTCTGTAAAAAAATCAATAAAATATAAAATAAATAGATAAATAAATAAACCAAGTTCTAGATGTAAAAAAAAAAAAAAAAAAAAAAAAAGAATAGGAAGCCAAATTTTATTCACTGCATTTAAGAGTTAGGAGTACTGTTTTTTCCTTTTAATAAATCTGACCTTGATGACATCATAAAGAAAAGTAACAGCGAACACCTATCACATTCTTACTTTTTATATGAAAGGCCATTGGTGGTTAAGATAAATACACGTTTGCACACCACTGGTGAGACTGTAAAATGGTGCAACCATGCCGAGCGTTGGCTTGGGGACTGAAGGGTCCTGGGTTCAATTCCAGTCAAGGGCATGTACTTTGGTTGCGGGCATATCCCCAGTAGGGGGTGTGCAAGAGGCAGCTGATCAATGACTCTCTCATCGATGTTTCTAACTATCTCTCTCTCTCACCCTCTCTGTACAAAATCAATAAAATATATTAAAAAACAAATGGTGCAACCACTACGGAGCAGTATAAGGGCTCCTCAAAAAAGTGAAAAAAGAACCACCACATGATCTAGCAATCCCACTTCTGGGGATATACCCAAAGCGAGGTCTCAAAAAGATAGTTGCACATCCATGTTCACAGCTGCACTATTCACAAGACCGATTCGGCTTCCCAGTCAGGGCACATGCCTGGCTGCGGGCTCGATCCCCAGTGTGGGGCATGCAGAAGACAGCTGATCAATGATTCTCTGTCATCAGTGATGTTTCTATCTCTCGCTCTCTCTCTATCTCTTCCACTCAGAAATCCACTGAAAACAAATTTAAAAAGAAGAGGCATGAGCCCTGCCATCTACCCATGTAAACCAAACAGGGAAACTGCTGAAGAACGGAATGTTAGGAGAATGTAAGTCGTTTTTCCCCACTCAGCTAACTAAGTGTGGGAAACAAACCATTTCCCCTGCTGAAACAGGCACCTGGAGGCAGCTCTGCCTTGAGCCTGAATGGAAGGGAAGACCACAGCAGACCCAGGTGCGGTGCCTGTGCAGTAAGTACCAGATGAGAACAAGATCGTGCTGCAGGTGGAAAGCAGAGAAACTAGCTGAGTGTCTTCCGTGTTATGATTAGAACTTTTCAGTTAAAGGGTAGAGTATGATGGGGGCATTGACAGTAGTGTGTTCTTTAGATAGAAGATTAAACCAGATGGTCCTCAAATTTCCCTAAAGCTGAGTCCAGGGAGACTGTGGTAGGACCCTGGACTCAGCTTTGGAAATAAATCTGACCTTGATGACATCATCAAGAAAAGTAACAGCTAACACATATCACATTCTTACTTTTTATATAAAATGCCATTGGTAGGACCCTGATGTTACAGAAACCCTGGAAGGCGGGATTCTTTGCAAAGGAAGCTGGACCAGCGAGCAATGCAGGACCCTAGCAATAGTTTTGCCTGAGGCTGTGCAGGACCTTTCCCTATGACGACAGGCTTTACCTACTGAAAGAAACCTGTATCGTTGCCTCTGCATTATTTTGGTGTATGTGCCGCTGAAGCAAGCACAAACTCTGCAGTATTTTAAAGGCAGGCCAGTACACAGATAAAACACATAAACAGAAGATTCAGTAAGTTCGAAGTCTACTAAATGAATATGTATTTTTAAATTTAATCCTCACCCGAGGACATGCTTAGAGAGGAAGGGAGAGAGAAAAAGGGACACTGATGTGAGAGAGAAACATCAAGGAGTTGCCTTCTGTACTTGTTCCGACGGGACTGAACCCACAATCCAGGTATGTTCCCCGACCGAGAATCAAACCTGCAACCGTTCAGTGCACAGGATGACGCTCAACTCACTGAATCTCATTATTTCTGGCCGGGCCAAAAAATATTTTAAAATTACATGTGAAGACCCCTTTACATTTTTCCCCCTCCTGCAGTGAAGTGAAGTAGGGAGGAAAAAGTGAAAGGTCCTGTAAATACTTCATTAATAAGATACCTAAATATCATGGTAGACCAGTATTAAGAGTTCTTATTAGAGAAAAAATTCTCTATGTAAATACATGTTTGCATTCAACCTCAACTTGCATCTATTTAAAATTTCTTAAAAGTAGTATTTCAGAAACGATTGCTAAAAAAAGGAAAAAACTACTAACCAGTTCAATGATCATACCTGAGAATATGGCGAGAGTCAGCTCAGGATATGCCCTTGCGAGTTCCTCAGACAACTGATAATATGACACAGAATACAGATGTGGCAGAGGAGACAGCTGGCTGAGCACTCCATCTGTTCTCTGAACCTCCAGTTTGTGGGCATAGCGAAACATCTTCGGTTCCAGGATCTACGGGGATGCAATGCCATCAAAGTTAAGGTGTTATGGGTCCTCCAAATTTCAACTATAATTAAAAAAAAAAAAAATATCCTCCCAAGAAATATTCCAGTTTAAAAATTACCCAGTTATACATATTGTAAAATATTTCGCATGTTAAACTTAAATGCCACGAAGTGTTTGCAATAGACGTGTAACTGTGTCCAAGGTATCGCACTCCTTGTGTTTAATGGTGATGTTTTGGGTTAGTAGCATAGTTTGAAAATAACTTCAGCAACTTAAGTTAAAATTACTTAAAAACGGCATACCACTTTCCAGGTCAAATATATGGCTATATAAAACAAGTGTAAGTGGAAAGAAAATTTTCAAACATGTCTTGGTTAATCACACAATAAATATGGAATATAAAGTAAACATCTTTTTGATGTTACACTATGTAAAGAGCTACACTACCGAACTTTCTTCTTTTTATTTTTTTATTTTAACAGGTGGTTTATTTTATTTTATTTTTGTATAAAGTATTACAAATAGTAATACATATGTCTCCTTTTTCCCCCCACTGAACTTTCTTCTTTTAAATTTTATTTTATTCACAGTTTACAATAAACATTATTTTGAATTAGTTCCTGGTGTACAGCATAGTGGTCAGATAATCATATACTTTATAAAGTGGTTTAAGTATCCCTGGCACCATACATAGTTATGACAACACTGTTTACTATATTCCCTATGCTTTATAACCCTGTATTTTGTTACTACCAATTAGCACTTCTTACTCCCTTCATCTTCTCCAACTAGCCCCCTTAAACTTTCTTAAATCAAGACATTAGTGTGTAATTCAAACCCTTTGAAAAGATCCTCAATCTATTATCCATTAGCTAAGCATTGTATAATAATGATGCATCTATGCTTGGCAAGTTAATTTGCTAGGTTATATTTCTCAGCCTAATAAAGGAAGATTATACAAGGTCATCATAAAAAGAGCTAATTACATTTTAGTTGGTTCTCAAAAAAAAAAAAAAATTCAACTGTCTTAACTGAACAGAAATAGTTAGACACACACATAGGCCCTAACCACTCCATTTTTATCTGTACTGGCGCACACTCAAGTGTGTGTGTGGTAACATATACAATTTCTTTACAACAACTTAAATGAACCATATTATCTTTTTCTTCTATTTCAAATGACCCTCGGGAATTGACACTAGAGTTTGCTATTAAAAATGAAGCTGGATATCGTATACTTCCAAGGCAGGAAAGGGATTGATAGTGCTTCATTAGGTCCCGTGTAAGAAGGTTTTCATTAACGTTTGATTACAAACCTGTAAGAGTTGCATAGCAACTTCATAGATACTTCGGGAAGAGTCAGCGGCTTTAAACAGTATCAGGTTCAGAAGCATCACTGTGTCACACTGATAATCCCTGGGGACAAAGTCCACATGTTAGGAACGGAATATTCAGAGGCCTTCACACGAGCTAATGAATATGGTGGACCAGGGCCAGAATGCAGGCACGCAGCAGCCAAGCCCAGGAGGTGGCTGGGCTGTTGTTGATGTCCTATGGTTTTTTGTTTTGTTTTGTTTGTTTTTTTAAGGTTAAAAGGTACAAAAACAAATGCATGATGATCATTATCCTTATTTTGGTTAATTTCTGATAACAGTTTAAGAAAATATTGGTTTCTGAATTCAAATGGAAATATTTATAAATTAGTATTTCTGAATCCAAATGGAAATATTTTCTTGCAAAAAAGACACAACTAAATAAATTGTAAGAAACGGGCCTGGGAGTACCTGTTCTGGAACACGTTGGCGATGGCCTTGAAGCAGCCCGCGGCCACCCTCCGGGAGCCCGTGTAACACCGGTCCACCGCCCAGAACATCAGGTTGCTCTGGTCCGGGTTCAGCTCCAGGAGCAACGTCACTGCTTCACAGCCCAGCTGGTGAACCTACGTGAAGGCCACAGGATTGCCCGGGACAGAGAGAGTCGTAGGTGACTCAAGTGTCTGCTTCTCTGCCTTTTACTAAGACATCATGCATGCCCTTATTGCATTGGACACGAAACTCGGTCTCTTTTCTTCCAACTCCTTCTCCTTTTATCCAGCCACTAGAAAAAGCGACCTGGATCCATGAACCGTGGACGCCGGCATGTTCCCAAGATGCTGAGCTCCCATTCCCTCCTCCCACAGAGCCCCAGGGGCAGTGGGCGAACATGGACAGCGGTGCAGCGCTGTCAGCAAAGTGAGCTATTACCCCCTCCAGTTACTTTTATCAAGCTTTATTCTAGTTTTTTTTTTTTTTTAATGTATTTTACTGATTTTCTTTACAGAGAGGAAGGGAGAGGGATAGAGAGTTAGAAACACCAATGAGAGAGAAACATCGATGAGCTGCCTCCTGCACATCCTCTACTGGGGATGTGCCCACAACCAAGGTACATGCCCTTGACCGGAACCGAACCCGGGATCCTTCAGTCCGAAGGCCGATGCTCTATCCACTGAGCCAAACCGGTTTCGGCTTTATTCCAGTTTCTGATAACCCAATACAAAAAGTATTCCCAGGGGAAAACATGTAAGTTCTGTTTAAAAAAAATAATCTTTTAAACTGTGACGCCTGTGAGCGTGTGCTATGAGAGCGCGCAGGGCACAGGGTCCAGAGGGCCGGAAAGAAGGATTCATTGGAGGGTGGCCCTGGCCCAAAACAAAAAATTAAACGCAGCAAATATCGTTTCTTCCGTAGAGCTCAATGTGCTCTGCATGAATACTTTATTCGTAGACTTAGAACCCTATTGTGAGATGTATACACACTACTGCATTAATCCTGCAGCATACAAGGGAAATGAAAACGATCCAAGTGTGTGTAATAAATAAGAATTAGAAAATTTAGATTATGGCATCCTATTTAATTTACAGAGCATATTTTCTGCATGTAATTCTAACCTATCTTATTTTAAAAACGACTTGTTTTTTAGTGGGCCATACGCTAGTTCCAAATAATGCAATGGCAATTACGAAATGTTAAGGGAATTACCGATAATTACCTTTTTGTCCAGAGAGTCCAAAATGTTATCCAACCATTTGTACAAATAGCCATCTGATGAAAGTCCCACATTATCTGCAACAGGGCCACAACATAGCACAGCAGACATAGCCTTCAAACAATAATATCAGAATTACATTTGAAACATTGCGGAGGTAAACAGGTGGCTGTTTATTGAGAAGAGGCAGGCTATTTTTACCCATGCTTATGTAGCTACAACACCTTTTTGCCTTTACAAAGAAAAGCAGAATAGTGATTTTTTTTGAAACTAAGTAATTTATTATGAGTAGTAAGTACCATGGTACCAAGTTAGAAATGGAGTTTGAACAGTACCGGAAAAGAAAAAAAAAACCAGAAACAAAAAACAAGCAAGAGAAAGCACTTAAGTAGGGGGAAAAAAGGTATTTCTTTTAGGTGATCCTCTTTAAGACAATGGAATTCAAAATTTGGGGTAGATTCTGAAGGTTCTTACATTGTACTGTATTTTATGTATTTAAATAAACTTACAGTACAAAAAATACAGCAGAGCAAATATATACATTCTAACACTCTCAGGGACTCAGGAGAAATCCCTACCCTTTTTATAATACTAGACATTGAGAGATACTCTTAACATAAGAAAAAAAAAAAAGCAATCAGATTGCTAAGTAAATACCTTGAGTGCACAGTATTGATGTCTGTTAATTTGCATATTTCTGTCGCTGTATCTGTCCAGGGGAGTAAACATGATGCTAAAGGGACCAGCCCAGTGGCTGAACAGCATGAACAGACTGTGACGCAGGCTCTGCTGAGGGAAAATGCTTCTTCTCTGGTGCACTGCAAAGGACACAGAGACGGAGAGAAACTCATTTCCATTTCTTTTACCTCAGTGTGCATCTCAACATGTTTGCTACTCAACATGTAATACTGCAAAACAGAAATGTTTTCTTTTTTAAAAAAAAAAAATATTTTTTATTGATTTTTTACAGAGAGGGATAGAGAGCTAGAAACATCGATGTGAGAGGAACATCGATCAGCTGCCTCCTGCACACCCCCTACCGGGGATCTGTCTGCAACCAAGTTACATGCTCTTGACCGAATCGAACCTGGGACCTTTCAGTCTGCAGGCTGACGCTCTATCCACTGAGCCAAACCGGTTTCGGCAGAAATGTTTTCATTTTAACTTAAAACCTCTATAGCGACAAGTCATTTACACGGAGACAGCACCAAGGCTGCAGCCCGTTCCCGGGGCCCACGTCATGGGGGACACAGCGTCCCGGGAGCAGACCTCGGGGCAGGCACAGGCTGTCGGAGCCTGCGGCCCCCGGGCTGCCGTGGCTACACGGTGGGCTTGGCCAGGACGCTCGTAACACAAACACACCTGTGGGTCTTGGCTGGTGGGTGGGAGAGAGCTTTGGACTATACACACTATTTTAAAACGTTGCATGTCCTCAGCAGTGCAGCTGTGTTTACAAGAGAACCCTCACGAAGCGGTTTTATATACAAAACAAGTAAAAGGGGAGCTGAGCTAAGTACGGCGTGACGCCCCGGCATCCACACCCGTTCTGCTGCCTCCTGCTGACGGCACCAGAGGAGAGACAACATGGTCTGAAAGCCACCGGTTTAGAAGCTCTCCGAAGATTCCGTCCATTTTAACATCCTGCCCTACAAGGCCTCTGCAGCGATCTGTGCTGAGGAAACGCAACGGCGTCCTAACGAATCCATGTGGACGCCGCAGACAAGCGTTCAGTAATTGATTAAATTACATCTGTTCATTAGTGATCAGAAAATTTTAGAGGGGGAGGGGGGAATGCTCTTTTCCTCTTAATCGCATCGTTTGTCCCAAAAGTTCCAAATAGGTTTCCTGCACTTGAACATAATATACCTCAAGAAGTTTGTGCAGGGCCCCCCCCTTTTTTTTTTTTTTTTACAAAAACACAGCCCTGCTCTTACTTTAAACCCAACTGTTTGCATATACTTTTTAAGGTAACAACTTCAATTTTCCCCCCCAGAAACAAAAAGAAACATTTGTATTTACATTGTATGCTCAAGGCTAAAGTCACATTTTTATGATTTTATGAAAGGAAACTGCATGTATTATATCTGTATTCCTAGTGCCTGAACCAGTACCTGGCATATAATATGTGCTCAATTACAGGCATGCATGTGTTAAATGAATCATTCAGTTAACACTGGGTCCTTGTACTTTATGTCTATGACCCATATCCTTTCCATTATTCAAAAGTATCTCGTTAATTCTATCCTCAATAATCATTTAGGGCATTAAGCTCTTTGCTCCTGCATCTAGAACAAGTTTGTCCAAAGAGCTTATTTTCTCCACATTTCTGCATTGCTGTCTTGATCGTTGAAAATCTATAACGGGTTGCTTTTTTTTTTTTTTTTTTTTTTAAATTTCTAATTGCTGATAGTGATTCAGAAGCAAAACACTCTTGTCATCCGTGGAATACTGACACATTTACCCAGAATGCTCACAAGTTTTTTCCATCAACTTAGACTACAGAACCTGAGGGCAGGAACAAACATGGTGGTGCCTTCATATCCAACAGTGGTTTAAGAACCTAAAACACGTACCTGGAACGTTCTGAATGATGTTCGCCACTAAGGCACTAAAATGGCATCGTATGTCCTTCAGGGTGTCAGAGTCTTTTTCGTTTTCTGCCTCCAGGAGCTGTCTGGTTAAATCCACGTACTCCAGTAGAGTGTTGTTGAGGAAATGTGTTTCATTATCCAGGCCACCGCTTGCACTGAAAATAGTCAAGGAGATGAGTGATAAAGAAAATGTGATTTTATTTATTTATTTATTTTTTATTTTAAAAATATTTTATTGATTTTTTACAGAGAGGAAGGGAGAGAGATAGAGAGCTAGAAACATCTATGAGAGAGAAACATAGACCAGCTGCCTCTTGCACACCCCCTACCAGGGATGTGCCCGCAACCAAGGTACATGCCCTTGACCGGAATCGAACCTGGGACTCTTTAGTCCGCAGATCGACGCTCTACCGCTGAGCCAAACCAGTTTCGGCAGAAAATGTGATTTTAAACCGCGAATGTAAATCAAAACGAACTCCAAGGAATCAAAACCTGGAACTCTGCATGCTCCTGGCAGCATGCATCTCCATACACAGAAGTTAAAGGAACGCGTGCTTGGCTTACTTAGATATAAACGGTGCTTCCTGCAGCGGGCTCTGTAGCTCAGGGCTTATGTAAAAATGAAAGGTGCTTCTTAATCAAGGAATTATAATACTATTGCGATTTATATTATTCAGTTCCATACCTAACTTTAATCAGCTATGCTGAGCGCGAGGCATACTCCCTCTCCATCAAAATACACAGCTTCCAAAGGAAGGAAATAAAGAGGCATACGGGATAGGAAGGACCCACTTAGAAAGGAAGAAAGAGGAAAGACTAGTTCTACCCAGCCTCATAGTTGCTAAGCATATTGATATTGGGCCTTTAGCACAATTCTAGAACAGGCATTATTTGGGATATAAAAATATAAGGGAATTCAAGTAACTGCTGGTTTTCAAATCTCCTCTCTAGCCCCATGCAGCTGCCTCAAGAATCTCTGCGATAAGATCCTCTTTGAGGTGAAGGCTCTGCTACCTCGAACCCACGGAGTGGAAGGGGGCCATCTAGTTGGAGTCAGAAGTCTCAGATTCCATTCTTCTATCAGCTATTAAGCCTGAGATTAGCCTCTGCTTCAGGGCATTTGACTAGGAAAATAACTGACTTATTATATATGAAAGGCCCAAAGAACTATAAGTGCTACATCAATGATTAGCTTACATTTATTTGGTCAGCTTTTCTATATTATTCTTCAAAAGTACTTCTAAGATATGTGATTTTAAAAATAAAATAATTTTTTTTACTAGTAAATAGCTTCTAATAAACATCTACAGTACAAGGTGGAACAAAAGTAGGTTTATAGTTGTTCATATGGAAAACAATACATTAATAAATAATAATACAAGAATAAATTCTAGCCGAAACTGGTTTGGCTCAGTGGTAGAGCATCGGTCTGCAGACTGAAAGGTGCCAGGTTCGATTCCGGTCAAGGGCATGTACGTTGGTTTCGGGCATATCCCTGGTAGGAGGTGTGCAAGAGGCAGCTGGTCAATGTTTCTCTCTCATCGACGTTTCTAGCTCTCTATCTCTCTCCCTTCCTCTCTGTAAAAAATCAATAAAAATACATTAAAAAAAATTAAAAAATAAATTCTATGTTCTGCATATTCACAACTATTCAATATTAACCTATTTTGCCCACCCTGTATATTTCCTTTATTCCGTCAATGAGTGTTTTTAAACTCCAGGGTATGCCTTATTGGTGAATGAGAAACTAATTTAGCAGACTGCACCCTGGCTCAGAATCTACTCACTTAAGAAATATTCACTAAGTTACCTACAATGTACATAGGACCAATTAGGTCAACAAAACAAATATCCCTGCCTTCTTGACATTGAGAATTCATCTTTTTTTACTTAGTCAAGGAAATAAAAAGCCAGAGGTTCAAGAGTGTTATATTCATTTCTCTTTAAAAAACCAAAAACACCAAAATAAAAAAAAACACACATCATAAACAAAGCACACAACTGTGTTCAAACCATTACCGCTCAATAATGAGTAAGCTTTCAGAGTTAAATTTTAAGTAAGCCAATATCTTGCAGTTCCCAAACAGTATCCTTCAAAGATTCTTCATTCACTAACATACATTAAAAGCAACCAAAGGAGAAGAAAAATGATTCAGACATGTTTTAGGTTAATTTTATGAATCAAGCCCAGCACATTTCAAGTTTACATTTTTCTAACTTGAACTGCTTTATTTTTGTGGGGGTCAGAAAACAGAATGTTTCTTTTTTTCTTTCTTTCCATTTTCTGTAAAAGAATGGAAAACCAAGGGTTTAAATTCTCATTGATTAAAGCTCTGTTTTAAAAGCACTTGTCAGCCGAAACCAGTTTGGCTCAGTGGTAGAGCGTCGGTCTGCGGACTGAAAGGTCCCGGGTTCGATTCCGGTCAAGGGTATGTACCTTGGTTGCGGGCACATCCCCGGTAGGGGGTGTGCAAGAGGCAGCTGGTCGATGTTTCCCTCTCATCGACGTTTCCAGCTCTCTATCTCTCTCCCTTCCTCTCTGTAAAAAATCAATAAAATATATTAAAAAAAAAAAAAAAAAAAAAGCACTTGTCAGAAGCACATGCAGAAATAACCAGGAGAGATACTAAAGTAACAACCCTACATTCGTTTGATTATTAAGACCTTCAATATCTCTTTTCAGTTGCCTTTTTGGGAAATGGTCCCATGCATTTTTTTTCCCTCTTTCAATGATCAGGCAACACCATTACCTCCTAAGAAATAGTTATTTCTCAACACTGAGCTGACGAAATTCTCCGCCAGGGGCTGCTCTTCGGGTCAAGAAGCCTCTATTCCAGCAACCACCCCAGGCTTTATGCTTTCATAGGCGGGAGGGTGAAAACAGTTACAAATTATGTTTGTGGATTTCATATTTCCCCCCCAAAGATAGGTTAACAGTTGAATGGAATAAATATGCAAACTTTATTATGTGGCACCTTTAAATGTGTGATTTTTACAAATCTAGAAGAAATAGAGCTTAAAAATGAGCTAAGAAATAGTTAAATTAGTAATAATAATTTTAAAAAAAGGCTACTATCCATTTGCCTGGGTTACTACATTCCAACAAATATCAAAATCATAGGAACGTTTTCCTCAATTTTTACCTTCAAGCAAAATAAAAATCATGTTAGAAATTAGATTTAGAAATACATTTTTTAGCCATTAGTTAATTTCTTGGATGCAGCTTTGAATTGGGTAAATGTTTACAAGTAACGCAGACAGGGTAATTTGGCTGCAAAGGTGTTTTTCTGTTATGTTTCATGAGAGAGAAAAACATGTTCCCTAATTATTCCACTTTTAAAAGAGTAAAATCCAGCACTGACCTGTGACTAATGACACCAGCGTCTGCCAGCAGTTCGAATATTCGTACCAGCTGTACTCGTAAAATGTCCCGACGCCTGCGCCGTTTCATATTCTATTCCAAGGATACGAAGATATCAATTAAAAATCCTTCAGGGAAATTTTTTTTAATGTTTTATTTTTAAAAAATATATACTTTATTGATTTTTTACAGAGAGGAAGGGAGAGGGATAGAGAGTTAGAAACATCGATGAGAGACATTCATCAGCTGCCTCCTGCACATCCCCTACTGAGGATGTGCCCACAACCAAGGTACATGCCCTTGACGGGAATCGAACCTCGGACCTTTCAGTCCACAGGCCGACGCTCTATTCACTGAACCAAACCAGTTAGGGCTACGTTTTTCATTTTAACATTGAGTTTTGACACACACACACACAGAATAAATACAAAAACAACAATATAAAAAGGTCTTTAATCTTATGTCATGAGGAAATGTTTTGTCTGATTAGGGTTGAAGTACCGATGCCTAGCGTAGCAGTGCAACACCTCAACCGGTTGCTGCCTGCTACTGTAAATAGAGTTTTATTGGAATATGACCACATCCACTTGTTTAGTGTCTACGCAGCAAAACTGAGTAGTTGTAACAGTGTCAGCGTGGCCAGAAAAGCTGAAAATATTTACTATCTGGCCCTTTTCAAAAAAGGTTTGCCAGCCAGCTTTAGACCCTAACTGTCCTCACTTCAGCCAGAGTAATTTGTTTCTGCATAAGACCTCCCGGTGGGAAGGAAGAGGTCTGTATATTAAAAAAAAAAAAAAAGTTGAAAATCACAGTAGATAATCTTTTATTTATTCGCTTCCGAATTTCTAACTTTGGTATAATGTGTAAAATACAGAAGATAAGTAAGTGTTTGCCAAACAAATATTATTTAACAATAGAAAACTACACAGTTTACCTCTGGCCTTCTTTCGAGTGCTTCTTTAATTATGGGATGCAGTTCCTCTATCAGTTCCCTAGAAGAAAAATGATATACATTCTTTCAATTAATAGCTGAACAGATATAACCTGACATGTGCAAATATGTAAATATTAATATATTGAGGTAAATAGACAACAGTTAACCCTAATCCTACCGTTTAAAACACAATTTTTTTTTTTATAAAATATATTTTATTGATTTTTTACAGATAGGAATGCAGAGAGATAGAGAGCTAGAAACGTTGATGAGAGAGAAACATCGACCAGCTGCCTCTTGCATACCCCCAACTGGGGATGTGCCCGCAACCAACGTACATGCCCTTGACCGGAATCGAACCTGGGGCCTTTCAGTCCACAGACCGACGCTCTACCACTGAGCCAAACCAGTTTTGGCTTAAAACACAATTTTTATTGTTTTGGTTATAAAACAAATTTGTACATTGTAGAATGTTAGGAAAGCAGAAAAAATAGTATAGGCCAGTGGTTGGCAAACTGCGGCTCGAGAGCCACATGCGGCTCTTCCATAAAATACCACGGCCTGGGCGAGTCTATTTTGAAGAAGTGGCGTTAGAAGAAGTTTAAGTTTACAAAATTTGGCTCTCAAAAGAAATTTCAATAGTTGTATTGTTGACATTTGGCTCTGTTGACTAATGAGTTTGCCAACCACTGGTATAGGCCACTAATTTGAATTTATAGAAATAAGTACTATCAACATTTCTGTTCAATCATTTTACAGGCCACATATATTTCACATAGTTGAAACCCTATCATATATACAATGGAACAAATTACTCTGTTTTTTTTTTCCCTTTATTTAGTATTAGCATAAGGACTTTTATATGCAATTAATCAATTCACCGTATTCTATTATAGGGTGAAAATCATACTTTTCCTTAACATTTCATATATTATTGATGCAGTAAATTTTACGTAATTTCTGTTATTATAAATACTGCCTCAAGAAACATCTTTGTATATTAACCTTTGTCTTTATTTCTGATTATTTCCTTAGAATTAATTCTTAAGGATGGAATTAATGGGCCAAATGGTATAAACTTCATGAGCATGATAATTTTATCTTTGCTTATATTCTGATTTAAGATGAAAAATCTGGTTGTTATAGAAGATTAGGAGAACAGAAAAAGCAGAAGAAAATAAAGCATATCCATAATATTATCATCTATAGAAACTATCACAAAGTATTTGCCTCAGAATTGTTTCTATTTATGGGATTTTGTTTTTCTAAGAAGCTGAGATCATTTTTGTATCCCATTTTTTGCTACTAGCACCACTTGTCATAAAATAATCTTCCAAGATTTCCTTTTTAATGAATACTATTCCCACACCTCACATATTACAATTTAGTCTCTATTATGCATATTATCTTGGAGGCAAAACATCAAATATCACCTCATATCAATGGAGGATAATCTCAAAACAATACATCCAGAGCCTAGAAGGCAATAACAAAGCAGAATTTTGGGCAAAAATGAAGGATTTGCTTCATTTATAATAAATAATATCAAGAATTATGTAAAATATGTGTGTCAACATTACTTGTAAAGATAATTAAATTCTCTTAAGAGGGGAAAAAAAATCCTATAGTTTTAACCAATAGATTGAGTTTATAAATTAGTAGAATCACTGCGTAAATAAATTTGGTAGGAATTTTAAGATTTAAACAGCATTTTATTTCCGGGACATATTTATACATAGTAAATATTTTCACAATCATTCTGTGAAGCAAGCCACATTTACATTCTTAGTGCATGGAGAAGACATATACAGATAATTACCTAAAAGCTCCTGGGTTGGTCCTGCCAAGACCTAGAACAAGGGACTCTGTGATTTCCATGCTCTCAGAGCGCATCATTGGAACTATGTGCTTAAACAAGGAGGAAGGGGAAGGGATTCCAATAATCTGGAAAAAAAAAAAAAAAGTATTTATAGCACCCGCTAATGACAGTACATCCAACTGAATAAAATGATATTTCAACACTATTTGGCCAAGAACAATGGATAAATAACATTTCAGAATGAACCAGGCTTCAAAATCCACCTGTAGGGCACACACCTAAACATCTACACGCTCATTAATGGGACGGGGCTCTGAGGGTCTCTCACCATCAGACAACAGGCTGACTCCCTCCATCACACCGCCTATGTCTTTTGTTCCAAAAACGAGTGGAACAAAATTACTTCTGAAAGAGTCCTTGGTGGTGTGCTCGCTTCGGCAGCACATATACTAAAATTGAAAGAGTCCTTGGTGTTGGAAGAACCCCCAAGTGTTATGTTTTCTCAGTTCTCTCCAGCCACCTCATAATATTTTTTTGTCATGCCATAAAGACCAGATAACTGTTTTTGTCAAATGTCATTTGTATCTGTACGTAATTTAGGGAAATTCAAAGAGATATTTAATAATTTAAATTGTTCCTTTTGGGTACTAAGAAGTGTGAGAAGTATGGAAGACGGAATCAGGGAAAACAAGGATGAAAACAACTTTAAAAATATCCATTCTGATGAATTTAATGAACATGGCCCTTTTTCCGTGAAGAAAAACTACATTTAGTTTTTTTTAATTCAAACTAGGACTCCATAAAAGCAGTAATGGGATTTCTTGAACTCTTTCTCCTCCTCCCCACACCCCCCCAACCCCATTATCAGTGCAAGTAGCAACTACACTTTTTCAACCAACTGAGTTTATGGTCCTGGAAAAGAAAGTCTGACACGTGACTTCTGTGGCACCTGATGCAGGGTGGACCTGGCAAGCTTACTTTATTTATTAAAAAAAAAATATCTATTTTATTGATTTTTTACAGAGAGGAAAGGAGAGGGACAGAGAGTTAGAAACATCGATGACAGGGAAACATGCATCAGCTGCCTCCTGCACACCCCCTACTGGGGATGTGACCGCAACCAAGGCACATGCCCCTGACTGGAATCGAACCCGGGACCCTTCAGTCTGCAGGCCGACGCTCTATCCACGGAGCCAAACCGGTTAGGGCCGGCAAGCTTACTTTGGAGTCGATGCTGTAGCCGCTGTCGGGGGTGGACGCCAGCGTCTCGGGAGGAGAGCACCGCACGGACCCCGCAGAGGGGGACGCGGACGCGGACGAGGCCGCGCTGCAGCACAGGAGCAGGTAATTCCTCCACAGGCCCACGTACGAGTCGCTGCTCGTGGTCGTATTCACCTTCTTGGCATTGATGGGGCTGCTGAGGAAAACAACGAAAAACAAACAACACGGGTAAATAACACAACCTATTTTGAAACTGTTACCAAAACTAACGCCAGGGGCTATGAAGGTGAGTAAAACACATATACAAGTTCATCAAGTCACCCACAGTGTCTTAGCGTGTTAGAGAATGTTCGGGCACTTGTGACAGCAGTCAAAACAAGAACAAAAACCTGAGACGCCCGTTACCGACGTGTTTGCTGGGGGAGATACACAATAAAGAACAAATAAAACAATGTCAGGCCCTAGCCGGTTTGGCTCAGTGAATAGAGCGTCAGCCTGCGGACCAATGGGTCCTGGGTTCGATTCTGGTCAGGAGCATGTACCTTGATTGCAGACCTCTCCCCGTCTGGTCAGGGCGCAGTGCAGGAGGCAACCGATCGATGTGTTTCTCTCACATCCATGTTTCTCTCCGTCTTTCCGTCTCCCTCCCACTCTCGGAAAAAAAACAAAAACAAAAAAAAACAATGGAAAAATATCCTCAGGTGAGATTTAAAAAATAAAACAAAAAACAATGTCAGATGGTGCTAAGTTTAATGACGAAAAATAGAGCAAATGGTGAGACAGGAAGTGGCGGTACAAGAGGGTCTAATCATTTAAAATATGGTAATTAGGGGAGACTTAACTAAGGTAAAGTCACAAATGTTACACAGGTGAAAAGTGTCAATCTTCATGAAAACAAACAAACAAAAAAAACCACACCCAATATACAATACCTAAGACTCTACACAGGCACATAATTAGCATAAGTATAAAGAAATGCGAAAAACATATACACTAAGGAAATCACTTACTTTATATCAACCTGCGGGGACAGCAACTGAAGCCTTGTGTATGCAAACATCCAAGCGTAGCTCACAGCTGTAGGGCAGTGTTTGGGGAGGTTTTCTTGCTTTAAAAAACTGGACAGACTTATAATCCACGGGTCTTGGCCTTGGGTCACATGTGCAAATATCCATATGTGTGATGGGCTAATCACATCAAACTGGTGGCTGATGGGAGAAGAATTCCATTCTGCTAATGTCTGTAAATCTATCGCGCTAGGGCAATACAGCAGAGTAGTCTAGGGAGAGAGAGAGAGAGAGAGAGAGAGCGAGCATGGGTCACTGCACTCTTCATGACTAAAGTCCTGCCACGTGAGCTGCTTTCAGCTGCAGGTGGCCTGCTGCGAGGGTCAAAAACAGGGGATCTGAAACAGGGGGACATGAGCACCAAGATGGGCGTAAGAGAGTAGTGAATTCCTGAAATTGCACTTGAGGGTTTGCATGCGTATGCCTACTACATGTGTTTTTCTGGACAGAGATTCCATGGACTTCATTATTCTCGAAAGGATCTTTAAAACTAAACGGCTGAGGGACATTCTTAAGTAATTCATATGTGACTATGCAATTTCTTTGTGGGCGCAATGCAGCAGGTAGAGAGCTCCCAAACAAACTATTGACTTTCATGCTGACGTGCTCTACAGATGAAGTGGAACAGACTGGAAAATGGGCTCCTCTCCAGAGGTGCATATTCATAAACATTTGCTCAGTAATATTCTGGGAGCTTCTACTGAAGAGAAAGATTTACCTTCAGAACAAATTATATGCCATTCAAACCACAAAAATGGAGCCTTAAGCTGGACAGAGACTCAGTTTACTCCATCATTCAGCTGACATTTATAAAGCTCCCACTGAGAGCCAGGCACTGCTGAAGGCACTAAAAGAGAGCCACCCACTACTCTTCTCCTTGGCCTAATTCAGGTTAATCATCTAAAACAGAATTCTCAAAATCGAACAGACTTATAACCATCTCTTATATTTATAAAGTTTTCTTATTATATCCCTTGGTGATACATAATCCGTGAGTTGTAAAAACCAAGTGTTAGGCAGAAAGCACATAAATCTCTGGTCGGTCCATGAATTCCAAAACAGGAATAAAAAGAGTATCAGGTAGTAAAGTCTGATAGTTACTCTTACATCCATCTTGAAATCTTAATATATGACTTTTTTAAAAAAAATTCAAACTCAACTAAGAAAGTTTGCACACCTTTTCTTAGTAATGTAAAAAATACAGTTTTTTTCTTCATTTTAATGAGTCAAAATACATTATGACTAGCATAAAATACTACATTGCACTTAAAGTTATGTGGCAAACTAAACAAACACATTTACTGAAAATAGAGTAAGTGCAACTTTTTGCTCCAAATTTCAACAAAATTTTCCATAGTAATTTAACATTATACATATATATATAATATTATATGCCATAATAAATAGCAATAAAAAAAAGACAGCAGTAACATTAGATTAAGAGGAACTTCTTAGATCAAAAAGACTGGAATTTTACAAAGACAAACTATTTTTATTGCTATGGGGAAGTATACTAACCATAGAAATAAACCATGCAACTATTTTTTTTTTTTAAATTGTGTGCCACTTTTTAAAAAAGTATCTTTAACTTTTCAGTTTTCAAGAATACTTTCTAATGCAGTATATTGGTAAAGAAAATTTGTGTATAGATGTGACTTAGGTTCTAAAACAAGACTGAACAGCACTCATTCAATCACTGCACGCAGTGCACCACAGTGACAGAAGTCACCAGTTACCTGGTCGGCCCCCGTGAGATGTATGAAGCTCTCCAGAATGGATGGGCTCAGCCTGTCCATCACATCTATGGCTAATTCATCATCGCCCTGTAAAAAAGACAACGTATGTCTAAAACAATTTAAATACGTTTTTATTGATTTGGGAGAGAGGAAGAGAGAGGAATAGGGAGATAGAAGCATCCATGAGAGAGAAACATCAATCGGCCGCTTCCTGCACACCCCCTCCTGGGGATGGAACAGGAAACCTGGGCATGTGCCCTGATCAGAAATCGAACCACGACCTCCTGGTTCGTGGGGCGATGCTCAACCAACTGAGCCACACCGGCCGGGCGGAATGTAAGAATGTAAAAGAAAAGTAGCCAGCCGAAACCGGTTTGGCTCAGTAGATAGAGCTTCAGCCTACAGACTGAAAGGACTGGGGTTCGATTCTGGTCAAGGGCGTGCACCTTGGTTGCGGGCACATCCCTAGTGGGGGGTGTGAAAGAGGCAGCTGACCGATGATTCTCTCTCATCGATATTTCTAACTCTCTATCTCTCTTTCTTCCTCTCTGTAAAATATCAATAAAATATATTAAAAAAAAAGGAAAAGTAGCCAAATTTAAATAAATATTTACATTCACGTTTGCGCTACTGGTTACCAATGGGATTGAGGTGGGTCAAAAAGACTTTGTTATGGAGTAAGCTATACTTGCATGGCTGTAACAGAAATGGAATAAAGATGGACAGAGAGATAGTTGTTTTTTTGTGTGTGGTTTTTTTGAGTATTTTCATCAGGGAAGTACACGAAGTATCTAAATCTTACCTTGGGTATTTCCAAAAGTGCAAACAAAGCCCGGATTTCTCTGAGGACACTGACGGCCAATCTGCGCGTGGCAGGCCGGCTGCTGCAGAGGGTGACGAGAGCAAACCCTTCGACCACGTGGAACACACTGGGGTACGGGCTCCTCTCCAGAGGAGGGGGGTGCGAGGCGCCGTTCGCCAGACCGTGCTTGAAAAAAAAGAAACAGAAGAGAAAAATGAAATTTCACAACGTATTTACGGACGTTCTAGTAAAACAACTGAGAGGAACGTCCATTGTAGAAATGATGGCTACGGGCCTGTCTCAGCTCAAGCAATTTAAATAAACTTGATTTTATATAAAAATGTAACAGTGCACACAGTGGAGGAAGGAGCACTTATTAGTCAGCGGCAGTCTAAGCAAGAATTCTGTCTCTCACACCGCTATCACTCAGGGGCTACTCTGTCGCCTTGGAGCTGACACCATCAGTCACTCTCCGGCTGACATGTCTGTGTGGGGAGGGGGGGGTGAGGGGACTGGACGGCATCCTTTGTCCTCAGAGCCGAGGCCCAGCGGCCGTCGGTTATCACCTGGGAACTCGTGAGAAGTGGATTCTCAGGCCCGTGGTGATTTATATGCTCATTAAAGCCTGGGAAGCCGGGTTGGCTTATGATCCAGTTCTCGAATCCCGAGGTTCTATGTCTTACACATTACCATAAATCAGTAATCTGGGCACCGTTAATGGTGAAGAAGGACACAAACTGTGCAGGAGAAACAGGGACTGGTGCCAAGGACAAAAACAATCCAATACCTCAAAAGAAAGGCTGCCCGCGTTTATTACGGTACCGGCTTTCAATACACTGGGAACTGCCTACATCTGAACTGGAATTGCCTCTCCTACTAGTGTTCGTGCAAAACTCCCTGTTATCAAAGGCAGGAGGTCAGACACAAAAGATGATAGACTGAAGACAGGAACGACAGGAGAACTCAGTTTCCGGGATCGTGAACACTTTGGAAATGAATAAAATGAATGAAAACATTGAGGGTGTGATGCATGAACGCCGCTGGGTCCTTTACCACTGACCCTATCTCCAGGGACCACACACAAGAACAGGGTACCTGGGAGTCCTGGTTCTTGTTGTGCATTTGGGTTGCCTGCTTCCACTGGTTTATTAACTGTACCAACATCTTTACAGCGTTGTCAAGAAGCGTGGGGTGGACGTCAGTCACTTCTCGGACAACGAAGTACACAAATCCTGAAAGCACGTCCTCCCGCCAATCTGGAAAATCGAGCACGAGAGCCTGCAGGGTATTGAAAGCGAGAGCACGCAGCTCTTCGTCCATGTGAACCGTGAGCCTGCCAGGAACAAAGGTCCGTCAGCAAACCCCGAGCCTTCCAAGCGGCTTTATCACCTGCATCTTAGAACTAAGAACTTAGTAAACATGGCCTCTTAATTGGCTTGCACAGAGTATGAAGATAGAAATCAATATTCACTTTTTGTGTTATATCCATTCCTATGCAAGTCTATATTCATTTGTTTAAATTGATATATCAGTCTACTAAGACTAGCTGGTATTCACTTTTTGTGTTATATCCATTCCTATGCAAGCCTACACTCATTTGTTTAAATTCACATATCAACCTACTAATACTAGTTGGTATTTTTACTCTAACTCAGAATGATTTGATCACAATGCAAATGCCATACTTAGGAAAATCCCAATTGCCATAACAGCATTCTATTTAAAAATCCTATAATTCTTAAAAATACGACGTTATCCTCTAATTAGTTAATAATTATATGCAATCATATAATGTCTTAGCACCGTCTCACATTTATTCAGTCCTTTATTATCACTGGGAAGAACATGATTTATCTCTATCATTCCTTTCACGTGCCGAGGTTACTGTTAAATATAAGCTGGCTGATTGTAAGAAAGGAAATAGAACAACAACAAAAAGATGGAATCAATTTAACAGAAATATTTCTTGAAGGTGAGAATGAGCATAAATTTAGTAGTAACCTCATAAAAGTAGTATACCTAGAAAATTAAAACATTTTCAAACCAACACCTATGCCCCTAAAGACAGTGCTGAACAAATTAGAGAGGCTATATAAAATTGCCTTTTAAAGACATCGAAACCATATGGGACATGAACCTGAGAGAAGTTAAAGGATTTTAACAGAACATAAAAGAATGATTAGGAAAACACACACACAGAAAAGATGGCTGCAGCATAGAGCATCATATGTTTCTGATTTGGGCCTGAGGAGGATTGTTTAGAGACTGACCATCACGACAAAGGCATCAGAGTTAGAAACAGCCTGAAGGAAAAAGAAAAGCAGGTAACATTTAAAAACACGCCACGGTGTTTTTAAATGACATGCTTGGGAATGGGATGCTGGCGTTATGCTCCGTGACAGAGGAGGAAAGCTGGGTGGTTTTGGTGAAAGGAGGGAACCAGGCCTGGCCTCCCCTGAGCCAGCCTCCGGCGACAAGGAGACTGCAAGGGAGAAGCATCCCGGCGAGACCCACGTGGGAGCCGGCCTGGAGCAGCAGCAGCAATGACAGCAGCTCATCAGAAGTGTCACACGGGCCAGCTGAAGGGCCTTGAGCCCGGTGCTGTGTCTGATAGTGGCCCCCAGGGAGCCCACTGTTGGAGAGGAGAGTGACTGACTATAGGACGCCAGCGTTAGAGGTTACTTCAGCATCCCTTAATCCACGAACGTGCACACGTCATCTGACACCTACCTCAGCGACTCAGAGCACAGAGACATGAGGAGAATAGCAATGTGGCCTGGCTCATCTAAGGCAGGGGAAGGGATGCACTAGCCTGAGAGCCAGCATACAGGTTTACACATTTACGATGCGTCTCTGATTTGCTGGATTGCTTGCTTCATTTTTTAGGTACACGGGATCTGGACATCATAATTGCAAATAAGAGGAATAGGGGACAAAATAGACCAGATCCTGGAAGCCTTCGTTCTGCTGAAGTAAACTAATCAGTGAATATATGTCACAGGGGAAAGAAGCAAAGGAAATAGGAAAGCAAACTGGCATTCACTGTTCAGACATGTGCTCCTTTGCTGGATGCAGTTCCACTGCGGTGGGCGCCCACGGGAACGCCCAGGCCCTCTCTCTCACCGGTTGGCTACGGTTGCTTCTGAGCTACCAAGGCAGAGACGAGCAGCTCTGCCAGAGACCACAAGAGCTGCAAACCCTGAAGTACCCACGACGGAGGGAACCCCTTATCTAGGGAATTCTTAACTCCACCCACAAAGCAGATTTTCAGCAGGCCACCAACTCAACTTAGAATTAGTTCTGAAAGCTACTATTTAAGCTTGGTTTCTCGTTATTTGGTTATTTTTTAGACCTATGCCCATGCCAACAGAGCAAAGGGAAACCAAAACGGCAGCCCTGCGGGCAATCCAATGGAAGAAACAAGCGAAAACGAGACTTGGCCACCATGCTGGGCGCCACAGAAATAATGGTGGGAGTCAACAAAAATTAATTGCCTAATCCGTATCATCAGACAGGGGTAACACCCATGTTAAGGGATAACGTGTTTTATAAATCCCATGAAATATTACCAGATGGAAAGGGAGGGAGTTGAAAAAAAATGGGCTTTGCAAGGGAATACAAAAGAACTTTAAAAGTTAAACACGAATGGGGAGAACATGTTTAACCAAACATGAAAGACAAAACGGGAGTTTAGAAAGTAAATCAAACAAAGTATTAAATGTCTATATCATTAGCTTTTAGTGATAATAGTAACGGGGCTGGCTGGTTTGAAATTTAAAGGGATCATAAAAGAGATACAAACCAACATAGTGAACAGTGATTTTCCTTTACCTTGCTAACAGTTCGATGAGGTCAGTTCTGCTCATACCGTCAGGAATCAACCTTGGAATAGCAGCAATACAAGTTCTAAACAAATCAATTTTGGGTTTTCTTTCTCCCCTGAAAAATAGGTCACAACAGGACTTCAGTTATTACATATACTGAGAAAGGAAGAAAAGTTGGAAAAATGATTAAAGAAAACAGGAACCCACCCCAGAAAGTTTAATGTATTTAATATAAAAAAGAACACACATACATTCAGTAAATAATTATTAGTTTATAAATGAACAAAAGAATATAGAGACAATTCTAGGAAAAACACAGTAAACAAAAAAAGGTTTCAGTAATTGTAAAACAAGTATAGGAACGATTCGGTTAAAATAATGAATACACGTTACATTGTTTTAAATACAATTATTTCAAATTAATAAATGTAATTAAATATAATTTAACTAATATTTAATATTTAGTAATTTATTATTATACAACCAGTGGCCCAGTGCTGAAATTTGTGCACGGGGAGAGGGGATGTCCCTCAGCCCAGCCTGTACCCTCTCCAATATGGGACCTTCGGGGGCAATCAGACATCCCCCTCAAAATCCAGGAATGCTGGCTGCCTACTGCTCACCTGCCTCTGCCTGATTGCCCCTAACCACTTCTGCCTGCCAGCCTGATCAACCCCTAATCACTCCCCTGCCAGCCTGATCTATGCCTAACTGCTCCCCAGCTGGCAGGATTGCCCTTAACTGCTCTCCCCTGCAGCCTGGTCACCCCTAACTTCCCTCCCCTGCCAGCCTCATCACCCCTAACTGCCCTCCCCTGCTAGCCTGTTCACCCCTAACTGCCTTCCCCTGCCAGTCTGGCCACCCCTAACTGTCCTCCCTGCTGGCCTGATCGCCCCCAATCCGTTGCTTGCCTGGTCACCCCTAACTGCCCACAACTGCCTTCCCTTGCAGGCCATCTTGTATCCATATGGGGGTGGCCATCTTGTGTTTTGGAGTAATGGTCAATTTGCATATTACTATTTTATTAGATAGGATAATACTGATATTAAATAATCAGACATTGGTTATGTGGGAGCCTAAAAAATTAACAAAAAATTTATTTAATATAATTTACTAACAAGGTTCTTAGTAAACAGACTTTCTCATAAACCACTATGTTGGTATGGTTTGTTCTCGTCTTTTTACTTTACTTCAGTGTGCGCACACACACACACACACTTTAATTTTTATATAATAAAATGTGTTCATTTTTTAAATTCATCTGGTTCCTTCAGAGGCTTGATACAATTTAAATCTACTGTATTTACTTCTAGTTACTCAATGATTTTATTTACTATAAATATCTAACATCTTCATATACTGGTTTTTATTTTGGTCTATATTTGAAGATGAGGCTTTTAGTTAACTTATCCAAATAGCTCTTCAGATGGCCTAGAAAATAATTCTTATGTAGAAAAGAATTTGGATGATTTAAATATTTTAGGCCCATATTTGTTACAGCGGGATTTGCTACCGATTTTCAGATAATTTTATGTAGTCGTCTCTTTCCATGGTTCCAATATGCATGAGCTTTGGTAACCACAATTTAGTTAAATAATACCAGTCCCAGCATGGTTCAATCTTCAGTTCCCACACATTAACTGTAAGTAATTGGATAAAAATGTTTGTTAGCTCTTCAGTCCACCAATCATGACGTACTTAACGGATAAACACCTTAATCAGTGACTAACCACGTCACTCTTCAAATTCTGCCATGACCAGTCACTGCCCGTCTATGATTTGGTTCACACACAGACAGCAAAGTGTGTAGCTGTGAGACTTACTTGTCTCCAATGATAAACTCAGGTGGCATTTCACAGAAATGAACACTCAAAAGAGGAATCTCGTCAACAAAGATGAGAGTGGAGCAAAGGAAGGAACAGTGCTGTTGTCAGAAGCGAGCACTGCTAGAGTCACAGAAGGACGGCTGACTGGGGCATGCTGCCATCGCTGGGGGCTCGGCACACTCAGCCAGAGGAGCTTGGGGAGGGCAAACTTACCGACATAAATGAGGATGAAATAACGCAGGGAACACTTCACATCAGAGAAATTCCGATAGCATTACACACTAGTGTATAATAACTGTGTATGAATTAAATCGAGAGATCCAATTTCCAATTTGGTCATCTAAGACCTGGAATGCAGGTATTAATACCTGAAAAATGCTGTCCCTTATGCAGAATACGTAGCTATATCTTAGCCAGGGAAGGAAGTTACTGCCATAAACTATATTCTCTTGAGGAGGAAATCCCTGATCCGGAAAAAAGATGCTGGGACGACAAGCAGCGACAGGGCTAGGGGTGGGCAGGGACCAAGTCCTGTTTCAGAGAAACGCCTCATACATTCTTCCTCTCCGCTCCCCTGGCTCCCAGGAGATTTCCAGGTTTTCTTTTTCGTTTCCCAGGGCCCTGGAATAAGAGCACGGGTCTGACTTAAGAAGCCAGTCAGTCCCCGCACACCTCTGAGGCAGCGAGGGTTTACCAGTCACTCACAGAGTAAGAGCAGGGCTTTGTCACTGACAACCAACGAGACTGAGGACCCAGGATGCCTTTTGCTATCTGGACTAACGAACAGAAATGGGCAGGTGGAAGGAACGGCTGTATCAATAGCAGCAGATGGCGATACCGAAGAACTCCCGGAGAGAAAGGAACAGCACAGGTAAGCACGAACCAACCATCCATACTCCTGACAGAAACCGAAACAGCAACGAAAAGAATGAATTTGCTACGTACGTAATCATATCTTCAGGCTCCTTATTAGACATCTGCACACTTGTCATACACATCGGCCTCCCAACTTCCTTGTCCAAATGTCTGAGGATGCTGTCTAATGCTTTTCTCACTTGAGGATAGTAAATTGACATTCCTGGGGGTGGGAAAAAACACCTGTTATAAAATGTTAGAAAGTAAATACGGAGTAGTTACAATTCCTTTTCTGTAAAAATGAGCGCCTCTTAATCAGAGCAGACTGACAGTTGTCAGGAGGTGGTGTGTGTGTGAGAAAGGAATGAGCAAAAAAGAAAAAAAATGATGGAAAAAAACTCACGGACCCACACAACAGTGTGGTGACTGTGGGGCAAGGAGGATTGGGGAGGTGGAGGAGAATACAGGGGGATAAACGGTGATGGACGGAGACTCCGTTTGAGGTGGCCAACACACAATACAGGGTACAGATGATGTGTTGTGGAAGTGTGCACCTGAAACCTGTATAATTTTGTTAACCAGTGTCACCCAACAGATTCAGTAATAGTAAAAAAAAAAAAAAAAAAAAGACATTAGCTTATCATTGTTGCAAAAGAAGGCATTTCGAATGTGACATATTCTCCCAATGATTGGCTTTAGTATATGCAAAAATTATGCACAGAACTAAAATTTGAAGGAAGAGCCCTGACCGGTTTGGCTCAATGGATAGAGCGTCAGCCTGTGGACTGAAGGGTCCCAGGTTCGATTCCGGTCAAGGGCATGTACCTTAGTTGCAGGCACATCCCTAGTACGGGGTGTATAGGAGGCAGCTGATAGATGTTTCTCTCTCATCGATGTTTCTAGCTCTCTATCCCTCTCCCTTCCTCTCTGTAAAAAAAATCAATAAAATGTATTTTAAAAATTAAAAAAATAAAATAAAATTTGAAGGAAGAATGAAATGCAGTAAATAAAGAAAATAAAGCTTTCAACAGGAGACTTTTAACCTCACCACTTATGGATATTATAAAAAATGTACTCACTTTTTAATCACTCCGTATACTGGAATAACCATAATAGGTAAATACGTATGTTTTAGATTGGATCAAAAGCTGCTACGAAAGCATAGTAAACTGTATCAACAAGCTGTCTTATCTATCTGAGTTAGCACTAACCTATGACTTTTGCTTCTTCGTCTGTCAAGGTCTTATTGAGGAAAATCTTCTTCACACGCAGGGTGTTTCCCGAAGGAAGGATGATCCCTGTGGTGGGCATGGGCGGCTCCCCATCTTTCTGCTGCAGGCTGTCCGCGATCACCAGGAACACCCGGAGGCCTATGTTCATTCTCTGCGGAGAGAGAACCTTTTCAGGATCAGAGCAGACTCTCAGCCAATGCTCTGTCCATGTGAAAAATATCTCATCACATAATACTGGAATACTGGGGGATACAGGGTTGAGGACAGATATGTGATACCTTAATCAATAAAGAAATTAATAAAAATAAAAAAAAAACAAGAAGGATTAGCCACGGAGAGGAATGGTTCTTAAATATTGCCCAGTGGACCCACTGCTTCAGGATTAGTGGAGTAGACTTGGCAAATGCATAGATAGATAGGTTGGCCTCACCCTGACCTGCTGAACTAGAATCTCCAGAAGGGAAGTCTCAGGATACTATAAATTCAATAAGCTCCCCAGGCCTCCGCTGGTTTCGCTCAATGAATAAAGTGTCTACTTGCAGGGAAAAAAATAATAATAATACTGGGTACAGGAAAACGAAGCTCTCTACGTAACATTTCTTAACCAATCCAGGCACTGAAGTGTGCTTTAATGTCAAATTCCCGAGTGCCACCCATGCACTTCAGAGGTCAACTGGCTCTCCTCTCTCGCTAGAAAGCTCATTTCAAACCTTTTCCATCAACTCTCCTCCTCCTCCTCTCTCTCCTCCTCAACTCTCCTCCTCCTCCTCTCTCCCCTCCCCTCTCTTCTCCTGCTTCATCGAAAGAAAAATCCAACTTTCTTCAAACTCTCACTACCACACACACCAGCGCACTTACGTCTGCGCTTCTTCTTCCTCTCCTTTGCTCTCATTAGCGTTGGGGAGCGCGGGGGTTGGCCTTTCTGGCTTTAGAATGCACTCTGATCTTAACGTGTTTGGGGAAATGATACTATTGATGATCTCTTTTCTTGCACATTCAACATTTCCCTTTCAACGGAATATGCCGCATTTCTGTTAACTGTACTCAGTTATCATAATAAGCCCTCCCAGAATACTTCCCTGAAGCAGCTCTCAATGGTTAGTGACCACACGGCTCACAACAGTGGGCACTTTCCCTGCATCCGGTGACTTTAGCAGCACGGGACAGTGTTCTTTCCTGAAACATTTCCCCCCTCGGTATACCTGTGCTGTAGAGGGCCGCCTGGGAAGGCACATGGGGAATTTTCCTTAATTATGTTCAGCTGAACTTAAGGCGTAGGCAGAGCCACGCCCTGGGAACATGTTTCCCCAAGATGGGTGACATGTTGTCAGCTAGGCCTTCGTATCAGCCCAGGTGTCAGCAGGGGGGGGGACTAGATATGTAAATCCAGGCAGGCTAGGGCCTACTTAAGAATGCAAATAAGCTGGTGTTACTTCCTGGTACTGGGGTATAAAATAAATGCACTGGGAGAGGTTGTTGTCTTCCTGCCTCTCCAGCAGACAGGATGGAGACCCACCCAGCTCCCAGCTTAAAATCTATCTCTGTGTCTTCTCTCTTTATTTCTAATATTTCTCAATCCCTGGCCGCCTCCACTTAGAACCGGTTCATTCATCTCTCTTTCCATGCGGGACGCAGAAAAGGGAGATCCCCACCATGCCTGGCTCCCCCCACACTGTGCCACTGCTGGCTGTGTCCCCTGCGCTGTGTCTCAGCCTCCTTTATCTGATATTAAGCATTAGACTGCCTTCTCCTACCATCATGTTCTCTCTCCCAAAGCCACTGCACGTATGTACAGCACTTTAATCACCTACTTGATGTCAAAAAGACGTCTCAGATTTAATATGTTCAAACCAAATGCCCTCCTCCCCCCACCCCAAATCGATCCTTCCCCATGTTTCTCAGTAAATGACATCCTCCCTGTCTGCACCACTGTCTCAGCCCGAGCTGCCGCTATCTCTGACCTGCACCAGTGGCCTCTAAAGCAAGACAGCTCACTGGAATCCATGGGGAAAATAAAACTTCTATTAAAAGATCTGTTTTTATCTAAATAAGATTCAGGTTTTAAGCTTACTCATCTTTATATATAACAGCACTGGTGCCTTCCCTTAGTCTAAACATCAGATGGTCATGTCCCATAGTCATGCAAGACACCTGGAAGGAAGTGGGTACATCCGCAATGTCCCAGGGTCCACAGAATGGCCCTCATTTACCCACTCTTTAATTTGCATTAAATTAATAGGTGGATACTTTTATCTGGTTTTACCTAAACTAGGTCTCACAAGATTAAAAAGATTCATGAAAGGAAAATGCAGATCCAAGGTAATTCCAATAAAGTAAGCCTAAATGAACAACAACAAAACAGTAAACAGACACTTTTTCCACACAGTTTGGGCTCAGTCTCATTGATGTTTCTATTTCTCTATACCTCTCCCTTCCTCTCTCTCTCTCAAAAACAAACAAACAAAAAAAAACAACAAAACAAAAAAAAAACCACCAACCCCCCCCACACACAAACAAAAAAACACATACACAACACAAAACAAAACAACAACAAAAAACCAACAGAACTGATACTTTTTCTACTCTTAGTGTTAGAACTTCAGTGAGGAGACTTATTTTTAGAAATAAACTTGTTCAATGGAGGAAATACTTTTGAAAATGGATGTTTAAGAGAATGCCTTTCATTATGTGATTTTTGTTGCTGGAAACCACATGAAGTATATATATAAAACACTCATACATGCTCACTTAAAAAACCCAGAAGTAAATATCACTCTATCTTAAAAAAATACCATACACTGAAAAGCTTCAATAACTTTCTATCCTATTTCTTAACTATATAAATATATATATCTTAGCATTTGATTATGAGGAGAACTAGCACAGTAATTTAAGAGACATAAGAAAACAGAGAGAACCTATAGCCTTTTTACATTCTCAAATGTTATTAAGTTCTGATAATATTTTAAAACAATCTGAAAACTGACTGTCTACAGTGAATTAGAATTTACTAGTGAAAAACAGGGCCACAGAAATAGAATAACATTTTTTTTTTCTTTAAAAAAATTATGATTGTAAGTTCATTCTGGAGAAAAGGATTTTTGTCTGTTTTGTCTCTTATACCTAAAATAGTACCTGAAACACACTCTAGGTGCTCAATAAATGATGTATGAATGTTATTTATTAAAGACCCAGTTGTTCATATTATTTCTGTAAAAAATGTGAGCTCACGTCCCAACTTCTAGAATCCAGCTGAGCTGGCTAACCTGGATTATTTTCCACCATGCTTAACACTACTCTTAACCTGTTCAGAAAGGTTACACAACTTGTCTCAGATCACATCTGCAGTAAGAAGTAGAACTTCTAACTATGAATTTGTGACTAATAGTCCAATTCCAGAAACTGTGTTCTTAAAAACAAAAAACAAAAACAAACAAACACATTAAAAAAAAGTTGAGAATAATGCATTACTCTATAATTTAATTATTTTTTTTACCTCTGGATTAATGGTGAAAGTTTTAGTAGACTTTCCAACACTGAGCAGATCAAATATTATTTCTTTCATTGCAAAATCCAAACGTTCCTAGAAAAAAACACACAAACACACACACAATGAGTAAATCCTTCTAACTTGCTACAACTCTATGTTAGGTATAATGCTAAAAATTATAGATATAATGGCAATGACACAGATCTGTGCCCACAGAGATTCATAAATCTAGCTGTATATAGAAAAATACTTACGAATTATAGTTTAAAAACATGACTATAACACATGGAACCAATGTAATACTGAATGTCAACTGTAATTGAAAAAAATTTTTTAAATAATAAAAATGTTATAGATATTTAATTATCAAATGATTTAATACTCAAACCAATGGGTAAAGTTTTAAGTATTCATTCACCAAAATCTAAGTGAAGTAATTCTCTTAGATGAAAGAGAATCCCACATTATCTATGCAGCTGGCCTAGCGAGAGACCCGACTGGGACAGGAAAAATAGGGCTCCAGGAAGGACATCTCCAAGGAAAAAGTTAACCAGTAAGATTAACTGATGTTTGAAAGACATTTACAGTTCTGGTGGAGTGTTGCTGTGAAGCGATTAATCCAAGGGCACTGAGGCGGGGCAAAGGGGGAGGAAAGAGATAGAACCTAATTGCATATTTTTCTGAATACGAGAGCTAATGCACAATTTGCTTTCATTTACCTTATCGACAGATGTATACTTATTTAGCTACCATCAGTTCTGTGGTCTAGCAAATAGAAATGCACTCATTTTATTTAAATACTCCTAAATAACTACAGCATGGACCGTCTAAACTGTCAGATTTTTAGTTCAAAGAGAATGCAATGAACATTCTGGAATCAAACATTTTGCTCTGTTGAGGAGGTAAGCCCAATGCTTCTGCAGGGCTGCTGTGGCGAAAACCTCTGATGTGATCACTCAGCATCCATTCATTCCCCTCCTCACACACCTTCCTGGGCGGCAGAGACTGGAGAGCTAAAATGGCATTTCCTGGAGAGCTAAAATAGTATTTCCTGGAGAGCTAAAATGGTATTTCCCAGGATGTCTAGTAACAGCAGGCTTTAGGATGTGGCTTAGACTCTGCTGAGTGGTACATTCATGAGTCTTTGGGAACTGGGTAACGTGAGGAGGAGGACGGGGGAGAAACCTACTTTACCGGTGGGATCGTGGCAGCAGCATGGACCACCAGTGGTCCGCAGGCCACCGGCTGGTGACCGCTGGTCTAAATTATCTGTGGTGATTTCCTAATTTGGCAACTTTTTTATTATGGTGGAGACAGCAGCCTCCTTGATAGCAATTCTGTAGTTTCCTCTTAATCATTCAGACTATTAGTGCTTCTGTGAACTACTTATATTCCTTAAAAAAATCCCTTTGGCTTCAACTATCTACCGTGGATTCTAGTATCTATACCTAAGGACCTAGAGGTTAACACAAATTATGAAGACAATTTTCAAGAAAAAAAACAACAACCACACACACACAACCTTTCGAGATACTCAAGAGGTAATTAGAAAAGCACTAGGGGTGGGATCATACACCTTCTTGAGCCCTCCCGAACCAAAGCCCTTCCACCTGTGGCTCTCCTTTGCTTCTCCACGTGTGCAGAAGCAGGACAAACTTATTTTGTGTCACACACACACACACACACACACACACACACACACACACACACCATTAACACCTTGTATTTTTTTATAGCATACATTATTTCTTATAGCATTCATTTATTATTTCTACTGTTCAACAGTAATAAATATTTTATCATGCTTTCAGATGTGTAATAAATTTTCATACTCCAAGTGACTGCAACAGATTACTCTCATAACTTACATGGGCACGTGTAGTCTGAGGTGAAACACTTACCTGAGCAATGAACTGAATAATCTTCACAAATATATTGAGAGGTGTGTCACGAGGAACCACACTACGTGAGCCTTTTGGGAAAAGTGCTGACACGATGCTCATAAGACGACTACAGGGGAGAAAAATTAGTCATGATGAGATGATGACATTAACAGGACATTCGCAAACTATTCTTCCTAATATGTCAGGAGAATTTATATTCCCCCACAAGGTATTTGTAACGTTAACTAAAATTCCATCAGTGTGATATGTTTTAGCGCTATTTTATTTAAAATACACTTGAAGCCAAAACCGGTTTGGGCCAGTGGATAGAGCGTCGGCCTGCAGACGGAAAGGTACCAGGTTCGATTCCGGTCAAGGGTATGGACCTTGGTTGCGGGCACATCCCCAGTAGGGAGTGTGCAAGAGGCAGCTGATCAATGACTCTCTCATCGATCTTTCTAACTCTCTATCCCTCTCTCTTCCTCTCTGTAAAAAATCAATAAAATTTTTTAAAAAAAAGAGAAACATAAAGCTCAATAATTCCATGAATTACTGCCAACTTTAATAAACAAACAAACAAACATCTAAACTGTCAGATTGGAAACAAATAAATAAAATACACTTAGAAAAAAGGCACTCACCTTTGAGTTACAGTGTTGCTTTCACATTTTATTCTAATTACATAAACCCACAACAATCTGTACAAAGATTCCAGTGCAACTCGAGACATTTTAGGATCTTTATTCTGTTTAGAACAAAAAGAGAATTAAAGTAAGTTTACTTTAAGTACTTGCAATCATTTAAGAACGGATACATTCTATGTCAACAATTAATAGCCCTCGCTCCTCTCTTATTCAATCTAAGACAGGTTTAAATATGCAAGCATATATTTGTATATGGTAAGTATATGTTTGGTATATAGTAAGTATAGATAGCTCAAAAGTAACCATAAACAAAAGAAACCAAGAACCAATCCTTATACACCTAAAACAAAATAATACAATATTAGGATGATAATAATACTTCTAAGATTTTCAAAATTACACACACACACCAACTTACTTGATAATAAATGGTTCATACAATACTGGCATGATGATAGAAGGATTACTAATCTTGGCAATTAACTCACTGCAACCCATATACAGTTAAAATCTAGAATACCAAATGCTGTTACAGATAATTGCATTTATGAAATAATGCAAAACATTACTGAGTGACTATCCTAACAAGAGGAAATATACAGACTAGTGGGTTAAGAGCATGGTCTCTCAAATTAGGAGTGACCAGCCAAACCCCATCCTTCGATGCTGTTCTATCACTTGGTGCCACATTTGCTCAGCTCGAAAAACGAGGCAATATGATACCCACCTCACACTCTCAGGAAATTATGTAAAAAGCACTTGAAACACTGCCTGGTACATGATAAGGGCTCAACAAGGGTCTATACCTTCAATTATTTATTTAAATCAGAACACTTTTAATTATTACTATTTAAAAATAGAAAAGTCTTCCATTTTAATCACAATCTGATCAACAAACCTCTTCTGCATACCAGCTATTATAAAAGGTCAAGTTCTCAAATGACCAGTCATGTAGAAATTTAATTGTGAATATTGAAAACGCAGCTAATTATCAATTTTATTCGGAGAAACTCTTTATGCTGGTTGTAGGATGCATTTATTGCTACAAGTTAGCATTTATTTGGGTATTTTCTTAGGATTGAACAATTATTTTATATATAGCAACAGACAAAAGAAGTTCTTAAATACTAAGTAATTGGCCATTCTATTTTTGTTTTAAAATACAGAAAAATGGACATTTAACTCCTTATAACTAAAAGCTATGAAAAGTTGCGACAACAGGGTATTTTTACAAAAAACAACCACTAGAAAATATACTTTACCACATTTATCTATATGAATATTTGATATAATTAATGGAATTATTACATTTTGAAAATGAAATGTATTTTAATAAACACTGCCTTTATAATTATTCAAAGTGTGCATACGTTTTTATTGGGACACCCTGATGTTACAAATATAATAACCAAGCTTTGGGCACTACTTTCTTTTTTATTATACTGATATTGTTTAAAACCTAGATGTCAAATATCAAAATATGAATTCAATTAGTTTTATGTACACTCCAAATCATACTTTCACATTATTAAATTGTATTTTTAAAATATAATATAAATTATAATTAAAATATTTAATTTTAATTCCACATAAAAGTTATCTCATATAAATGCTTAATAAGGTATTTAGTTTATCATATTTTCTTAAGTGCTGAAGTATCTACCATAAAATACCCCACAAATCACCACAAAAATACATGATTTTCAAACTTTCAAGACTGACAACTATGTGAACAAAGCAGAATTACTTTATAATGAACAATAGCAAAATAAGATGAAAAGTGACAAAAATCAATTATTATTTATTTGACCACTACAATGCTGCGATCATGCCTAAATAATAAAAACACCTTAAACTGGCCTGAGTCTTAAACAAAGATATCCAACTGCCTCATTACAATTTTGGTCTAATGTAAATAGTCAGATTACATTAATAAAAATCCAATAGTATTAACTTATAATAAAATTTTGATATGTCAGTCAAATATGCTCTTTGGCAACAATTATTTTATTCTTTCTTCCCTTTTTCTCTACTGCAAACCTCCCCTAAAATTTATTAAAAAACCAAATCAATCGGATAAAAGTTTTAAAAGTGTTGCAAAAGAATCATATTCCAAATCTAAGCTACTGTCTCAACTTCATTTGCAAATTTTCAAAAAATTTCATTTATAACAGCTAATGTAAAATAGACTATCTTAAAATGAGAAATCTGGTTAACAATCACATTCATCATCAAATATTATAAATTCATTTTCTTGGGGCCTCCCTTTAATATTAAAACTGTAGCATGCTCCTGCTGTGTGGTACTCCTTTGCCACCATACAAGAACCAAGCCACGAGTAAATATTATTAGACATGCAATGCAATAATGGGTAAAGGGGGGGGGAGGGGATGCCACACTTGAAGGAGATAAAGCAATGTCTTACATTGACACAACTCACCTGGAGGGTTTCTATTTGCTTTCTGATACTGTTGTTAGATGGCATCTAAATAAAGCAACGTGAGACAGCAAACATAAACATGAGATGCAGCACATGCATGTTAGATGAAAATAAGCACCAAACAAGACAGCTCCTCACCAAGGTCTCTATTTAGAAGAAATTTGAAATTTCCAAGACAGTGGCCAGAAATACTCAGGAAAAAAAAAAAATCCTCTAATTTTTTGGGAATCATGGGATACATCTACAATACTAATCTGAGAGAAAACACTGAAATTTTTAACAATCTAATCATTCCTCTCCAAAGCACTGCAATTGAACTTAAACAAGTTTAATTTTTAAAAGAAATTAAGCATACACTGTAGAAAAAATTCTTCAAAATATTTCTGTGTGATACGTACTCTTATTCCTCTCTTAATTGCTCTTCAGAAACTTTAAAATCATTTTTCACAGAATGAGCTCAGTTGATATAAAGATATGGGAAACTACCAAATTCTGTTTGAAACAAAAGTAACAGATTTAACATTTCCAATGAAAATAAACTGGATGTTCTCTCGTGCTATTTCTGAGCCTACAAGACTAAAATCCATTTTTTATGATCATCAGCTTCAAAAACTGGTATAATAATTTTTTTAAATCTTAAAGGGCCTTGAAATATATATTATTTTTATTTTTATAACTTTGGATGTCTTTTTAATATCCTAGAATTATAGCCAAAACATTATTCTTGAAATATCCGTTACAGCATCATTCCTAATAGTACATTAAAAGATAACATGGTAGACCAGGAAGAGCAAATGCTATGGTACTGAATGCATCTAGATGCAAATCTTATCTCTATCACTTTTTGGCTGCCTAAACATGGGTCACTTAGTTATCTTCTTTCAGCCTGTCACAGTAAGAATTAAATGAGATACCGTATTCAGAGAATCTGGCATATAGTAAAAATTACTAAAAATCAATTTTAAGAAGTATTAGATCTAATAAATGAAAAACTGTTATGGACATTTTTATTTTTTAATTAAGAGGTTACTTGAATCTCAAAACAAAATCAGTTTAGGTAAGGCCTTTACCTTGAGCCAGAATTTCCTATATATAAAAAACAAATTATACCTGTCACAACAAGTGATTAATGTAGTTTTCCCTTGAATGCTCAATTCCTTACCTAGACTAAGCCGCCTTGCCCCAGCATCTAAACCTAGTAAACAGGAACCAAGTCATAAAATTTCTGCTGAATAGAGCCTTAATGTAAGTTAAGGGTTAATGGCCAAGACAACTATACTCCAAACAGTCATGCTAAGTGGCTCTTATCTCCTTTAGCCTGGCAGATTAGCCATCCACGAGCATGGACAATATGCCAGAAGTATTTATCAGGAGGTAAGAATTCAAAGAAAATGGAGCATTTTAAATGAAAGCCTTAAGACAAAAATAAAAAGTTAAGGTACTGCGAAAGAACTGCAAATATGTTAGGTGGAAATGTAGATATATAAAAAAATTCCAACAAGCAACAGAAAAGTATGAACTGTCATGAAACAAAGCAACCTTCTAAGAACACTTAAATGCATATCCTACATAATAGTTAATAAAAAAAATTGACCATCACTCCAACACAAAAGATGCTTGCCCCCATATGGTCAAAGATGGCCGCCCCCATGTGGACACAAGATGGCCTCCACAAGATGGCTGGCTAGGGAGGGCAGTCATGGGCAATCAGGCCTACAGGGGAGGGCGGATAGGGGTGACCAGGCCAGCAGAGGAGGACAGTGGGGGTCACCAGGCCTGCAGGGGAGGGCAATTGAGGGGGGACCAGTCCTGCAGGGGAGGGCAGTTGGGGGGATCAGGCCAGCAGGGGAGAGCAGTTGGAAGGGACAAGGCCTGAAAGGGAGGGCAGTTGTGGGCATTCAGGCCTACAGGGGGTGGAAGTTAGGGTGACTGGGCCAGCAGAGGAGGGCAATTAGGGGTTAACAGGGCTGCAGGGGAGGGCATTTGGGGGAGCGAAAACTGGCCTCCCTCTGCCCCTGTGTACAATTTTTGTGCACCGGGCCTCTAGTCTTAATATATTTTATTAAAAGTATGAAGAATCACATTACCCAGCAAATTATCAATACCCTTTAAGTACCTCTCCCTATATAAATCATCAAGATAAGGACAGAAAACAGTATGTAATATAATTAAGTAAATAAAAACTTATTTTCTGATTGCATGACATAGTGTTGAATCAGCTTGATTTGGCTGTGGAAATTTTCATAAACAAAGCAGAATATATCATTTCTCATTCAAACATGAATAAAATCATTGCAGATCCAGGAGGAGAAAATTTTAAAAATATTTTTCAAAGACTTATATTTCCTATATATCTTACCAAAAAAAAAAAAAAAATCAAGGCATTAAAAAAAAAGATATATAAAATCAGGGAAAAGATATATAGGAAAATGTTGTCTAGTGCAGTGGTCAGCAAACTCATTAGTCAACAGAGCCAAATATCAACAGTACAACGATTGAAATTTCTTTTGAGAGCCAAATTTTTTCAACATAAACCTTCTAATGCCACTTCTTCAAAATAGACTCGCCCAGGCCGTGGTACTTTGTGGAAGAGCCACACTTTGGGGTCAAAGAGCCACATGTGGCTCGCGAGCCGCAGTTTGCCGACCACAGGTCTAGTGGATGATTCCTCAAGTGTGAAAAGGAGAGGCAGTCCTGTTTCTCAGACCACAATGAGCTGTGGGGCCAGAGACAAGTAATGTAATCTCTCTGCGCCTTGTCATGGCCTTGGAAGCATTAGGTTTTCAGTCTTAACCTGAGCTTAGAGCGATGACAGGAAATGAAAGCTCATGTCTGCCTTTTACATGTCTTGTAAGCAAATAGTGGAATATTAATCTGTGTAGCAAATCATTGGATATTAATCTGTGTATCAAAACCGTCTTCAAATCAAGCATTCCCTGACATGCAGAAGAGGATTATCCCTCCCCCACCAATGAGGAGTATTGCCACCCCCTCATCACTCCCCCCCCTGCCCCCGTGTCAGTCATTAACAGCACTCCTTCCCACAGAAGGAAAGGCGATCCTGTGAGAGCTGCTAGCACAGCATCTGGGCAAGATTAGGATCCTTCTATCTCCCAGTTTTGTTTTCAGCACTAACACAGACCGGACACAGATGTGCCTAATGGTGTTGATTCAAGTCAGAATAATTTCAGGAGTTTTTACATCTATGTGGATCGAGTACCACACTTTAATTTGGCTGGGCATATGAAATGTGCTTTCAGTAATTATCTTATTATCAAGGCTTTTAAATATTTTTCAGACTTGAATTAACATCACTGATTTTTTTTCAAACACAAAGTAAGTTTTATAAGATTAATACTCTACAGTTCTAAGGACTTTATTAACAAATACTGCTAGATTGAAGATACTATTAATACATCCATCATTAAAAATGTACAATTTGGTGCTCATGAAGACAAAACATTTTAATCAAAAGTTTCTTCATCTTTATACATGATTGATTCCCTATAGAAGGTATGAAGTATGCATAAGAAATGAAATAAGGTAATTATTCAAACGTATCAACAGTAACGAAAGTTTATTAAATGCTAGTCAATGAATATGCATAAGTGAATACACTACCAGGTCAGAAATGAGATTATGTCTTACCTTTAAGTGCGACAAACAGTTCTGTAGGAAAATATGCCAGTTACTTAGAAAAAACTGTTTCTGACTGACACATAAAAGGCAGGTGATCAGTGGATATAGAGCCTACAGGAAACAGATAAAAGAGAGAGTTAACACTTTTCACGACTAAACACGGGACTAGTAAATTATATTTCGTCTATTCCCATAAACAAGGAAACCAAAAGACTCCAATTATGCAGTTTAACCATTTATAGTAAGAAACGTGACCTCAGAAAAAAGTAACAAAACATGCCGGGACCTGTTTGGCTCAATGGATAGAGCATCGGCTTGGGGACCGAAGGGTCCTGGGTTTGAGTTCGGTCAAGGGCATGTACCTTTGATTGCGGGCACATCTCCAGTAGGGGGTGTGCAAGAGGCAGCTGATCGATGATTCTCTCTCATTGATGTTTCTAACTCTCTCTCTCTCTCCCTTCCTCTCTGTACAAAATCAATAAAATATATTAAAAAAAAAAACCAAACCTAAAAAAAAAAAAAAAAAGTAACAAAGCATAACTAAGGGCAAATTTTCTACAATGACCGTTCTTTGACCTATCATATCCTCCCTGAGTTAGAGCATGCTATTGTTTTCCCTAGAGCCATCCTCCTTCAATCAAGACAGTGGTTACGAGCATGGGCCCCGGGATCAGAGGACAGCCTGGCACTGAAGTTCCCGTTTTCTATCTGCCAGGTGTCTGACACCAGAGAGGATACCTCACTAGCTCTAAGCCTCACTTTCCTAAGACGTAGAGTGGAAAGTTATAGTCACACACATCCTACGAGGTTGTGAGGCTTAAGGAAGACAAAGGAGACAAAGCACTCAGTTCAGTGCCTGGGACTCATGTTTATTATTCTCTACCATAAGTGGCCAAGCATTTGTCTAATTCTCCAAACTTTCCCCAAGTTGCATGAAAATTCAGAGAAATCCCTCAAAGTTACATGAAATGGGCGGTTATGTGGTGGGGAGTAAGTAGGGGGAAGGGGGAATCTCTGAATACAAAAGATGCAATTTTATTATAAGGTAAAATAAAGAAATTTGTAGTTTAATACAAGAGTACGTTCAACCTCTCCCTTATTGTAAGACACACTTTACAGCACCTGTCGAGCCAGGTGAAAACCTAGAATGCAGTCTGACTAACCTATCAAATACAGAGCTAGCAAAATTAAGAATAAAAATTTTTAAAAAGAGAAGAAAATGTATAAAATTTGCCTTATTTTATACTTTGGATATATGATAATTTTACTTTTTACAATTCTCTTTAATCTCCACCGACTTCATAAAACAATTACTAAAATTCGTGCGGGTGGGGGGGGGAAGGAGGGAAGAAGAGGAGGTTCCTCAGCCCAGCCTGCACCCTCTCCAATCTGGGGCCTCTTTGGGGATGTCCAACTGCCGGTTTAGGCCCGAACCCTGTGGGATTGGGCCTAAACCGGCAGTCGAACATCTCTCTCGCAATCTGGGACCGCTGGCTCCTAACCGCTCACCTGGTCGCTCCTAACCGCTCACCTGGTCACCCCTAACCACTATGCCTGCCGGCCTGGTTGCCCCCAACCGCCCCCCCCTTTCCGGCCTGCTCACCCTAAACTGCCCCCCCCCTGCCAACCTGCTCAACCCCAAGTGTCCCACCCTGATGGCCTGATCGCCCCCAATTAATACCCGTCAGCCTGCTCGCTCCCAATTGTCCCCGCCTGCCAGCCAGCTCGTCCTCAACTGCCTGCCTCCCTCCCCCACCAATCTGATCACCCCGAACTGCCTTTGCCTTGGCCCCCCCACCATGGCTTTGTCTGGAAGGTCTCCCAGAAGGTCTCCTGGTCTAATTAGCATATTGCCCTTTTATTAGCGTAGATTTGAAATGGTTCTTCATACCAATGAATGCTTCTTTCGGGAGCTCAGTTCAAAAGTAGTCTGATAAAGCATCTCCACAAAATTTTTCAAACAGGGAACATTCACTTCATTTTTAACAGCCTAGGTAAAAAGATAATGCAGAAAGTAAGAAAATGGTTACAAAGGTGGGTTCAAACTACAAGAACTTTCCGTAAGGTTTGAAATTGCTTAATGCCTCACTGAGCATCTCCTGGAAGCACAGCACCATAACGTGCCAACTGGCCAAACGTTAAGTCAGTAAGATAAGCGTGGTCCCTGCCCTGAGAGCATGAGCGGAGAATGCAGGCAAGGGGACAGGTGGCATTCCAGATGCTGTCAGAGGAAACTGAAATTCTCCGTGGTCTGGAGGCAGTCAGAAGGGACCGCTAAGGAAAAACCTCACAAGATACACCTAAGCTGAGTCCAACATCTCTGACCTGAAATATTGCAATGGGTTCCCATGTAACCACTCTGGCCTCATCGCCCACTCTCCTGCCCCCAGCACTGGGAACAAGCCGCACTTAGCTAGCTTCCTGCTGTTCCTCGGACACATCATACATGCTCTGGCTTCAGGACGCCTGCCCTTGTTCCTTCTGCCTATGCTCTTCCCCCGGAATAGCAGGTCTCCCTCCCTCATTCCTCCAGCTTCTGTTCAGCTGCCACCACCTCTTTGAAGGGGGTGATCTTTCCTAATCACTCTACTTTAAAATTTCAACTTCCTTACCATCTTGGCGATTCTCTACACCCTGTTTTTCCATTTCTCCATAGTCCTTACCACCATCTGCATACTACAGATTGTTCACGAATTTATCATGTTTCCTTCACAAGTCAACGTGACAGGAGCAAGGAGTCTTTCCGACCTTGGTCACCGTATCCCCTGTGCATACACGAGGCCCCCACATGCAGAAAGCAGGCACGACACATAACAAATGAGTGAGGAGAGTCCAGCAGGTGAAGGGGGAGGAGGTAATGAGCGAGGCTATGTGCAGAGGCAGTGGTTATGGGTTAGACCAGTGGTTCTCAATGTTTCTAATGCCTCGAATCAGAAACAGTTCCTCATGCTGTGGTGACCCCCGACCATAAAATGACTTTCGTTGCTACTTCATAACTGTAATTTTGCTGCTGTTAATGAATCGTAATGTAAATATCTGTGTTTTCTGAAGGTCTTAGGCGACTCTGCTAGCGGTTCTCTTCGATGGTCTTAGGCTCCACAGCAGTGGTTCTCAACTTGTGGGGTCAAGAACCACTAGCAGGGTTCCTGTATTAAAGGGTCTTGGCATTGGGAAGGTTGAGAACCCTGGGTTAGACTGTGCTGTCCCCCCACCAAAGTTCCTGTGTTGACATCTTAAGCCCCACATACCTCATGTGACCTTATTTCAAAACAGGCCATGGTAGATGTAACCAGTTAAGTTAGGATGAGGTCATACTGGGGGGTAGCAGCTAATCTAACTTGACTGGTGTCCTTAAATTCGGACACAGACATGCGCCTAAGGGGAACAGCATGCAGACATGAAAGCAGAGATTGGGCTGAAGCTTCTAGAAGCCAGGGAATGCCAGATGGTCAGTAAACACCGGAAGCTTGGCGAGGGGCACGGAACAGAGTCTCTGTGAGACAATACGCTTTTGTTGGTGAAGCCACCTAGCGTGTGGGACTTCGATAGAGCCGCCCTAGCAAACTAATAAACCACAGAAGGAAATGTGGCATAAAAGAAGAATTAGGCAACTCAGTAATAATGGAGCATTGTCAAGCATCTTGCTTTGTACAACTGACTCCTTTTGATGGATTACCTTAAAAACTGTAACCTAACCCAAGTTAAACAGCTGGCAAAAAAGCACATTTTCAAACAAGGCGGAAGCACAAATGACAAATGGCATGGATAAGCAGCAATGGAAACCATTTCTAAGAAGAGAAATCGGAGCACCTGTACTAATGATCCTAGCTTCGAGCTGCCATGGTTTTATTAACTCGCCTGTTTCCTTTTTGATAAAATGAGCCTATTTCGCACGGCCAAAAACCTGGGTGGGGATGGAAAGCTATCTGACTCAAACTACTTGCAAAGCTATAAATTATGTTTGTACGTATTTAAAAAATCTTCAAAATAGGGTTGGTTATTTCAAAATGATAAAGGTGCCCATTTAAGAGGATATCATGGTTCTAAACATATATGTGCTGAATAATAGAGCTTAAACATATACAAAGCAAAAATTGACAGAGTGCAAAGAGAAACTGATAAATCTACAGTTAGTTACATTCATACTTTAGTACTTCTCATTCAGTAATTGCCAAAGGTAGTAGGTAGGACATAGGCAAGGTTATTATAGACAAATAATACTATCAACCATCTTGGACCTAATTAATATTTTAGAACACTACCATCCAAAGATGGCAGTACGTACAGTCTTTGCAAGTGCACAGGGAACATTTATCAAGATAGAGGATACCCTGTCCCCAAACAAATGTCAGTGCATTGCATGGGACTCATGCCATACAAAGTATGTTCTCTAACCACACATTAAAAATGAATACCTTAAAGATCTCTGGAAAAATCCCCAAATGTTCAGAAATAAAATAATATGCCCCTAAATTATCTATGGGTTTCATAAAGAGCATTATTAAAAAGGATTTTGACCTTTGTGAAAATGAAAACACAAGATAACAAAATTTGCGATTTCCCACTTTAAAACTACTTAGAGGGAATTATAGCGTTAAATGCTTATATGGGGGGGGGGGGAGGAAAGATCTGTAGGATCTCAGCTTCTACATTAAGAAACAAAAAATAAACAAACAATAAAAGTGCAAATGAAAACCAAAGTAGAAGGAAATAATATAAATCCAAACAGAAACCAATGAAATAGAAACTGAAAAATAGAGAACATCAATAAAGCCAAAAACTAGCTCTTTGAGAGGATCAAAAAAATTAATAAATGACTAGCCAGAGAGACCAGGAAAAAAGAAGGAAAGCCAAAACTTAGCAATATTTGGAATGAAAGTGATCACTAACGATACAATAGTATCAAGTATACAATAACTATACTATAAAAACCCCGTGGCCCTAACACCATTACGACCAAAGATCTATGCAGCAGGCCGGTGGGTGGGGCCATGCAAAAATTTCACACCCTGGGCTTCTAGTACAGTATAAAGCTGACCAACCTGATACCAATAAATTTGATAATTCCTTTAGAAATGAACAAACACCTTAGAAAGATCTGAAAAAGTAGTCTGAGAAAACCTGTCTTTTGAAGAAAATCATTTGGTAGTTAAAAAGGCTCCCACTAGGAAAATTCCAGACCAAGAGGATTTATTGATATATTCTATCCAACTTCAAAGAAAGACTGAGAGCCAATTTTACACAAAGTCTTCCTACATAAATCACCTTGATATTAAAACTAAAACAGAAAACCACAGACCAAGAGCCCCAGGAACACAGAGATAGGTGCAAAAATTCTCAATAAAAAACCTTATCAAATAAAATCTAACAATACAAAAAAATCATATCATGATCAAGAGTTTCACCCCAAGAATGTAATGTTGATTCAGCAATTAATATAATTCAATATATCATCAAACAAAAAAGAAAAACCATCTCATTAATTCAACAGACAGGGTTGGGGTACATTTAACAATATCCAACATTTATACCTTCTTGAAAAATAACCAACACTTCATTAACTAGAAATGGAAATAAATTTCAGCAATGTCATAAAAGGCATCTATGAAAAACCTAAAAGTCACATTATATCTATTGGTAAGACTGGCAACTTTGGCCTAAAATGTGAAAATAAGTAAGGAGGTCTGCTCTGATGTGTGTGTTTTGTTTTGTTTTTAATCACTGTACTGAAAAGTGCTAGCCACTGCAATAAGGCAAAAATGAAATAAAATATACACACTGAAAAGTATTTTGAACACCTGGAAAATGAAATCTTAAAACAATGGCATTTACTATAGCATAAAAATAAGAAATGCCTAGGATAAATTTAACAAAATATACTCAAGATCTATACACTGAAAATTACAAAACATGGTGAGAGAAAATAAAGACCTAAGTCAAAGAAGAAAGATGCTATGCTCATGAATCACAAGAACCAATATTAAGATTCTGTCCTACCTTTTAATATAAAGAAACCCCGATTCAAATCCCAGCATTTTTTTAATTGACTAAGTGACTCAAAACTCAATCAGAAAACAATCCAATACAAAAATGTGAAAAAGATATTCCAACAGACTTTTTGTCAAAGAAAATAAAAGCAAATATTCATACAAAGACTTGTATAAGAACGTTCACAGCAGCTCTACTTGTGGCAGCTAAAAATTGGAAACCACCCAAAGGTTCAAAAACAGGTAAACACATAACCCAACTGTGGTACAGCCCTACAATTAACTGAGGATCTAGTCTACGACATACTTGGACTGCAAAATAATTATGCCGACTGAAAGAAGTCAGAAAAAGAGCTTGTACTATGAGATTACTTATTACAAACAAAATTCTAGGAAATCCAAAACTAATGTACAGAAACTGAAAGAAGGTCACTGGTTGCTTGAGAATAAGTGGGGTGAGTAAGAGTGGGATTAAAAGGGAACACCAGAAAACTTTAAAGGGTGTGACAGATATGTATGTCATCTTGAGTGGGGGACAGTTTCACAGGTATGTACATATACATATATACACTCATGTATGATAGGATAGCCATTAGATAGGATAACCATATGTGTGTATATATATATGTCAAACTGTACACTTTAAATGTGTGTGGTTTATTGTATGTCAATTTTACCTTCATGAATCTTTTAAAAATAAAATAATATACTTTGTGTATATATAAAAATCAATTATACAACAATATGCAGTATACTGAAAATGAGTGGGATATTACCACACCACACCGAAAAACTGAGTGGGGCAGGGATGGAGATGAGGAAACAAAAAAAAAAAATCTATTTATAGTATGCTATAAATTCCATTGCTATTAATATTTCATTACCAGTAACCGCAAAATTAGTTTTGAATAACACTCTACATTTACACCAAGGAAAGTTTCTATAAATGTGCTTCCCCAGAAGTTCCTGCAATCATTATTCTCTAAACAATTCAGAGTACACATTCTGATAGGTGTGATGAATGTCACAGCAATCTGCAGAACAGAACTCATAAATTCAAAACAGTCTGGTACATTCCAGGATGCGTGTCACGGTACTTTTACATTCTTCAGAGGCTACTAAAACGGCTCTGATTTTGTAAGGAGCGAGGGCCGTGATGAAATGCAGTGTGCTATCCTGAGACCATGAGGCCACATGACTGCACTCCTCCTAACAGCCTCCGGATCTCGAGGGCTTGTTCTTTTCATTAAAAGACTGATGGGGCCGAAACCGGTTTGGCTCAGTGGTAGAGCGTCGGTTTGCGGACTGAAAGGTCCCAGGTTCAATTCCGGTCAGGGGCATATTCGTTGGTTGCGGGCACATCCCCGGTAGGGGGTGTGCAAGAGGCAGCTGGTCGATGTTTCTCTCTCATCGATGTTTCTAGCTCTCTATCCCTCTCTCCTCCTCTCTGTAGAAAATCAATAAAATATATTTAAAAAAAATAATAACACAGCAACATTTAAAAAATAAAAATAAAAGACTGATATCTGCTCTGTGTCGAATAATCCTTTTCCTTAAACCCATGTTACATTCCAAATTTCCGCCTCACTGTCTATCAGGTTACCAGAAAGTAAGGATATTTCAAGTAGCGACTTTATTAAAAAGGTACTTTTAAGATACAACATAAAAATAAAAATATACTTACAGCAGCTACAGGGATAAGAATCTCCACAAATAAACCGGCAAGGGCATGTTTTATATCTTTATCTTTTACTTCTAAGAAATACTGAGCACATTCCTAGGGGGAAGGGGGGGAACGCATTAGGTTAACGAAAGAGAAAGATTAAAGAATTTTTAATATCACAATAATCTTGTAAACATTCTGCAATTATACCAAAAGGCTATGGTCAAAACATACTTAAATTAAAAGAGAAAATTAATTTATACTTGTGACGATTCAACAACTGGAATAAAAAATTAACGATGTCATTCATTTATCTACATTTTTGTCTTTTTAAAAGTCATGAAGATCAAGAAAAGTCACTGTTAGGCTAAATCTCTGCAACTGATGAAGCATATCACCTGCATAAACTGAAATGATGCTTCAAAATCTTCTACAGGATACATTTTCACGCGGAAAAATTTCATTCCCATGATTAAGCTGATGACACTCTGAACCACATGAGGGCTTTGTTCCTTCAGTCGCAGTTCCTTTAATTCCGTCATAAACTTCTTTCTCACAGCCTGAAACCTTCAATACACACAGACACATCCTTTCATTCGTTAAAAGCACTGTTTCCTACATCATCTCCTTTCTCTGCCCTCATCAAAACTACCAGAAAAGCATCCAGAGGAAGACAAAAATGTTTGTTATTCTAAATTTCCTGTTCATTTATTTTAACATCCGAAGTTCCTTAAAGAGGAATGATTGGGTTTTTAAATTCCTCTATCACCACTGATATAGCACCATTACCATTTACTAATTAATAACCATAATAAAAATAAGATCAAATAACCCACCCATAAAACTTCCCCGTAAATATCAGAGAGCCAATTTTTAAGGCTCCTTCTTATAAAGTCTGCTATTTGAGTTGTGAGGAAAGTGTACTGGAGATTACAAACTCATTCAAAGAGGTAAACCACTGGTTTTGACTTTAAACTATCACTTAAAACTCTTATCTCACTACAACGCAGAAAAGCTGAACCGGAGTGGAGACACAGGGCTCACCATCTGCATGAGCTAAAGAATCAAAACACGTTCAGAATCTGAGCACCGTCCTGGTGTCACATGACCACAATTGTTAAGGTTACCAAATTTTTCTTTGCTTACACTGGAAAAAGATATCCAGTAGCTTATTAATCAATGATAATTCATTTTCTTCCTCCATATATTAGAAAACAACCAAGGATTTTACTATTAATGTAACTTGGGGGAAACCAGTTCCTAAAAATTGAAATGAAAAATGAAGTATACTTTTGCAATGGTTATTGACTACAGTAAGGGAAAAAAATACACACACACACACACACACACACACACACACACACGTATATATTAATGAAATATGGACACATGATAGAAAGTATAGCATCTTTTTCTATTTGACTCTTGGAGAATACAATACCATTTTCCATTCAAATATTCTTTTGTGTTTTATAATATAATATATAGAAGTGAATAAATACCTTACCATTGCAATAAGATGAGAATCCAAGGATTGGGGTTTTTTTTAAATTAAATTTCTCACCATAATTGTTAATCACTACAATCAAAGGAAATGCACAGGCAAGATTGTAACACACCTCCCAGCCCTTTCCTTTCTCCCCTCCCTTTCTCACCCTACTCCCTCCCTCCCTCCCCCCGCCCTACTGTCAGTACGACCGCCTAACCTGTGGCTTCATGCACCCTTCCCTCCATGCTCATTATGTGTGTGTGTGAACACTCACCACTGCTCTACGTGACTAATGAGGGTAAGCATTTCACTGGCCATTTGTATTTATAATCTTTACCATCCTAGAATTAATTTAGCGGTGATGAAAGTTCTGGATCCAACGTGCTAATGTATTACTTAAAATTTCTAACCTGCATTTCTGACAGAAATTCATTTAGATAAATATTTAAAAATCACAAACTACTATGCCATAAAATAAACACACCACTGCTTGTGTCCATGTTTTTGCGCCTATAATTCCTGAGACAGGGATTCATTACTGATTAAATGTAAGTGACATATTAAGATAGTATTGTCTATGTCCAAATCACATAAAACATTCAAACTATGTTCTAAGTTCTATAGCATTGGTTAGGCAAGGGTGCCTGATGTGTTACCAAGGATAAAAAATATGCCAAATAAAATACATTACTTAAATATTAAAATCTAAACTATTAAATATTAATAATACTTGCCTTCTGAGAATTTAGAAGTTTTTATATAATGATTTTAGAACCAAAAACTCTTTAAAGGACATCCACAAAAATCTGAATTGATATTTTTTACTTAGAGAAAACACAAATACAAAAGACAAACAGCTTTTTAGTGTTTACTATAATGATGGCCCAAGACAGCTTGATGAGTGTAACTCCTGACGAATAACACTTTTCATAAAATAATCTGGTATCTTTTACCTTTTTTTTTTAGGTATCCCTTTTACCTACTCAAAACCCTGTTTAGTATTAAAACAAATAAGGTGATAAGAATGAAGAAACTGCATTGATATCTTGGAAATAAAAGCACTCAACCGGAAAGCATTAAAAATAATTATTAGCTCTGTAAAGAGTCCTAAAGGGAAGATTAAAAAAAAAAAATGCTTCTATAGAATTGTTAAAAGTAGGAAATAAGGTAATGTCCTGACTATTTCTGGCAATTTCTGACTTCCTGGATTCAGATATTTATGGGGGGGAAAACCTAAAATGAAAACACGTGAAATTCAAGTGTGGGTGCTACTTTAAAATCCTTTGAGGAACAGAGCAGCTTAGTAATAAAAGGTGAAACTGAATTCTATGAAAAATACAGTAGGTTTAAAACTGTCAGTTTCTACTATAGTAGTAATAATATAGAAGCATTCCAAAACAAAAAGCAAATCGAAATTAGCGAAACTTACTTTGATTGGGTAAGAACCCCTATCACCTCTGCATATAAATCTGCAATAATATGCACATTCCCAGTGTTGGTTCCCGAATACCTGAGATAACACAAGAACAAATGCATTATTTATTAATTTTTTTCTACAAATTCTCTGAATAAATCTAAAAATTTATTATTGTAGAATTTTCTCTGAAAATTCACTTATAGGATAATAAAATCCACACAAATGTTTTCCTATCTCTAGATTTTATTTTGCTATGAAATTTAGCCAAAGCCGGTTTGGCTCAGTGGTAAAGCGTTGGTCTGCGGGCTGAAAGGTCCCGGGTTCGATTCCTGTCAAGGGCATGTACGTTGGTTGCGGGCATATCTTCGGTAGGGGGTGTGCAAGAGGCAGCTGGTCAATGTTTCTCTCTCATTGGCGTTTCTAGCTCTCTATCTCTCTCCCTTCCTCTCTGTAAAAAATCAATAAAATATATTTAAAAAAATAATAATTTGCTGTGAAATTTAGCCTTCTAATTTTTATAAGTCCAATCGGTTTTTATAATTATTTTTACAAAAATCATTTCTTTATGTATGTAGTGTGGGATTAAAAAAAATTGCTTTGAATGCTAAAAACAAATAGATGAACCTTCAAAGGATATGTAAGCAGTATAAACCCACACAGAAAAGCAACAATCCCGAGTTAGTATTTTACTTACCCTTCCTTATGTTTAAAGTGCTTGAAAGCCAAGTTTAGAACTTCATGAACTAAGGGATCAGGCACAGGATGAACAGGGATCTAGCACAGAAAAGATCAAGTGAGTAAGAGCTAAATAGGTTAGAAGTCTTTTCTGGGCGGTCTTATTCCAACAAATTAAATCAACAGTCAATTTTCATTTTCATGATATGATCTATTACTAATCTATTGATCTATCAGTAATAATGATCTATTACTAATCAAGCTTCCTTTTTCCTAATTTAGTTGAATATCTAATTTCACAAACTCGAAAGTTACGATTATTAGCTTCAAAATCACAAATCATTGAACAATGGACTATGGAAGGGGAAAGCTATTGTTGTTCTACAGCTGTTACTGTCAGAAAGTTACAAACACATTCCTGTGTGTAACTCTGCGACACCTGACGTACAGATCAGCAGCCTGTGACGGAGCCAGCACCACACTTCAGAGAGCCTGATTCCCTATCATAACAGTGTCCAAGAAGGACAACAACTTTTCCAACAATTTTAACCTGCTGGTATTTATAGCTTTATTAATATTAGAAATGTGTCACTTAAATGTCTGTTTTGTTTAGTTCTTTAAAAACTATATGTTAGTTCCTAATCTGTATAACAAATAAAATATTTAAAGTCTCTGCCCCTTCTCCCAAATATAAACACTATTAAAAAGTTGGTGTGTAGCCTTCCAAGCTTTTTCTTCTCTCTCCCTCTCTCTTCATTTTTACTTAACAGAACAAGGCATTTTTCCATGTCAGTACTTAGAAGTTCCTCCTTGTATTTTTTAACAGCCACAAAATAGTCAGTATATGTAATTAATTTAATGAGCTCTCTATTAATCAACATTTCAGCCCAGCATTTCTATAGTAAATATATATGTTTTACAATAAACATCTTGTGCATTCCACATTATAGATTTGTATATTTTCAGTAGAAAGAGTTCAAAAAAAGGTGGATCAAAGATTATACAAGTCACCACGGATAGACTCTAGTTCTAGTCATGTGTGGGTCTGTTTCTGAGCTCTCAATTTAATGGGTCTGTGCTACAATCAGGCTGTCTTATTATTAGAAGCTTATTTATTTCCTGAGTTTGGATGTATTGTACTGTAAGCCTCACCCTCCATCTTTTTCAGAGATATTTTGACTATGCCTGGCCTACTGTTCTTCCACATTCAATTTACAGTCATCTTTCCAATTTCCACCATAACTATAAGATTATTGGAATTGCAATGAACCTTCAATCAATTTGGAGATAACTGTATTCTTTCCCATTTATATGGAATATCTTTCCATCTCTTTAAAGACTCTCAGCAGTTTTACAACTTCCTGTTTTTGTCCTCTGTTATACGTGATCCTAAGAGAACAATCATGTGAAGACATGCTTGATTTCATTAGTACTAAGGAGGGGGGAAGTGCACAAGGTATCGTTTTACACCTGTTCAATGGGGAAAAAATAGAGTCTGACAAAGCCAAATAGTAGAGAGAATGTAAATCAATGAGGTTTCATGTACATCGCCGGGGGAAGTTTAAATCAATTATATACGCAGCGTGCGGTCTCCTGAAGAGGATCAATGTTTGCCACTACGAAACACAGCAGGTTGGCATAAGGATTATTTTGAGCTGAGGGCAACTCAAAAAATTGTATCATGCTGAGCAGATGCAGGAAAAGCTCTCTTCTCTCCCTCTCTCTGGCTAAAAGCAGTCTCCCTCCCCCTTTCCAATACCAAGGAGAGTAGAAGAATCATTATAAGCTGAAAGTGCCAACTGGAAACAGAAAGTTGGCACTGAGATGGGTCTGCACAAACAAACCTTACTAACCAGCCCTTATCTACCACTGGTTTCCCCCACGTATTTACCTTCCCACAACTCACCACCCCAACTGCCAAACCCTTTCCTTTGTCCTGTCACTTCTCCACAATGCATTTTGGTCTTTGATGAAGCAATTTTTCAAGTCTAACCCTTCTTTGGCTCTTGACTTCTCTTCTATGAGGGCCTTTCCTCATGTTAACCTGCCACTTATCAGCTGAATTTGCAGGGTGCCAGGTACTAAACCTGAGAGGATGGTGCTGCATCATACGAGCAGTTACACGTTTAAGAAAACAACGATGGGAGCCTCTGGCTGGAGAGGCCTTGCCAACATCCTGGCTTCAGACTCTGGCCTCCAGAACCATGAGAGAACAAATTTCTGTTTTCTTAGCCACCAAATTTGTAATAATTTATTACTACAACCCCAGGGAACCAACACATGACCTCATAGAGTACTACAATGAGACTAATAGTACTGCCAACATTGTAGGTTTGCTATGAAGATTAAATGAATTCAATGAGTTGATATTCATAAAGCATCTGGCAGGGTTTTTGTTACCTACTGAAGTGCTTAGTGAATTTTTACAAAAAAGAACTGAGGTCAATGGTTGATGATGACATTGCTTTTCTGGATCATGATTGGTGGGCTGGACACCATACTATTGGAGCCTCTGTTAGATTACAGAATTGAAAACATAATCATGATGCAGTGAAAAGGTTGAGAAGAGTGGACTCTACATAGATTCTTTCAAGCCCAAAAGTTCAATTAAAAAACAAAACAAAACAAAAAAAACACCTTGAACTCTCTCTCTAAAAAAAACCAAGGGGGGGGGGGGAACCACACAATGATGTATAACTATACACTTCATGGATGAATCTTAACATAATATTGAGTGGGGGGGAAAGTCCCAGAGGACAATAAACAATGATACAATTTTTAAGAAAGTCCTAAAACAATAAAACTTTAATATTTTATCTAAACATGTATCAAAACATTTTTAAAGGGAATATCTATACCAATAAAAGGGTAATACACTAATTAGCCAGACATCTTCTGGACATCCATCTGGATGTCCTTCTGGACAAAGACACGGTGGCAGGGGCCGAGGCAGAGGCAGTTAGGGGTGATCAGGCCAGCAGGGGAGAACAGTTAGGGATGACCGGGCCAGCAGGAAAGAGCAGTTAGGGACAATTGGGCCGGCAGGGGAGGGCAGTTAGGGGCAATCAGGCTGGCAGGGGAGCAGTTAGGGGCAATCAGGCCAGCAGGCAGTATAATAATCAAATCTTAGGGGCGATCAGGCTGGCAAGCAGAGGGGGTTAGGGGTGATCAAGCCAACAGGGGAACAGTTAGGGACGATCAGGCAGGCCAGGCAGAGGTGGTTAGGGGCAATGAGCCAGGTGAGCGGTTAGGAGCCAGCATTCCTATAGAGTGGGCCCAGTTTGATATACAAAAAAATGCTTTTAATAAATGAAAAAAATGAAACGAAAACTGTTAGATTTTTCATATTAGAAGAGAAACAGAAGTGAAAGAAGAAATATATCTTTAATTTGGTGGGGAGCACAATCTCTAAAAATTTAATATGAAGAAATGAACATTATCAGACTGCACATAAATTTTTGAACTACCTATTTCTCCCCCTATTTTCAATAGTAAAATAAAAATAAAATAAAAATAACCCCAAATGAAATAATATTTCCATCTTTAATGTCAAGAATTTTTCAAATCTTTTCATTTGTATGACTTTAGAAGCAGCTCTAATTCTATGAGCATTCAAGAAGCATACACCCTAAAGAATACCCAAGTTTTCTCCCAAGGCCATTTCCACCACCACTTCCCAAAATTTAATGCTCTTATCACATGAGTTAAGTGAAAAACAACAAAATTAGGTTAAGATATGTATGCTGGTGGAGCATCCATGACACTCATTCATTACCAAAGAGACCAGCTCTCAACATAAAGGAGAATAAATTCATGCTTCTGCAAAATTACGAGTGACCCCCATAACCTCTACAGTTGCTTAACAACATCTAAAATGGTACTGTGAAATCTGAAAATACTAAAGGACTACTCCACCTTTTGATAATTCTCAATAGCACTGATAAAACTAAGCCAAGAACTTGAAATGACTCACAAACCTGGTTTCCCAATCTTCTTGTTTGTTTCAATGAATAAATACATCTGACTAAAATTCAACATAAAAAGAAAATTGCTTCAAACTTGCTAAATGCTATATTGCTGTGCAATCATACTTTCATTGTGGATTTGAAAGCCCCTGTACTAACAGTAACATTTGTAGTCAGCCATGACCTCAAAATTATTCCTCTGACTTTAGAAAAATGTAATTACTTATATCTTGAGTTCACTTTGTTCCCCCAGTGAATTGAATCACACTAAATTTCATCACATTTAGCTAACTTAATTCTTCCTCTGACTTGTTATGATTAAAACTTTAATTCTACAAGGTGCTGGTCATTTCACCTAATTTCGCATTTCCGATTTTGCCAACATTTTTATTATAAAGGGAGAAAACTTGGGAGTAAAAAAGTGAACTAGGATTATAATCTTCAGTAAGTCACTACAATTAAGAACATTTCTTCACCGATAAAATGAAACTAGCAGATAACATTTATTGGGCACTTTCCATGTCCCAGAAATTATTGTATTTAATTCTCATGATTCTACCAAAAAAAAAAAATGGTAAATATCATCCTTCCTTTAAGAGGAGAAAGAGTTTGTGGGTAATAACTTGCCAAGTTACACGGCAAGTAAATGACACAGCTGGGATGAAAACACCTGCCATGACTATCTCCTGGAACTTATTACAATGACCAGCTGATCCGAAGGTTATAGAGTCTTTATGCATTATGAAGAGTTCTAAATACGTGCGATTATCACTGAAGACAAGACAGATTACTCAGAAACAAGTAATTTACTCCTCCTTTAGACCGAACCATCCAGGTATTGATACTCCAATGTTCCCGGGACTGTCTAAATGCCATTTTAATACGTGTATATTTTGTGGGACAAAGTAAAAGTCTTATTAAATTCAAGATATAGTACATTGATTGTTCTCCGGATCTATTAAACCCTACATCAGTCTGACAGTGAAGAAAATTGGGTTAGTTTGTCATGAGATTTCAGAGAGTTGTATTGATTTTTACTTCATTTTCTGTTTTTTAAGAGGCTAAAAAGATGCTATTTACTAGGAACAAAAAAAAAAAAAAAAAAAAAAAAACCAAAAAACCCCACCTCTATAGGATCTTAAATACAGTCTATCTATATTCTTAGTGATGTATTTTATCCTTTGATAGGTGCGTTTGAATGAAAGTACGAGGATAATGGTAAAAGAGAGACGTGGGTAAGTGAAAACGGAACAATAGGTTGAAAGAATGTAGTGACAGAACCAAAAGCAAAGATTAGCTGCCAGAGCCACTGTATTTCCCTTTCTCACATTGTGAGTCCATGTGAACCAAGGATCCGAAAGGATTTTGTGGAAGGAACTGGAAAGCTGAGCCCACTGAAAAAAATGTCCTTCTGTTTATAGACTTTTCTTCTACCGGAAGAGCTATCTGGATTATTTTGGAGAAGGAGATGGAGGAGAAAGAGGATGAAAATGATGAGGAGGGAAAAAGACAAAGAAAGGAGGAGAAGAGGAGAAAGACAACTCGGGGAGGGGGGGAGGGGGAGGGCTTGTCTCTGTTGTTCTGAAGCCGCGATCAGGGAGAGCTTTTAGATGAGGCAAGAGGCTGATTGCTGAGTCATGGGCAACAAGGAAGACAAGGCACACAGGAGAAGACCTGTCCTGAGTGCCAGTGCAGGGAGTATGCGATTTCTCCCGCCGGAAGGAGAAATCCTACACAGTCTAACTCAGCAAAGAAGTGCAGGTGCCGTTACCAAACCACTTAAATGAGCTACATCAGCACACACGAGGCGCGAGGGACCAAACACAAGGAGCCATGAAAGCCCACTCAGGTGTGTGGCCAGGGCTCCTCTTACCCCTAGTTACCTCAGAGTCTTACATCCCAGCTCAACTGGGAGGTCACAGAAAGGAGATCTGGCTCTTCAGCACAACTTCCAGAAGAAATTTCTATCCCACATTCACTAAAACCCTCTAGGATGGGTACAAATTAAAGTGATTTTACCTGTGACTAACTCATTTATTCATTTTACAGATTTTATATCATTTTATTTGCAGATTCCAGATGGTCTCTGAAGAGCTCCTTTATCAACATCTAAAATGGGACTATGGCTTATGGGGTCATTCATAATTTTGCAGAAGCATGAATTCATTCTCCTTTATGCTGAGAGCTGGTCTCAGATTTCAGATTATTACTCAATGTCTTTTACATAACATAGAAAACTCTCTGTCCAAACATGTAATATGCAAAATGTAATTTTTCTTTTCTTTTTTTAAAATATATTTTATTGATTTTTTTTTTTTTTTTTTTTTACAGAAAGAAAGAGAGAGGGATAGAGAGTTAGGAACATTGATGAGAGAGACACATCGAGCAGCTGCCTCTGCACACCCCCTACTGGGGATGTGCCCGCAACCAGTGTACATGCCCTTGACCGGAATCGAACCTGGGACCTTTCAGTCTGCAGGCCGACGCTCTATCCACTGAGCCAAACCGGTTTCAGCTATAATTTTTCTTTTAGATTTCCTAAATTTTCCCCAAACACTACAATGTGCATGGCTGGAAATATATGAATCATCTTTACCAACTCAGTCTTAACCTTGTCAAGTCATCCCCATCCCTCAACTATTACTGCACAATTATTCCATGTTGAAATAAATGCAGGCTTGAGGGCTTAGAAAAAGAAATTCTCTGAAAGTAGAAGTAAAAGATTGAAGTAGGTGAATGACAGGCATACTATATTTTCAGCTAATGGCCCATTTGTAACACAAATTTATATTCAGCTCCATTTTGCTAACAAGATTTCATGTCTTGGAGGGCATACAAATGTAAAAGGGATAGAGCGACAGGTACAGGAAAGGAAAGCCTCAGGCTTCCTTTGAATGAAAACAGGTATAATTAAATTATAGGAATGCAGTCCATGTGGGCCAGAATCTTAGACAATACATCCTACATAAGGTAACTGAAATATGAAGGCAAAGTAAAAAACAAACAAACAGACTTTGCAGAAATAACAACTCTACAGAAATAACAGCACTTACCTGCTTTAGAACTTCAACTAAAACTAAACAAAAAATGAAATCTACTGCTAAGTCTCTCCTTTCAAGAAGATAATCTCTTTCACGTTGCTGGTCATCCCTGAAAACAAGAAGCCCAAGTTAGGACTGCATTAAGAATATAAAATTTAAAACAGGTATTGACTACTAGTTCAAATTATTCACTGAGTTCCCAATATGAATGGTTTTCTACAGCAATTGTACAAGCTTCCCTAGTAACTCACCGTATATATTACATGTTCTTATTTCCTCTCTTTTGTACATTTGGAATGTATACCCACATTTCACTATTATATCTGTCAGAAATTAAACCTAATCTAAACAATTAGGAAGAAAAGTGTTTCAAATTTCATTTAGAAAATGTAACATTATTTCATATTTGATTAGTTTATTTTTATTATGAACTGAAACAAAAAAAAGTAACTCTTCTGTAGAAATTACAGTGTCAGGAAACTTTATCACAAATCTAAGATGCAAAAACACAAGTGGCACCTACTGAAGTCCATTTCTAAACCACGGGCCGTCACCTGAACTCAGACAGATGTTTTACTAAAAGCCAAGATCTCCCTAGGACTGTGGTCGGCAAACTGCAGCTCGTGAGCCACATGCGGCTCTTTGGCCCCTTGAGTGTGGCTCTTCCACAAAATACCAAGGCCTGGGCGAGTCTGTTTTGAAGAAGTGGAGTTAGAAGTTTAAGTTTAAAAAATGTGGCTCTCAAAAACAAAAGTCAATCGTTGTACTGTTGATATTTGGCTCTGTTGACTAACGAGTTTGCCGACCACTGACCTAGGAAGTTTGAAAAAGGAGAAGACATGTTCTAGGCCCTGAGTACCAAAAAGGGTGTCATGGTAAATAACACGGGTTTTGATAGTCTTCCTGTATCACCACCATTGCTTCCCTTCACACACCACGTGAACGGGACGGGACCTTCTTTGTACAATTTCTTCCATGATTATTAAAGCTCCTCACAACTACTGAAATGGCACTCCCGAAATCTGGTGTAGAACGACTAGTCCCAGTGATGAGCACTGCATGGCTGAACCTGCTTTACCTGGGACCATCCACTGGTTTACAGGTTAAGCTTGGGCTATCCTCTCCCCCTTACTATCACCATTTATTTCATAACAAAAAGAATCAATGTTTTTGTGCTTAGAAGCCAAATAACAACAATCTTTAGTTGATGACACAATCACCCCCTACACTGGAAATGCTTCGACCCCACAGCAGTGGAAAACGAGCCACTTACCCCTTAGATTTTGTGCTAGATCGAGGCCTGTACTCGTAAGATTCATCTTCAGTTCCATTCTGGCGTCTGTACCAGTCAAACAAGGTGCGAAGTAAGGAAGGGAGACAGTGCTCTGCTACTGAGCTCATAGAGCTTATCAGCTGAAACACAAGACATCGCCGGAAGATAAAATAGCACATCGAAGAACCATGCTGGTAACTATTAGCAATCGCTTAAAAATGATTAGCATTCCAGAGTAAACAGAGTACAATAAACAGAGCAATGGAATGCAAGAAATATCTTTAAAAAACAAAAGAGCTGGGGGTATAGCCAAGGAGTAGACGGGGCTCAGTTTCTCCCAAATCCATTCAAACTTCACCCAAATCCATCCTGTTCAGCTCAGAGGCTTTCTACCTTCTCCCTGCCTCCACGTGCTCCTCACGTGATCATCGATAACATCCCTGATTAAACACATGGGTACCTGTGAGAGAACCGTTATGCATACCACGTGAGGAAAATCAACACATCTACTTCTTTCCCCTGGCCAGTTCCTCTCTCCTCCCTGTGAACAAAAGGTTCTAAAATTTTGCCACTAGAATAGATAATCAGAGAAACAACGAAGACTACAGTATATTATGTTAGAAGTATGAAAAAGCTCAAATTTACTCTGTTCTGTTATGACACAGAACAGGAATATAATTAAATATTCAATTTGTGATACAAATAAAAGTATTAAAAATGTGTTGTACACAAGCATTTACGGCCTAGCATATATAGATATACAGCAAAGAGATAATGCAGTAAGATGAACAACTGCTACCAATCAGAGGCATCTCTCTAAAACTCCCTGCATTGTAGGTGAATATCAGATCCATTTCATGAATGACGGCAGCTTGTCCGTGGTGAGGGGAGAGGTACACCAGCTACCACCAGCACTCCCTAAAGTCACCTCATCTTGAGCAGGCCAAGAAAAATACCCTCTCTCTCTTCATAAGAAATTCTGTATCTGACTCAACTCATTGCTCATAACATTAATATTCTTAAGTCAGCATACAGTACAACATTTTCCACTTTGTTTTTCTTAACTAAAAAAACAGGAATACCCATGGTCTCATTCATTTCTAGGACTGAAAGAAGTATAAGTTAATGAAGATAACATGATAACTCTAGTAACGAAGACTTAGATTTTCTTAATATTTTATACTAGAGGCCCAATGCACAAAATTCATGCAAAAGTTGGCTTTCCTTCCCTTGGTTGCTGGCACCAGCTTCTCTCTGGCTCCCGGGACCCAGACTTCCCTCCCAGCCCCAGCTTCACTGGGAAGGATGTCTGGTTATTAGCATTATATGACTTTATTATTATAGCTTCTTCATCTAACTTCAGAATGTACTTCATCCAGGAAAATAGAAAAAAATTCAATGGTTTATTTGATTGTATAGGCTGTGATCTTTTTCAATATCTCTGCCTTCCTTTAATTGTGCTTCTATTTATAAATTACCATAATTTGACAGGTAAATAGTGTGTAATATAGGAATCACAGTAAAACATGATTCTAATTCTAATTAACTATTTTTAAATTTATCTTTTATTAACAATGAACTGTCTCTGTTAAAAGGAGGATATGGTACACTGTTAATAAGGAAGGAACAATAAAACACCATCTGCTACTGTAAATGTATATTAAAACAGTTTAAAGCGCACACAGCTTTTTATTGTGAAAAAAAATCAAGCTATGATGCATGATCATGTATAGTTTTGTGAATCAATTAGATAAGAAAATATATAGAAATTTTCCTTAAGACCTTGTTTAATAGGCTAATTCTGATTTTATATTCATTCATTATTAGTGATATGAATTTAAGCTATAAATAATCTAAATACTTTTTTAATATATTTTATTTTTTACAGAGAGGAAGGGAGAGCGATAGAAAGTTAGAAACATCGATGAGAGAGAAACATTGAATAGCTGCCTCCTGCACACCCCTCACGGGATGTGCCCGCAACTAACGCACATGCCCTCCACAGGAATCGAACCTGGGTCCCCTTAGTCTGAAGGCCAATGCTCTATCCACTAAGCCAAACAGTTTTGGCTAAATACTTTTAAAGTAATATATTAATAATACATTAATAATTAGTCATTAATTGCTAGTAATCAAACCTTTGTGGTGGCATTAAGATGTGAAAAGCATTATACTATGAGGTAATGGTTATTACTATAATAGAGGACTAGTTTCTTGTTTATGTTCTCTTAGATTAGCAGCTATTTATCCACTGTATGTATGCATGTATGTATCAGAATTCCCTAGGGAGCTGTAGAAAAAATACAGGTGCCAAAGCACTACTTAAACTCAGCAAAACCAGGGCGAGATCCAGAAATGGTATGTAGCCACCAAGTAATTCTAATCAGTCAGCTTTATCTAATCAAGTGTACTAATGAACATTAAAATCTTCCTAGCTATGTAATTATGAGAAAAGTAGCCCAGGAATACTAGATGGCAACAGAAAGCTAATCTTAGGTTATTGGTTTTTGCAAACAACCAACGTAAAGTAAAACAGTTATTAAGCACACATATTTATGACAAAAATAACACTCAAGCAACACAATCTTAGCAAGAGGAAAGAATTAACATTAGAGAAATACCACACTAGTTTTTAGACATCAGCATCCTATGTAATAAGAGTAATATGCAAATTGACTGTCACTCCAACACACAAGATGGCCACCACAAGATGGCTAACAGGGGAGGAGAGTTGGGAGGGACCAGACCTACAGGGAGGGCAGTTGCGGGCAATCAGGCCAGCAGGAGAGGGCAGTAGGGAGAGATCAGGTAAAGGGGGTGTAGTTGGGGGAGATCAAGCCTGCAGGGGAGGGCAATGAGGGGTGATCAGGCTTACAGGGGAGGGCAGTTAGGGACAATCAGGCTGGCAGGGGAGTAGTTAGGCGGTGATCAGGCTGGCAGGCAGAAGCAGTTAGGGGCAACCAAGAAGGCAGGCAGGCAAGCAGTTGGGAGCCAGCAGTCCTGGATTGTAAGAAGGGTCCCAGATTGGAGAGGGTGCAGGCTGGGCTGAGGGACAAATTCCCTCTTTTCCTCCCCTCCCACCCCCGTGCATGAATTCCGTGCACCGAGCCTTTAGTTTTATATAAAGGAGGTGAAATTTTTGGTCACTGTTTATCTTTTCAAGCTTCTTTTGCTTTCTGACGCAGAGAGGACTCACTTGGCCTTTGCACAAGCACAGTCAGAAGCCCAAGTGTTTGGGGGGATGTATTTGATGCCTCTTGGGGCAGCCCTCAACTACTGGGGGTGGGAGCTGAAGACGGAAAATTATGGGGACCTTCTGTGTAAGGCTCAGAAGTAGAATGAACCCCCCAGAGCAGAGACCTCTAAAGTTCTCCCTTCCGTCAGTTCTTCCTCCCTCCTGCTTCACTTGCCCAAGCCTGCTCTCCGGGACCCTCCCCAGGACCAAGGCCTCATCTCCAGCTCTGCTTCCAGGAGGTAAAAAGGGAGGGGAAGTAGGCTGGATGCCTCTCTGTAAAGGTTCTGATAGCCCCCAGAGGAAAAAAATAAATGTTAAAAGGTAAAATGTTATGATGCAGAAATTGTAGGTACTGATACACAAGAAAAGATGGATGGATGTAACTGGAAAGTTTCTGAGAAAACTTAAAAGGGCATAGCAAAGATATACAGTGAAAAGTAAAACATTTAAAAATACTGAATGAGCAGAAATCAACCAAGTTCACAGCTCATTCTAAGAATTACAAAGTTCACAGTTCAATCTATTTGTTTAAATAAACAAACTATCGATACCAACCGCAGGCTGAATCTAGATATACATGAATTTTTTATTACTAGATATATTTGGGCCAGACTGGTAGGACAAATATTTTCCTTTCAGAAAAAAAATAAATAAATAAAACAGCCCCCTAAAATTGACATACCTGGTCAAACTGAAGATCTTCGCCCCTCTGCAGAGATCGAGACAAAGGCTTCTCCTACAATTAAAAATGTGTCTCAATAAATATGTGGGAAGACAAAACTAACAGGAAAATGTCGTTTGAAGGAGAGATCATACAGAGAGAAGAAAAATCTTTTAAAAGCGCATATATATTTAATATTCTCAAGAAAGAGTGGAAACTGCGGAGTTGTGAAAATCCTGGGCCTCAAGTCAAAATCAGCAGGTGACGGTTTAAAGCTTTTTCCTCTTTTCTTTTCTAGTCACTGGCAATCTAAAAGATTAACAGACGAGCTTGGCTATGCCTGGATCATTACCCAGGATTGATCGAGCACCTTTTAGGAAGAGAGGGGCCTCAGGTATTGGATTGCATGGTCTGCACGCTGCTATCCTCAATCAATGATTGCCCTTCTTTCTGAATCTTTTTTTTTCTAAACTAAGAATGAGATTGTGGCTACATGTCAAGCTCAGCTAATCTTCCCATCTTTTGGCCTCTTTAACCTCTTTTGATTATGATTTCTAATGAGAATCATTCTCTCATTTTAGTGGTAGATTAAATTCTTTTAGCAAAAGTCATTCATATCTGTGCTTCTATTTTTTTTGTAACTTCTACGGGTGCTACTTTATTTAAAGTGACCCTAAAAGAGTTTATTTGAGAATTCAAGAGAGTCCAGTCCTCCTGGATGGCTGTTTATTACCTAAGAGGATACAGAATTCCAAAAATAAATAAAATCACAATAAATTCACTTGAAACTGTAATAAAAATATTGTGACAATATGATATTAAATGTATTTTCATTATCTAACATAGATATACTCAGTTTACTCAGACTTGGACATACATGAAGCAAAGCTGGCAAGAGATCTCATAAGAAGAAATGATGCTGGTATATACGAGCGTAGGGGGGTAAAACCTGTAAAATATGATGGGGATTTTCTCAGCTTGTGTTTGTCCGTGGCCGCTGGAGACCACAACTTTGGGAGTTTTCCTGGTGTGTTAGAATGAGTAAGCTCAGACAGCACTTCTCCCAAAGTGTGTTGATGGGGTAGAAACACCATTTTTTCTGATGGAATCCTCACCACTATTCACCATATTTTATCTCATCTTAGATTACCTAGCAGATGTCTCCAATTAGATACAAAAGGAAAGAATAAATATAGTCAGCATCAGACTAGTATTCTGAAAAAAACTATGAAAAGCTCTATTAACATTGTTTTATTAGAAAAACAAAGGGCACATATCACAGCAAAGATCTTAAGGCTACAGTCAACTTAAAGTACAGATCCTTACTAAGTGCCTCCTGCCAATCATCTACCATGGGCAGAGCTGCAGATAAAAAGGTAGGTGAGACCTGGCTCTCTGTATCAAGTAGCTCATTTCAGAGGAGATAAAAATATGCACACCTAAAATGGTAATGTCAGAATCTAGAAGTATGAACAAATTATTATGGTAAAACAAAGATTCACTTAGCTTGAGGAGAATCACTATGTTAAAGGGTTGTATGGGAAATTCAAAGGATGAGCTTTAAAAAACAGAGCACAGCCTAACAAGCATGGCTCAATGGTTGAGCGTCAACCTATGAACCCGGAGGTCAAAGTTCGATTCCCAGTCGGGGCATAAGCCCAGTTTGTGGGACATGCAGGAGGCAGCCTATCAATGATTCTCTTTTATCATTTAAGTTTCTATCTCACTCTCACTTCCTCTCTAAAATCAATAAAAATATATTAAAAACCAAACAAACCAGAGCATACATCGGGATAAGAGAATGGTGAGACATTCTATGACCCAACAAGAACTTAAATTTATTCCAGAGTAATGGAAAGTGAGCAAGAGTTTTAAAGCAGAAAGGTGATATTTGTGTGTATTAGAAAAAAAAAAAAAAGTCTGGTTAAAATAAGAAAAATGTACCATTTTTTGACCAGTTAGAAGGCTCTTGCAATGGTCTAATACGACAGAACCTGACTCTAAGCTAGGACAATACAAATGGCATTGGAGCCAGAACCGGTTTGGCTCAGCGGTAGAGCGTCGGTGTACGGACTGAAGGGTCCCGGGTTCGATTCCGGTCAAGGGCATGTACCTGAGTTGCGGGCACTTCCCTGGTGGGGGCTGTGCAGGAGGCAGCTGGTCGATGTTTCTCTCTCATCAACGTTTCTATCTCTCTATATCTCTCCCTTCCTCTCTGTAAAAAATCAATAAAATATATTTTTAAAAAATGGCACTGGAAGGAAAAGAAAAGAGAAAGATATAGAAATGCCATTTAGAGACTCAAACAAATTAGGTGATTTCACTCATATTTCATTTTAGTATTTTAGCTCTCAACATCTCCACATTTCCAAATTAAAGCTCCTTTAAGAGTATGGTATCTGAGAGCTGATAGGACCATATCACATGGTGCTACTTATAAAATATTATATAAAATAGGTAAAGTGTTTAAAAATGTGCTGTGCAAGTTGAAAATTGCTGAAGCCGGGTGTTAAGTTTCAGAAGAGTCTAGATTTTCTTTTACTTTCCCTTAGGTTTTATCTGTCTCAACGATTGGCATTGGTAAAATTTATTTTTGTTCTTTTGTGACCTGCAGCAACTTATCAAAGCGGATGCTGGGCTTCCACTCAAGGTAGAAACCTAGGCAAACACTGTACTTGCCTCCTCTCAAGATCACATCAAAACAACAACTACAGAACATTCATCATGTAGTCCTATAACTGAGGACGTACAGGGAAAACCACCTAGGGACTGTCAGGAGGAGCAGAGAGGCAGAACAGGCTGGCCCCACAGCCACTGTATGTGTAGGATAGAGATAGTGTATGCAGTATAGGGTTAGTACTAGTCCCAGTTTCAGGCATTTAATATGGGGTCTTGAAACTTATCCCCTCCCCCCTATAGGGGAAGGGGAACTACTATACTAACCCATCCCTTAAAATTTGTTAAAACTATTTTTAGAGCAGTTTTAAGTCCACAGCGAAATTAAGCAGAAGGTGGAGACTTCCCATACCCACTTTGCACACACATGCAGAGCCTCCTCCAGTATCAATATTCTGCACCAAAGTGGTGCATTCGCTACCACCGATGAGTTTACACTGACACATCTTAATCATCTCAAGTCCACAGATTACATCACAGTTCACTTCACTCTTGGTGTTCTATAGTCTATGTGTCTGGACAAATGTTTAATGCATGCATCCACCGTTAGAGGAGCCAGTTTTTTTCACTGCCCTAAAAAAACCCTTGTGTTCTGTCTATTCATCCCTCCTCCCACACCCAACCCCCAGCAACCACTGAACTTTTCCCTGTCTTCATAGTCTTGTTTTTTCCCCCCCAGAATGTCATACAGTTGGAATCATATAGTATGTAGCCTTTTCAGATTGGCTTCCTTTAATATTTTTTTTTCAAGGTATATTATTTGCAAAGTTTGTGTTGTATTGTTTTATACAAAAAAGTCCAGAAAACATTTCAGACTTATAGGTCAGCTCTACTCACCAAGGGTTCAGCCATTACAACTTCAATTTTCTTTTCAGCTTGAACAGCAAATTCTGCAAAGAGGCTCTTGATGACATATTCACCGGGCTTGACATCTGGGTCAATCGTAATGTTTGACATGATGATATTCTTTTTCCCCAATGTGGAATGAAAGTTGGAAGAAGTACAGTACTTATTCACTTTGCTGACTGGTGCTGAAGCTGAAATTAAGAGAGAGAAAAAAATAAAGAACTCAACTTTAGTAATCAACTAATTAGGCCCACCATAACCACCCTACTTAATAAGCATGCAACTCCTGAACTGCTGTCAGGTCTCCCAATCTGTATTACCTTTCTTTATTATACTTGCTGCCTTCTAACACTGCCCAACATAACTATCATTTAGCTACATGGCTGTTATGTGTTGTTTTTCTCTCTACCTTACTAACGTGAATTCCGTAAGAACAGGGATTCTCTTGTCTTTTATGTTCATTGAGGAATCCCAAGAACAAGTGCATGGCATATACTAGGTATACAATAAATAGGCACTGAGTAAATGAATTCTAAATAAAGGAAATAAAAGAGATGTGAGTAAATGAAAACAGAGATGGGTTAATGGTTGAAATGTGCTACTTTGCATGCTCAACAAAGGGCTCGTAGAAAGAGGCTACATTTGAATTCAGATCTAAATGACGAAAAAGAGGCAACAAGGCAAAGCATCAGGGTCAGAAAGCACAGTGTGAATATCTGAGAAACAAAAAGAAGACCAGTGCGGCCTGAACTCAAGAGAAGTCAGGGAGAGGCAATGTGAGATGAGTCAACATTATCGGTTGGGAATCGAAGTTTTAGACCTTGATAAGGAAATTAAGATTTTATTCTAAATGCAATTATAATTCTATGTGAAATGTTAACTCGTAGGGGGATGGAATCTGGCCTCTCCTTAAAAGACCTCTCTGGATCCCCTGGATTGGAAGAGGGAAAATATAGACTCAGGGAAGCCACTGCAGAAATCCAGGGGAGATCACAGCGTGGGCTAAGAGACGGGCAGTGGCACAGGAGGGAAGGAAGAGGATTTGAGATGTGCCATGTGTTTGTGGGTTTGATATCAAGGTGAGGGAAAGGAATTAAAGATGCCTCCGGCCCTAACCGGTTTGGTTCAGTGGATAGAGCATTTGCCTGCGGACTGAAGGATCCCAGGATCGATTCCAGCCAGGGGCATGTACCTTGGTTATGGGCACATCCCCAGTAGGGGGTGTGCAGGAGGCAGCTGATGGATGCTTTTTTCATCGGTGTTTCTAACTCTATCCTTCTCCCTTCCTCTCTGTAAAAAAAAATCAATAAAATATTATTTTAAAAAGAAGATGACTCCATTTTTATATCTGAATCACTCAAAGGATAGTGGTCCCATCTGCTCAGGGATGACAGTGGGCCTGGCGAATAGTACGTGGAATCAGATGTGGCACAAAAAGAATGCACACCGTTGCATGTTGTTTATAGTTACCTCTTCTGTTCTCTCGACTGCCTGGGCAGCCGACCTTGGATTTCTATCTACAGTTTATCCTCCCCTCATTCTTCCAGCCGACTGCATAACACAGACCCTCCACATTCTCGAACTACAGTTATGTCATCCCCTTTGCCCTAGGATATTTATGGAAAAGTGAGATTGTACTTTCTCACCTCAACCTGATCTATGGATATTGCCCTATCATATGCTGTCCTACACGTAACTCCCGCCTTGAAAAGGGAAACAGCACACAATTATTCAGACACTCAATCTCTGTCTCTGAATATGTGTCTAAATAACCACAGGGCAATAAACTTACTCTAAATACATGCATTCCACACTCATAAGGAATTATTCTGTCAACTAAAACAAACTACTCTTCCAAACACAGAATACATCAAGATACAGAAAGGTGACCCGTGATTAACTTCAACAGAAAATTTCAGGAAGAAATACAAAGCCATGTTACAGCAGACAGTTCAGAAAAAATAATTTATAAATTTTTAAAAAAAATCTTTTTAAAAGAGAGAACTTCCAAATACTTGGTGTCCTGTCATGCCCTATTCATTATCTTTATTTACTAATATTTTCAGAGAATAGAATATTTCCCTCCAAGATTAAAAATTAAGCACACATGATTTTTACTATTAAAAATAATAATAATCTAAAGAATATTATAAACAGTTAATATTACACCTCGAATATTTTTGCATCACACAAATTAAAGTATAATATTTTGTATTCTAGAACTAAAATTATATAAGAACAATTCAAAAGTTCACAGTCCTTTGTACACAATGTACCCTATTTTAAACAATGAACTATTTGTTTACTTTGTTTCATGATCCAACATTGTGTATTATAAAGAAGAAAATCTATTAACAAATGTTATTGTGGAAAAAAGATCTGAAATTAAAAACTATTTTGGAACATTAAGAATATGCTATATTTTATGTCATTATTATGTTGGACAATTGTAAAAAAAAATCATTAAAAAAAGACTACTCAATTTTCAGAATTTTAACATATTCTGGAAATAAAAATGAAGATGAACCATATTCACGGCTAACTTATGTAAGCAGTTACAAAATATATTTTCCCTTCAATTAAGATTTGTAAGTCTTTAATTAAGATTCAGGAGATCCTAACAGTTACAAAGGTTTCTTTGAACTTAACTTTACAATAAATGCAACTAACCAAGAAGTCACATGATAGACCTAGGTACTTAAATTTTAGATTCTGATGAAGTATAAACTTTTAAATTGATATTTAGCCTTTGACCAGTATCTTCAAAATGGAAAAAAAAAAAAATAACAACTTTAAATTGACTTATCAACTCACCATTACTATCTTCTACAGAAAAAGCATAAACATAAACTAAGCATAAACAAATAACTAACATTATTGCATACAAGAGGCCCTGTGCACGAATTCATGCACCAATTGGGGTCCCTCAGCCTGGACTGTGCCCTCTTGCAATCTGGGACCCCTCAAGGGATGTCCGCCCGGGATCAGGTCAAAACAAGCAGCCCAACATCCCTGAGGGACGTAGCAGTGTGTGAAGTGAAGTGGCAAGTGGCCAGGCAGGAGCCCAAGCCAGATTTGGCACCTAGTGATCCTAACTGCTCGCCCCTCACTCCTTAGCGCTGCTGCGGGGGGCGGATGAGGATCCTGCCACCACTGTGCTCACCAGCCCAGGGGCCGGCTTCTGGCTTAGCGGTGCTCCCACTGTGGGAGCACATTGGCCACTAGGGGGGGCAGCTCCTGCGTGGAGTGTCTGCCCCCTGGTTTTCAATGCGGATCATAGAGACTGGTTGCTCTGGTCGTTCTGTTGTAAAGGTCGCTTAGGCTTTTATATAGAGAGAGATTTTAAGAAATTTGCCAATAAAGCCAAAAGTTTAAGGAAAACCTGTATTTAAATCCCAAATAAAGATTTATCTTCTAAATATCTGCATTAAAAAATCAAATTTCAAAAATTATACTTTTAAAGGATTAATCACTTTTACCTCCATCTACGAAGCTCTAATGAAATGAGAAAAAGACCCACACCTCCAAACTGAAAACTGGACAAAGACATGAATAAATAAGGTACGAAGCATAAAATATGCCAATACTACAAAAATATTTAACCTCACAAATATTTAAAAAAAAAAATTAGATAGCATTCTCATGTATCAAAATGGTTCCCCCCAATTCTGTATTTCACTATAATGTTCAATTTTGGTGAAAACACATAAAGTTTTCTCCTATTCTGGCTAATATTAAAAAAAGGGGATGACATAAAACAGGTAAAAAGACTAGTTTCCACATAACTAGCCTAACTTGATGTCATTTGCTTGAGTTAAATAGTTTATTAAGTTAAAAATAAAATTTCTCTATATGCTATCATAAAATTTTGAAAAATTTATGAGAGAATGAAAACATAACTGTTACAGCACAATACTTAAGAACAACATTCAGGCACTGAATTTCAAAATGGCCAAATCCCAAATGTTTAATAATGGTCATATTTAACATTCCTAGAAAATAAATCTATTAAACTCTGACAAAAATAGGACTCAGCAAGTCCTGAGTAATCAAAACATGGGAATTAAAAGCTAGCATATCTATTCTTTCCAAAATGTACATAAAAATAAATATGGTATTTTTAGACAGCTAACTCTCAAGCACTATACTTAGTGTATTAAAAACAATTATATTTTTTTCATGTCATAAGACTCCCATACTCTATAAATTTAAATTCAGTCAAGGAAAACAGACAAGTGAGAAGAGACATATAAACACTAAACTGATCATTTTCAGCCTTTGTTTTTCCTGCCTCCACTATATTCTTATGCACAACACTAACCAGTAACATTTCCCTCAAGATACATAGTAATTCTTAACAATATGGGCATTTAAAATAAGGATGGGTCGGGTTATCGATAGATCGATAGATCTTATGGATTATGGAGTCTATGAAAGCAGCCTGCTGCCATCTCAACCCCAAGGTCCTTAAGCAATAAAAATTAGTACTTTATAGTCACAACCTTATAAATATACATGCATATATTCATACATAGATTTATATGCAGAAATGTAACAAAGTACCATACAACTCTAATAATTATTTCTTATAACGGCTAACAAAAATGTTGATGATCACTTAAAAAGGAAGAGGCCTTGGAATAGGAACAAATATAAAAATATCTCAATTTAGAAAGCAAAATTCTCAGTTTAAAAAAGCAAGCCTATTTCCAACAAGTTATTTTGTGAATAATAACAAACCAATTCTAAAGGTTACAGGAAGAGGCAAATGACCCAGAATAGCTAACACAATATTGAAGAAGAAGAACAAAGTCGAAGTACTTACACAAGCTGACTTCAAGACTTACTCTGAATGGACAGTAATCGAGACAAGAGTGGCATTGTTGAACAAACAGACAAACAGATCAGTGGGACAGGACAGAAAGTCCAGGAATAGACCCACACAAACACAGTCAACTGAACTTTGACAAAGGAGCAAAGGCAATCAATGAGGAAGAGAGACTTTCAACAGATGGCGCTGGCATAACTGGACACCCACATGCGAATTTTAAAAAAACACAAAATCTAGACACAAACCTGACACTTTTCACAAAAATTAACTCAAAATGGATCACAGATCTAACTGGGAAATGCGAAATGAATTCTAAATGTAAAATCCAAACCCCTGTGAATTCCTAGAATGTTATTAGAT